TACTCACTGCAGCCCTGGTTTCTGTTGTGAAAAGGTAGATCCCATAAGGCTAGAGAACTAGGCAAGTGTTAAGGGACTGAGCCCCCAGTACCAGTGGTACCCGAGCATCACAGTCGTGACTTAGGGTCCCCGGAAAGACACCTCTGGCCCTTGCATTGAATGGACAGTCTGGCTGGCCGAAAATAGCTGGTGGAGACCTGGGTCCCTGAGACCCAGACAGGTGGCTAATTGTCATGAGCTATGTTTGTTGGATGCCAGGGCTGCTTCTGGCACAGTGATCAGGGGACCATATAGGGCTTCCGGGCTGCTCCGTACATGGTGCTTAAGGGACCACGCAGAGCCAGGGCTTGAGCTCAGGCTTCCTGCTTGCTTAGCCTAGGCTCCAGCCTTTGTGCTCTCTCCCAGCCCAAATCTATCAATCTCATGTTTTTTTTTTCCCCAAAGAAACAGTTCTCAGTTTTATTTTCTTCATTGATTTGCTGTCCTCAGTTTCTTCGTGTGCTATATTTATTCTTCAGCCTGCCTTGGATTCAATTTGCCATTCTTCTAAATTTCCTACGGTAGAAATGAACTCACATTCTGTATTTCTTTCTCATCTATCCAATCCTCTAAACATCCCTCAGAGCCCTGCTTTAGAGTTGTATCTCACCGAATTGGGTAAGTGGTGTCTTCATATTCTTTTAGCTCAGAGTACCTTTTTCATCACTGGAAAGTTGATCTTTGTTTTGGAGCCACACCCGGCAGGGGTTTGCTGCCGGCAGGCTCAGGGATCCTTCTCAGGATGCCGGGGATTGAACCAGGTCAGCTGTGTGCAAGGCTGTGTTACCCCTACCTGCTGTGCTGTTGCTCTGGCCGCGGGAAACCCATCTCTGAGGGGAATTGTGTCCTGTTCAGGGGGCCCAGTGTCACTTTGGACTGAGTGAGCAGCAAGAGTGTAGCAGGAAGGGAGATGCTGGCGGAACCTACTGGCAAGGCAGAGATGGGCGTCAAGAAGCCATGGGTTAGGGGCCCGACCACCTGTTTGAACCCCACTTCCTTCCGTGAAGCGTCAGCAGATTTAGCTTTGCATATGCAGGGCTCAGGGAAAATGCAAAGCCCCGCTGGACACATGTTACAGGGACGGACAGCTCCCAAACCAGAGAGAATGTCCTCTCCCATTGGCCCGTTAAACGTGGACGGTGACACTGGTCACTGGCCATCCTGCATGGACGCGGGGCCCCTCTTTCTGCGTGAGTCCCAGGGGCTGGTCCTGACAACCTGGTCCTTCATCACTGGACGTGGCCCTGCCCTGCAGCCTGGCCTCGGATGGGCACCGACAGCTGACTGTCAGGTGCCCCGAGGCGACTCCAGCCCTCCCAAATGCTGTCTCTCGCGTCCCCCAAGCAGCGTCCCCGGTCCCTCAGTGCAGGCGGCTTGTCTCTCTTGGCAGGAGGTGGGTGGCGGGCAGAAAGTTGATCTGGACCACCTCAAATCCCTGTTGCACCTGGTGCACCCGCTCTACAGGGCCCTGCACTTGGACGAACTGTAGAGAAGGAGAGAGCGCCACCTGGTGGATAAGATTGGCCACCTCACCCGCCAGCTGCAGCCCCTGGAGCAGGTAAGGATTTCTCCCTGCTAGAGACCAAGACCCGGGTGGGGGTCGCACCTGGGCTTGCCACGCCCCCACCCTCCTGACAACGCAGATGCTCAGATGCTTGGGGCAGTGCTGCGGGAGTGGGGAGCCACATTTCAGTCCAACCCTTTTTAGAGGCTGCTCCTTGGTTCTTTTCAAACTGAGTTTCTGGGGCTGAAGGGGTGGCACAGCGGAATGGGCATTTGCCTGGCACGCAGTCGACCCGAGTTCGATCCCCGGCATCCCATATAGCCCCCCGAGTACCACCAGGAGTGAATCCTGAGTGCAGAGTCAAGAGGAACCCCTGGGGAATAAAAAACCCAAGTTTTCCTGTGATCCTCTGCCCTCACGCTGCATCCTCAAGGATTGTCTGTATCAGCGTGCGGTGTAAAGGCCGCTCTCCTGGGTCCCTGCGTCCTGCTTCCTGGAACAGCATGTGTAGTCCAGGCTCTCCCGAGCGCTGGGAGACACAGGGCAGTGCTGCTATTCTGGGGCGGCTATCAGGGAGCGTGCGTGGGTGCCCAGGAGTCTGGGGGAGGGTACCACAGTGCGGGAGAGCGTTCGGGGGTCCTGAAATGTCACCCACAGCACACCATCCGGGCGGGTTAGGGTTTGCTCCCAGGAGCCTCATGAACTGACCTGAAGAGCTCTCTTTAACATTTTTTTTTCTTTTTGGGTCACACCCTGCCATGCACAGGGGTTCCTCCTGGCTCTGCACTCAGGAATCACTCCTGGTGGTGCTCAGGGGACCATTTGTGATGCCAGGGATGAAACTCCTGTCGGCTGCGTGCAAGGCTAACGCCCTCCCTGTTGTGCTGGCGCTTCAGCCCCTAAAGCAAGATTCTTCCCCCACACACATAAAACTGAATCCTTTGAAATAAACACAGACCTGCCTGCCTTTTCTTTGGTTGGGGACCAGCAGGCGGTGCCAGCGATCACAGCTGGGCTTCCCACGCACCCTCAGTGTCACTGTCCAGCCTGGCTGTGGAGCAGGGCAGGGATTGGGGGGGGGGGGGGGGGAGCAGGACAGGGCAGGTAGGGGCTGTGGGGCAAGGCGGGGGCGAGGGAGCTGTGGATCAGGTGTGGGGGGGCTGTGGAGCAGGTGGGGAGTTGTGGGGCAGAGCGGGGGGGGTTGGGGGGAGGCTGTGGGGCAGGGCGAGGGGGGTTGTGGAGCAGGGCGGGGGGTGTGCGGGGCGGGGACAGGGCAGGGCGGTGGGAGGGTGGCTGTGCCTGAGCCGCTCTCCTCCTTGCCCCAGGTGAGAACAGGGAACCAGGCGCGCGCCAAGGTCGAGGTCAGCTGGCGGCTGTGGGCGGGGCTGGCGCTGCTGTTGGCTCAGGGCGGGGCGCTGGCCTGGGTCACCTGATAGATCTACTCCTGGGACATCACGGAGCCCGTCACCTACTTCCTCGCCCTCGCCAATTCCATGGGCTTCTTCCCGTACTTCATCACCACCCGGCAGGTGAGCAGCGGGCGGGGCCAGGGGTGGGGGGCAGGGGAGGCCGCCGGGGATGCACCCGGGCCTGAGCGCGGCCGCGCCCTCCCCGCCAGCCCTTCGCTCTGGCCCCCTGTGCCTTTGTCCGGCTGGTTCCTTGTTCCTGGAAGCAGCCGAGGGACCGTTTAGAGCCGAGATGGGTGAGGCTTACGGATTTCCCTGAGGAGGAACTCGTTCAACTTTGGATTCTCAGAGCCTCATTTACAAGTAAAATCGACCCGTGTTGCGCCACCCCCAGTTCCGCTTCCTCGTCGTTTGATTCTCCCCAGCGAGCCTTTCCCGGAGCCGTTGCCCCGCCTGTCAGTGCCTGAGGCGGCAGGTTCTGGAGGCCCGTCCCTCTCCCCTTCGCCAGCTCTGGAGGCTCCGTCTCTCCCCTTCAGAACTACACGTACGCAGCCGGCCGTGCGGAGCCGGCAGTTCCTGCGCTTCTTCCACAAGCGCTCGCAGCGGCTGCGTTTTGACGTGGCTCCTTTACAACGAGCTGAAGGAAGAGCTCGCCAAGGTACCAGACTCTGGGCGCTGGCCGGGCGCAGGGACCGCCCAGGTCTCCAAGAGAAACTGTGTTCGGGGAAAAGCTGGCACAGGAGCCGGGCAGAGGCAGGACCGAGGGAGGTGGCCGCCAAGGCGAGCCCTGGGCTTGTTGCTTCCCAGAACGAGGCTCCCTTGAGCCTGCAGACAGGAGGCCTTTGTCTCTCCCCCTCAGGAGAGACTTCGCTCTCTCTGGGGCGTCTGTCTGTGTTCCCAGGGCTAGACCGCAGGGACACGCAGCCGCCAACCCCAGCCAACGTCCCCTCTGTCCAGGTGATGACTACACAGCACAGAAACAGACTGGACGTTTTCCTTAGTGATTTCTGACCCAGAAGTTTGGGTTCAAAAACAATCCTACCGTGCACAGCACCTGGAAGAGCCAGAGGTTGTTACACCTCGGTTACCTACCCCAGGAATATCCCTGCTCTTTAACTGACAAACAAAAAATGCTGTAACTGAGGCTTTTTTGTTTTCCTTTTTTTTTTTTTTTAAATCTTGGGACCAGAGCAATATTATAGCGTGCAGGGCGTTTGCCTTGCTCACAGCTGGCCCTGGTTCGATGCCCGGCATCTCATGTGGTGCCCTGGTCCCCAGCATGACACAGAGGGAAAGTTCTTCCAACTGACACACTGGGAAATGAGGCTCCTGAGGGGGAAGGGGGGATCCAGTCCCAGGAAAGACTCCTCCAGGCTTGCACGGTGACCAATCAGCATCTGCACATCCTGAGCCCTTTGGACCCCTGATGTCACCCACTTCTCTCCTTCCTCCGAAGGCCAAGGACGCCCTCAGCCATCTGCGCAACTTCCACCACCTTCGGAAGCAGTGGCCGTCAGGGGGAAACGAATAGGGATCTCCCCTGGAGGTGTCCACTTGACTCCTCCGTCGGTCTCTGTTTGTTAATAATAATTGTTAAATGCTTACATAACATAGGTTTTCTTGGTTTCACTTGAAGTGTGTGGGTTGTGGCTTTTGACCAGAGAGAAATCGCAAAGGAGTCAGTGAATTCTGCTGCTTCTGCTGGCATCCACTCCTGAGCACGACTTGCAGTAGTCTCGAGCATGTCAAAGTGGAGCAGAGCTACCCCAGCTACCATTCTAAACTGGAACTCATGAAGGGATAAGAGAAAATACAAACTTCAAACTGTCTCCAAAAGTTATAAGCTTTTATAAAAAAAAAATTATAAAATGGGGAGAGTGACCTTGTGCTTTACTGTAAAAAATCAAGTATTACAAATGTTCTTCAATCTTTGCCAAAAACCCCTTTCACCATGATTTAAGCTGCTGTACCATATGTTTGGCTCTCATGGTATGTAAGAGATGAATGAGGAATAATTCTACAGACAGACAGGTAAAAATGAAGCCACGGCCTCACTGGGACTTGGGGAGGAAGTACAGCTTCTTGGTGAGCATGGAGGCAAAGCAGGGAATCTGCTTCTTGCCTTTGGCTCTTGGGTCATCACTGTTATTCTTTCGGCGTGACACCATCCTGTTGACCAGTGTGAGCAGCTCCGTGAACTCCCAGTTCGTGCCATACCTTGCCAGCACCTCACACAAATCCTGGATGTACCACGAGCCATACGCGGGATTCCGATGTGAGAAATAACCTGAAGAGGCAAAGCACAGGGTCATCAACGGGGAATGCTCACGGAGTTCCTTGGAGATGGTCAGACATGTCCCCAGACTGTTGGGGGAGGGGTTAGGGGATTCATTCAAGATGGCGGTGCTGGCTGCATCTGGACCAGAGAACCAGGAGGAGGATCCCTGCCTCAGGTGGGGGCCTAGGAAACTGCAGAGTCTCTAAGCTCAGGCACGTCAGGCAGGGACCAGCCATCAGCTGCTGTTAAGGAATCTAGGACAAGCACCATCTTAGCAGTGCCCCTGTCTGAAACAGACCCTGGAGACTTGAAAACCAATAGCCCCCCACACACACTGCTGGCCACAGCGTGCTAACTCTTACAGAGACACCACCCAAGAACCAATCAGGCTGTGGAGACAACAAAAACACGGGACAAGGTCTGGCTTAATGCACTGAAGCCCAGGCACAGAACCATTCGCACACAAGGGGTCCCAAAGGGAGAAAAAGGGGTAGGGAACTTCAGAACCCGGAGGACCCTGACAGCAGCATATCACATAGGTGGATCCAAAACCTCCACGCTGGCCTGCTGGGAATTAAGATACTTCCAATCAGGAATCGTCAAATTTCAATTCTGATAACCTTCCTGGAGAGCATTTTCTAAGTAGGCCAGAGGAATTCAGCTTTACAGGAAATAATAATCTTAAGCTCAAGTGTGAAAACAAAGTTTGGCTGACAATGATTAACTTCCGCTATACGATTGCTATTTGTGGAGCTGGTAGTGAAGGTTGATAGTAAAACTACAATAGCCAAAGCCGAAGAGGAAAATGTGGGGAATAAAACTGTTTTTCAAATGAGTTAAAAATTGTTTTATGAACCTCATGGCAATCATAAAGCAAAACTGGAACTCAATTTTACCTATCAGTTGATTGCCTTAGATATAAATGGACTAACTCAACTCAAGAATTAACACCCTAAAAGGAACTAGAGAAGAAGAGATGAAAGAACATGCAGAAACACGCAGAAACAACAGTGACAGTAAGAGCTAAATCTCTGAGGATATAGACTTGGAAAATATTTAGGCTAATCAGGGAAAAACGCACCAATAAGCAATGAAAGCAAAAGTGAGGTAACCCAGATGGCGAAAGATCTACAGGCTGTGGAGTTTATGCCCAATTCAATCAGCCTAATCAGTGGCTGAATAAATAACAGTACTCCTACATTAAGTAAAAAAAGAAAAAATAAAAGAAAGATCTACAGGCTGACAAGTAGGAGAGTGAGGAAATAAACCAGAAACTCAAGGCCATCCCAGGGCTCACATACTCGAGTATTAAGTCAGCCAAGCAATATAAAATGAATGACTGAGGGTCTGCCATGGGGTCAGGCTCAAGGGGTGGTTGGGAAAACTGGAAACAAGGGTGGTGGGATTGGAGTTGGAACACTGAATGCCCGTAACAAATCATTGTGAACTTTATGAACTCTGTAAAGCACAGAGTTTATATAAGTTGTTGGGGAAATTTTTGTTTTTAATATTGTATCACTAATTCAGTAATACACACAGGATATTCTATATTACCAACCTTAGCTACATCAATAAATGGTACATCACTTACACAATAAATAGTGCATCAGTGCTACATCAAAAACACAGGCACCGATGACCACCCATGGCCATGGCCACTCACCATGAGGGGCCTTCATCCTGGTGCCACTTGGGCCCACACCTGAAGCCAGAGCCCCCCGGACCCAACACACCTTCAGCCACAGAGTAGCACATGAGGAAGTCGGCCCCGGCGGGCAGCGTGTGCACAGACGCTGCGTCCACCTGGGTCTCATTGCTGTCGGGCAGGCGGGTTGCATCGACCTCATCCTTGGGCTGGACCGGCACATCGTACTTGTCACCGCGACAGGCCTAAGACACAGGCAGGAGTGGGGTTGACGGGGACCCACTGATGCCAGCATGGCTCAGAGGGCCCCAGGGCTAGCTGGGGAAACACACAGTTCTGACTCAGGGACAGCCCAAGAACTGCCATGTGTCCTTGATTGGCCAAGAGAAAAACGGTGTGAGCACTCTTGCACTTCAGGAAATGCCGCCAATGGACAGGCACCGGGGCTTTGGATTTTCTTTTGAATTATTTAGGGTGTTAAACTGGGCCAAGATCTCACCAGAGGAACCACATGAAGACAAGTGGTGATGCAATAAGCAAAGGGTCTTTATTGGCTAGCTTGAGCTAGGGCCCTCATCTGGCTCACCCACACAGTGGCAGCCTTCTTAGAAGGAGTGACCCCGAGTCTCAAATGTGAGGGGCTTTTATACCATAGCATTATATAACAGGGATTTTCTGCAGACAACCCTTTTGGCCGCAGTCTGAGGGCCTTTCCACTACCTGCAATTAGCTGATTGGTTACAAGTCAGAGTTGTATAAGGATTACATGAGAGTTCCATAAGGGTCATATAGTGGTTATTAAGGGTTATTCCCCACCTGCATCTGATAGGTTTTATAGAGGGGACTTCCCAATCTCTATCTGATTGCTAACCCTTAGTAGACCTCGCCATGGCTATCTCACTTCAGGGAAATCATGATTCAATGTCAGGTATCTGTTCAATTCCAGGAATTCTGGAACCACAACCCAGGCCTAGCTTCTTCTGGCTTCTTTATGAGCCTGTCATGATGCTGCCTTTGCTTCTCTGTCTCTCCAGGGGGGATGCTCAGGAGCCTGCTCCAGCCCTCTCAGCTCAAACGAAGGGTAACACATTCCTGGGCCCAACATGTGGCCTGCCTGGTTGTCCCGAAGAAGAACACTCTAGAATGTTCTGTCTAGCGAGAGGGAGACAGGAATGGAGGTGGTCGGCAAGGTCCCCAGGCTTGGCTAGTCTCACACCCTGACTTCCATGGGATTAAAGACAGAGACTCTTTACCAGTTCTTTCTAGGATAAGGTGGGATTATGACCCAGGGTTCAAATGGCAACTCTCGGTGACAGCATCCAAAGCCTCTAGCACCTGGAGAAGTTGCTCTGGGAACTGTCAGTGTCCTCACAATCACTGAGGGTCTCACCTGAATGATGAAGATCTTGGGCTTGCCCACCAGGCTCTGACACTTGTCGCCTTTGAAGAAGTCCGTCAGCATGGGAATTTCCACCTTAGCGTCGTAGGCGTAAATGTGATTGCCTTCGCCGTGGCTCAGGAAAACACAGAGAAAGCAGTCGGCGTCGACATGGCTGATGGTTGACGCTGACATTCAGAGAGGAGCAAGTGCTTGTTACCTCTACCTAAAAATCCAGTCTGCACCCCCAAGGCTCCCCCCAGAACTTCCAGGAGTGAATCCTGAGCACAGCCAGGAGTAAGCTCTGAGAACTGCAGCCAAATCAAACTAACAACCCAGAATAATGACAAAAACTAAAGGGACTATGGTGGTCATACATCAGGTCCCAAAAATGTTACAATACAATAATGAGAGATCACATTCATTCATGTGATTCTGTATGGTTAATCTCCACTGAATTAAAAAAAAATTAAACTATGGCAGCCATGTCTGCACGTGGAGAAAACCAGTACACAAAGGTTTCATGCAGAGGGACTTTTATGGGGAGCCTTGTTCAAGCGCCCAGTGATTTTGGTAATCAAAGCTTTTTTGTCATCTGCTGCTTAGGACATTCTGGAAAGACCCTTTTGTTTTTATTTTGTAAACTCGGGTTAATGAGAATCCACGGCAGGGAGCACAGCCATCTCCATGGACAGATAAAGGCATTCAAGAGAGGAGACACAGATCTGAAGGGAACTTCATGATATCAGAATCCCAAGGCCGAAGGTCATGGCCCGCAAGCTGCTGGCCAGCCCGTAGCCAGCCCGTGGCCTGCTGCACTTCTGAGTCTGCTTTGTTCAATCAGCGACTCCACTGTGACACAGGAATGAGAGTGTGGCTCCACAGTGCCCTCCGCCAGGGAAGCACTGAGATGTGGTCAGTTTGAGTCCTCCTGACCTGTGGTCATGAAGCCACCTCAGCATTCCCGTCTGGAGAAGTCACCAGCTGGGCGTGTGCTGGACCTTAGTCGGGGTTGGGGGCTGGAGGCTTTGCAAGGACCCCTGACATTGAGGAGAAGCCCACTGCTGAGGCCCAGATAAGCTGGCGACAGACACACACCATCCAAGGCCCATCTTTCCAGAGTGGCCAGGCTGGACTCACGCCCCCAGACTGAAAAAGGGCATCCACCTACCTTCGTACATTGTGAGCAGTACTTCTTCTGCTCTGAGGTTGTTATAGCATTTCACCTCAAAACCTAGTTCTAGAAGCCTGGGGAACAACAGGAAGGGAGGTTAGGGTCTACCCCGTGTCGCCCCACAGCCCGGCTGATGCAAGGGATGGACGCCCACTTACAGGACACACAAACTGACTCCAGTAGCCGTAGTGCAGCAGGCGGGCACTCACCTCCCTGACCACCCAGAGGGCCTCCCGAGCCCCAGCAGGAAGTCCTAGGCACAGCTGGGAAGCCCCCAAAGCCAGACAAAACAAACTGACTTTTCCCTTGGGAGAAACAGACATGCAATAGGATGCTGAGGGTTTTTCCTGCTCACCCCCAATCCTCTGGGGTTTCTCCTGGCTTAAGTGCTACCCTCAGGTACAGACACACTTCTCACAATGAGTTAGACTTTGGACATGCTGGCACAGGCCAGAATCCAATCCAACACACACCTCCTTTGTTTCTGTTTTCTTAGGGGCACACCCAGCCAGGTGGTAGAGGGGAAGTACATCTGGTACAAAATTCATGCGCTGCTTGGGGCCAGTATGACAGCCAAGTGGCTAGCACACTGCAACCCGAGTTCAGTCCCAGACACCCTACAGGGTCCCCTGCACACTGCCAGGGGTGGTTCCTGTGTGAGAACCAAGAGGCACACCAGGTTTGCCCCCTCCCCCCCAAAAAAACCCAAACATTCAGTGTTTAATACCAAACATGATCGTCCTGCAGGCTTGTGGGTAAGACACTTCCCTGCTACCTCAGGGGGTCTGGGGGCCCTGCCACTGAGTCTTGACCAGTAGGTCGCAGGGGTCAGTACCAGGTCCCTGGGTGAGTGCTCAGGGATGCTGGGGGACTTGTAGACTGCTGGAGCCAGCCCAGGTGAGGGGCATCGCCCCAGCTGGTTTCCGAGCTCCCAGCCTCCTGGCTGCCCTACGGGAGCCACACCCACCAGGCACCCGGACATGGTACCTGCGACAGAGATTCTCCCAGTCTTTGCGGGTGCCCTCGCGTTTAGACAGATGCAGGAGCGGGCAGAACGTTTCGTGGTTGAAGATCAAAGCAAGACCTCGCCTCTTGTGGTTCATTTTGTACTTTTCTTCCGGATGCATCATTTCACTGTGGACGCTTAAAGAAAACGGTCACTTGGTCCTTAAGGAGCTTCCCGGAGCGGGGACAGCCTCACCCGGGAATCCCAATGCATTCACTCAGGGGGGCAGAGTTCCAGGCGGGGATTGGGGGGCTCCCCAGGCCCCCGAAGTGCGGCATGAACCAAGAAAGTTCGGGAGCCTCTGATCCAGCCACAGGTCAGGCCGGCAGAGCCAGTGCTGGAATCCTGACCCCCACCCCCCACCCCCTGCCCCCTGCATGCCTGTCTCTCCCACATCTACAAAATGCCACCTGTCACTCGGATCTGAACTCAAGTCCTTTCCAAGTAGAGGCAGCATGGAGACTGCAGGGCCAGCCGTGCAGCCCCGCGCTGGCCCCAACTCTCACAGCCCGGCCGCCCAGGGCAGACAATTGGAAAAGAACATGTCTCACCTCCCGTGGAAGGCATCTGTTTCCGTCATGTTCTGTTCCTCACCTACTAGTAAAGAGTCAATCATGGTGGTCATTTGGCTTACAGCTGTAAAAAGAAAAAAAAAAGGGTTCCTCAGGGTTCCAACTCCCACCCGCTAAGACCCTTCTTTTGAGGGTAGTGGAGCACTCCTGGGACTGGCTGAGGGGAAAGGGATGGGGAGGGGCTGCCTTAGCAGGATGACCAGAGCAGGATGGAAGAGATCCCAGTTCCTCCGCATGCCCCCTCCTGCCCCTTCCTCGGCCAGAACCATAAGTGACAACAGGACAAAAGCCGAAGGCGTCCACTCAGACAACCTTGGGGGAGCTGTGATGAGCCCCAAGGCAGGAAATGCCTCAAGGCAGAGGGAGCCCTTCCAGGGCCTAGATTTTGGGTGTCGAGTGATATGTCTGTGAAAGCCCCCGCCAAGTTGCCTTTTCCAGTGAACTGACATTCATCAGCTTCACAGCTGGGCAGTGAGAGAAATGAATCAACCCTGTCAGGAGAGTGAGAAGCGCCTCTGGGTAAAGGGCCCCAACTGCCAGGACCATTCCTGCCCCCACACATGTACCCTGCACATCCTGTCCCTCCCCCCAGCCAGTCTCCTGCTGCCAGCATGCCCCATGAATTCCTTGCCCGCACACCTTCTCCTCAGACACATCTTCAGACTGGCCCCCATACCTGTCCCTGGGGTGACCGTTCTGCCCACTCACAATGGGCCCCAGGACGCAGCGTCTACACTCAACCATCAGGATACTCACAACTGGGCTGCCCGGCCCAGCACCCACAGTGAGTGACCTGCAGTGGTGGGTCCCTGGCCACACAGCCCACACCGTGACCTGGACATCCCTCTCCACACATGCCATCTGGAGTTCTTCAAGTCCACACAGCCACCCATCCAAACCCAGCAACCTATGGCTGCCCAGAGGTTCTGGAACATTCCCTGCCCCGCATACCTCTCCCAGCCCAGCCAGAATGCTTCCCTCTGCACACAGCACACGGAACTGTAACCTCAGACCCTTCCCCACGGCCCCTCTCTTCCCTCACCGTGCATCCCTTCTCCACGGCGGCCCTGCGCTGCCTTCTCAGAGACTCTGGCCTGCACCCCCCACCCATCCTTCCTCACCCATTGCTCATGCGATGTCCCTTCCTCTGGCCCCACGCTCTGTGCCCGCACGCTCCCGGGACAGCTTCCTCTCCACACTGCACTGCCTGGGGGATATTATCCACACACCGTGGCCACTCCCACACCACACCCTGTCACAGGCACACCTTTGAACGCAGTGCTGGGAGTGACGGGGCAGTAGGGCAACATGGCGTTCATCAACTCAGCCAAGTCCTCAGACCCTTCAAATGTGCTCAATGAAACGTGCATTCCAGATTTAAGAGACACTCCTGTCAGAGCTTTGCTATTTTTCGTTGATTGCCTCGAGCAGGCCCCAGTAACGTCTCCTTCGTCCTAGCCCTGAGATTTTTAAAAAAGTGTCATATTCAAGGCTCTTTCAGAGTTAGGAGAATGAGACCCATCAATGTTACTGGTATTTGGCATATTGGGTACACCACGGGGAGTTTGCCAGACTCTTTGCTATTTCCAGCAGTGCTTAGAGTTACCCGGGCTCCCACTTGCCATGTACGTGCCCTGGCCCTGAGCTGATACCCTGCCCCAGGTTCTCCTCTCTCCAGGAAGTACTCTGATCTCCAACACAGAGAGTTGTGTACTCAGGTTATCTCAGATATCGCCTTCCGTGTTGGTGATCAGAATTTCAGCTGAGAGCCACTTGCAAGTAACTCCGGATAATTTGATTAAAATGATATCCCAGGGGGCAGAGAGCCAACAGAACGGGTAGGGCACTTGCTTTACATGCAGCTGAATCAGGTTCGAGTCCCGGCATCCCATATGGTTGCCTGAGCACCCGCATGAATGATTTCTGAGTATAGGGCCACCAATCCTAGAAGCTGTGGAAAACCTCAGCCTGCACAGGCTTTGCCAGGTCAAACATCCCTTGTCTGGGTGATGACTTATGCAACACAGAACCAGATTGGACATTTTCCTTAGCGATTTCTGACCCAGAAGTTTTGGTTCAAAAAACAAGCCTTGGGGGTATAGTGCCACCAGCAGGTCAATCTATACCTGTGAGGCGAGTGGATCAGCAGCCTAATGCCACTGTGAGACTTTCAGATACCCCAAAATTGCTGATGTGCCTTTGGCCAGACCCCAAAAACTTGCAGCAAAGTTTACCAAGAAAATAAACGGCTAAAAGTTAGGTATGTGGGAGACACACCCACAAACCACCTCCGGCTCAGTTATATAATTAGAGGCATGGTCTCTCTGGTTCCTGATCAAACTGCTTAATGGCCATGATCCCAGAGACTCAGAAACGAATCTCGGAACCCAAAGGCTTTTGGCAGAAATGCATCCTGTTCCTGCAGTAGGTTACTGGCGCTGGGCCACTCCATGTGGGAATTGGTTTTGTTCCCCTTGGCGGCCCGGTGACCACCATCCTCCAGAGGCCACTGGACAGTAAGGTTTGGGCCTGCAGTGACGAGACACGCGGGACCTCACCAGATGGGAGTGAAACCGGCCCTTTCCTCCCCATCCCAGCGAGACCCCGAGTCACCGCCTACAAACGGCCTCTCTGACACCTGATCAAGCTAATTAATGGCCATGATCCCAGAGACTCAGAAACGAATCTCGGAACCCAGCAGCTTTTGGCAGAAATGCATCTGGACCGCATATAAGGTGGCCGCCGCCTCAGAGCTTATTGGAAAGCCAGGTATGAGCCGGTGGTGACAGGGCAACTGCAGTCTCATGGGAAGGGGGCCGGTACCGGCTTGTCCTACACACCCTATCGAGGTCACAAGTTGCTCCCCATCAGTGGCTCTCCAGCATGGCCATGGGTCCAGAGACAAAAGGACTTAATCCAGAGCCCGGCAGCTTGCGGCAGAAAAATGAATGGACCATGTGTTAAACTATGGCACCATGCCACCCCAGGAGGAAAAGGGTGTTGTTCCTTTCCGCCTCCCCTCCCCTCCCCCCCGGCAGCAAGGTGGCTGTCGCCTCAGAGCTTATTGGAAAGCCAGGTATAAGCCGGCGGTGACGGGGCAACTGCAGTCTCATGGAAAGGGGGATGGTACTGGCTTGTCCTTCACGCCCTACTGAGGTCACAAGTTGCCCCACATGAGCGGCTCTCTGGCATGGCCATGGCTCCAGAGGCAAAAGGACTTAGTCCAGAGTGCGGCAGCTTGCAGCAGAAAAGTGAATGGACCATGTGTTAAACTACAGCACCATGCCACCCCAGGAGGGAAAGGGTGTTGCTCCCTTCTGCCTCCCCCCCACCCCCCAGCAACAAGGTGGCTGCTGCCTCAGAGCTTATAGGAAAGCCAGATATGAGCTGGTGGTAACGGGGCAACTGCAGCCTCACGGGAAGGGGGGCAGTATCGGCTCGTTCTTCATGCCCTACTGAGGTCACAAGTTGCCCCCCACGAGCGGCTCTCCAGCACAGCCATAACACCAGATGCACAGAATCCAATCTCGTAATTATCTGGCTCTTTGCAGAAATCCAAAATCGATGCTGTATGACATTATATGATTCTCATAACCAGCTATAGAAAGCAAAGTATTTCACAATGCCTTTTCAGCAATTCTGATTGTTGGGGGCGAAATTCTAAACAATAATGGTGCATCTTTTGTCAAAATAATGAATGTAATCAATGTAGAGAAGAGTTAAGTAGAAATCATCTGTATCACAGGTAGTGGAAGGGGTAGGAGGTGGGTATATTGGGGTTCTTAGTGGTGAAATATGAGTACTGGTGAAGGGAAAGGTATTTGATCATTGTATGACTGAAACTTAAACCTGAAAACTTAGTAACTTTTCCCACAGTGATTCAATAAATAAATATAAGAAAAAATAAATAAATAAATAAAATTATGAAAAAAAAAAGAAAATTAAAAAAAAAAAACCCAAGCCTTCCATGCAAAGAGCCTGGAAGAGCCAGGGGTCATTACACCTTCAGTTACCTGCCCCTGGAATACCCCGGCCTTCAACTCACAAACAAAAAATGCTGGAAAAGAGGCTTTTTGTTTTCTTTTTTTTTTTTAAATCTTGGGACCAGAGCAATATAACAGCATGCAGGGCATTTGCCTTGCTCACAGCTGGCCCTGGTTTGATGCCTGGCATCTCATGTTAACCCCTGGTCCCCAGCATGACGCAGAGGGAAAGTTCTTCCAACTGACACACTGGGCAGTGAGGCCCCCAGGGGGGATGGGGAGGATCCAGTCCCAGGAAAGACTCTTCCAGACTTGCACGGTGACCAGTCAGCATCTGCACATCCTGAGCTCTTTGGACCCCTGACGTCACCTGCTTCTCTCCTTCCTCCAAAGGCCGAGGATGCTCTCAGCTACCTGTGCCACTTCCAGTGCCTGTGGAAGCAGCGGCCATCGGCAGGAAACAGCTTGGGATCTCCCCTAAAGGTGTCCGCTTGACTCTTCCGTCAGTCTCTGTTTGTTAATAACTATTTTTAAATGCACAGGTTTTCTTGGTTTCACTTGATGTGTGTGGGTTGTGGCTTTCAGCGAGAGAGGAACAGCAAATCGGTCAGTGGATTCTGCTGCTTCTACTGGTGTCCTCCTGAGCGCGACTCACTGTAGCCTGAGCATGTCAAAGTGGAGCAGAGCTATGGCCGCTCCTTAAGGCTGAGAACGAGGACCTGGGTGTTATTCTGCCCGGAAACAAGCATTGGTGCATTTTAACAAAACACTGTTAGCCAAATCTCAACCGACCACATTGTAGGATGAAAGTACTTGTGTTTTTTACTCCTCTGAACTTCTAAATAATAGCTGATTTTTCTTACCCAACCGAAACTGGGTCCTCCTTGCTAGGGTGCAGGAGAAAGCTCCTTGGCCAACCGTGACTGCTGCCTCCAGCTACAGTTCTAAACTGACAATGCATGAAGGGATAAGAGAAAATACAAACTCCAAACCGTTTCCAAAAGTCATAAGATTTTATAAAAAATTTTATAAAGTTGGGAGAGTAACCTTGTGATTTACTATTAAAAAATCAAGCATTACAAATGTTCGTCAATCTTAGCCAAAAAACCCCTTTCACAGTGATTTAAGCTTCTGTACCATACATTTAACCCTCATGGTAAGTAAGAGATGAATGAGAACTCATTCTGCAGACAAACGGTAAAAATGAAGCCGCAGCCTCACTGGGGCTTGGGGAGGAAGCACAGCTTCTTGGTGAGCATGGAGGCAAAGCAGGGAATCTGCTTCTTGCCGATGGCGCTCGGATCTCTGCTGATGTCCACTCGGCGCCGGGACACCCTCCTGTTGACCAGTGTGAGCAGCTCCGTGAACTCCAGGGACGTGCCATATCTTGCCAGCAACTCACACAGATCCTGGATGTACCAAGAGCCGTACAGAGTATCCCGGTGTGAGAAATACCCTGAAGAGGCAAAGCACAGGGTCATCATCGAGGGGATGGAAAAGCTCGTGGGGTTCCCCAGAGACAGTGAGCCACCTCCCCAGACTGTTCTCAGGGGGGAGAAGGGGATTCATTCAAGACGGTGGTGCTGGCTGCATCTGGAGCTGAGAGCCTGGAGGGTGGTACCTGCCTCGGGTGGGGGGGGAGGGGCAGGAAACTGCAGAAAGTCAGGCAGGGCCCAGTTGTCAGCTGCTTTAAGGAATCTGGGACGGGCACCATCTTAGCAGTGCCCCCATCTGAAACAGACCCTGGAGACTTGAAAACTAACAGCCCCCCACACTGCTGGCTACAGCGTGCTATCTCTTACAGAGACACGACCCAAGAATTGATCAGGTTGTAGGGACCAAAAAAAGGGGCGAGGTCTCGCTTAATCCACTGATGCCCAGGCACAGAAGCATTCACACCCAAGGGGTCCTAAAGGAAGAGAAAGGAGTAGGAACCTCAGAACCTGGAGGACCCCAACAGCAGTACATCCCATAGACAGATCCCAACCCTCCATGCTGGCATGCGGGGTATTAGGACGCTTCCAATCAGGAATCCTCACATTTCAATTCTGATAACCTTCCTGGAGAGCGTTTTCTAGGCCGGCCAGAGGAATTCACTTTACAGGAAGCCATAATCTTAAGTTCAAGTGGGAAAACAGAGAGTATCACTGGTAATGATTAACTTTAACTATATGTTTGCTATTTGTAGAGCTGGTCATGAAGGTCGATAGTAAAACTACAGCAGCCAAGGTCAGAGGAGGAAAATGTGGTGAGTAATACTTTGCTTTTCAAATGAGTTCAAAATTGGTTTATGGACCTCATGGCAATCATAAAGCAACACTGAAACTCAGTATTACCTATCAGTTCATTGCATTAGATATAAATGGACTATCTCAACAATTAAACCCTAGGGGCCGGAGTGATAGCACAGCGGGTAGGGCATTTGTCTTGCACGTGGATGACCTGGGTTTGATCCATAGCATCCCATATGGTCCCTCGAGCACCGCCAGAAGTAATTCCTGAGTGAAGAGCCAGGAATAACCCCTGAGCATCTCTAGGTGTGACCCAAAAAGAGGAAGAAAAAAAAAGAGAATGAAGCCCTAAAGGGAACTAGAGAAGAGCAGATGAAAGAAGGAGCTGACACATGCAGAGACTACGGTAACAGTAAAAACTGAATCTCTGAGAATATGACTCGGAAAACATTTAGTGAAAAAAGCACAAATCAGCAATGAAAGCAAAAGTGAGGTAATGCAGATGGTGAAAGATCGACAGGCTGAGAACTAGGAGGGTGATGACAAGAACTGGAAACCCAAGGCCATCCCTGGACCCATGTACTCAAGTATTAAGTCAGTCAAGCAATATCAAATGAATGACTGAGGGTCTGCCATGGAGGCAGGCTCAGAGGTGGTTGGGAAAACTGGAAACAAGGGTGGTAGGACTGGGGTTGAAACACTGCCCGTAACAAATCACCATGAACAACACTGTTAAGCACAATGTTTATATAAGGTGTAGGGGAAGTTGTTTTTTTTAAAATATTGTATTACTAATATGCCAAATACAATAACAACAAGTCTCAAAAAATGGAGACGTTACTGGGCCCACTCAAGCAAATCGATGAGCAACAGGAGGACGATGTTTGTTTGACAGTGTATATTACTAATTCAGTACTCCACACAGGATATTCTATATTACCAACCTTACCTACATCAATAAACAGTACGTCATTTACGCAATAAATAGTGCATTCATACTACAACAAACACATGGGCACCTACGGCCACCCAGGGCTGTGGCCACTCATCAGGAGGGACACTCTTCCTGGTGTCACTCAGAGCCCCCACCCGAAGCCAGAGCCCCCCAGACCCCACGCACCTTCGGCCACCGAGTAGCACATGAGGAAGTCGGCCCCAGCAGGCAGTGTGTGCACAGACGCCGCATCCACCTGGGTCTCGTTGCTGTCAGGCAGGCGGGTTGCATCCACCTCATCCACAGGCTTGACAGGCACATCGTGCTTGTCACCGCGACAGGCCTACAACACAGGCAGAAGCAGGGCTGACTGGGATCCATTAATGCCAGCGTGGCTCAGAGGGTCCCAGGGCCAGCTGGGGAAGTGCACGGTCCTCTGGCCCGGGGCCATCCCAAGAACCACCATGTGGCCCCGACAGGCCAAAAGGAAAATGGTGTGGGCACCCTCATGCTTCAGCAAATGCCGCCAACAGACAGGCACCGGGGTTTGGGAATTTTTTTTTTAATTATTTAGCATGTTAAACCAGCCTAATATCTCACCAGAGAGGAACCACATGCAGACAAGTAGCAATGCAATAAGCAAAGGGTCTTTATTGACTAGCTTGAGCTAGGGCCCTCGTCCGGCTCACCCACACAGCAGCAACCTTCTTGGAATTAGCCGCCCTGAATTTCAAAAGTGAGGGGCTTTTATAACACAGAATTATATAACAGGGGATTTCTGAGGACCACCCTTTTGGCTGCAGCCTTAGGACCTTTCCACTACTTGTACTTAGCTGATTGGTTACCGGTCGGAGTTGCATAAGGGTTGCATAAGAGTTCCATAAGGGTTATATAGTGGTTATTAAGGGTTATTCCCCACCTGCATCTGATAGGTTATATAGAGGGGACTTCCCTACCTGCATCTGTTTGGTAACCATTAATTGAACTTGCCATGACTATCTCACTTCAGGGAAATCGTGATTCAATTCCAGGTATCTGCATTCAATTCCAGGAATTCTAGAACCGAAACCCAGGCCTCGTTTCTTCTGGCTTCTTTATGACTTTGCTTCTCTATCTCTCAAGGGGGGATACTCAGGGGCCTGCTCCAGTCCTCTCAGCTCAAACAAAGGGTAACACATTCCCGGGCCTAACATGTGGCCTGTCCAGTTGTCCCGTAAAGGAAAATCCTAGAATGTTCCAGTTAGCGAGAGGGAGATGGGAATGGAGGTGGCTGGTGAGGTGAACAGGCTCGGCTGGTCTCGCACCCTGACTTCCATAGGATTAAAGACAGAGACACTTTACCGGTTCTTTCTAGGATAAGGTGGGATTATGACCCAGGGTCAAATTGCAACTCGCAGTGACAGCATCCAAAGCTTCTCAGCACACAGAGAAGTTGCTCTGGGAACTGTCAGTGCTCTCATGATCGCTGGCAGTCTTACCTGAATGATGAAGATCTTGGGCTTGCCCACCAGGCTCTGACACTTGTCGCCTTTGAAAAAGTCCGTCAGTGTGGGAATTTCCACCTTAGCGTTGTAGGCATAAATGTGATTGCCTTCGCCGTGGGTCAGAAAAACACAGAGAAAACAGTCGGCGTCCAGGTGGCTGGCGGTTGATTCTGATGTTCAGAGAGAAACAAGTGCTAATTAGCTCTACCTAAGAATCCAGTCAGCAACCCCCGTGCTCCCCCCAGAACCTCCAGGAGTAAATCCTGAGCACTGTGGCCAAAACAAACAAACAAAAAATCCAGAATTAATAACAAAAACTAAAGGGATTATGGTGATCATACCTCCAGGTCCCAAAAATGTTACTGACAATACAATGAGAGATCACATTCATTCACGTAACTTTTATGTGGTCAATCTCCGCTGAAACAAAAATTAAACTATCTCAATCATGTCTGCATGTGGGAAAAACCAGTACACAAAGGTTTCATGCAGAGGGACTTTTATGGGGAGCCCTGTTCAAGCGCCCAGTGATTTTGGCAATCAAAGCTTTTTTGTCATCTGCTGCTTAGAACATTCTGGAGAGACCCTTTTTGTTTTTTTTTTGTAAACTCAAGTGAGTACTGTTTCCGGAGGAGAATCCAAAGCTTACAGCTCAGCCATCTCCACGAACAGATAAAAGCATTCAAGGGAGGAGATACAGATCTGAAGGGAGCTTCGTGGTGTCAGAATCCCAAGAGCCCACAGGCAAGGCCCGTAGGCTGCTGGCCAGCACGTGACCAGCCTGTGGCCAGCCCGTGACCTGCTGCACTTCTGAGTTTGCTCTGTTCAATCAGCGACTCCACACAGGAATGAGAGTGTGACTCCACAGTGCCCACAGCCAGGGAGGCACTGGGATGTGGTCAGTTCGAGTCCCCCTGACCTATGTTCAAGAAACCGCCTCAGCATTCCCATTCTGGAGCAGCCGCCAGCCGGGCGTGTGCTGGACCTTAGTCGGTGCTGAGGGCTAGAGGCTTTGCAAGTGTCCCTGACATGGAGAAGCCCACTGCCCGGGCCCGGGTAAGCTGGTAACAGACACACACAGTCCGGGCTCATCTTTCCAGAGCAGCCAGGCCGGGCTCATACCCCCACACTGGCGGGCGTCCACCTACCATCATACATTTTGCGCAGTACTTCTTCCGCGCTGAGGTCGTCATAGCATTTCACCTCAAAACCTAGTTCCAGAAGCCTGGGGAGCAACAGGAAGGGAGTTTAGGGTCTACCCCGAGTCGCCCCTCACCCTGGCTGACCCAAGGGATGGATGCCCACTTACAGGACACACAAACTGACCCTCCAGGTTGGACCCATAGCACAGCGGGCAGGCGCTCACCTCCCTGGCTGCCCATTGGGCCCCCGAGCCCAGCAGGAAGTCCTGGGCACAGCTGGGCAGCCCCCAATGCCAGACCAAAGATACTGACTTTTCCCTCAGGAGAAACAGACACCCAATAGGATGTTGAGGATTTTCCCTGCTCACCCCCAATTCTCTGGGGGTTTCTCCTGGCTTAAGTGCTGCCTTCGCGGTGCAGACACATTCCTAACAACGCGTTAGACTGCAGACGTGCTGGCACAGGTTAGAATCCACTCTGGTGTGCTCGCCTGCTTTGTTTCTGTTTTCTTAGAGGCACGCCCAGCCAGATGGTGGGGGAAATCCAGCTGGTGCAAAACCCATGCACTGCTGCGGGCCATCGGACAGCCAAATGGTTCAGGTCCCCGCCTTGCACATGGTGATCCGAGTTCAGTCCCAGACATCCCACAGGGTCCCCTTCACACCACCAGGGGTGATTCCTGTGTGCAGAACCAGGTGGCCCACTAGGTGTCCCCCCCAAAAAAAAAAAACCCCAAACATTCAGTGCTTAATAACAAACATAATAGTTCTGCAGATGTGGGTAAGACACCTGCCTGCTCCCCCAGGGGCCTGGGGGCCCCACCAGTGAGTCTTGACCAGTGGGGCGCAGGGATCAGTGCCAGGACCCTGGATGTGTGCTCAGAGGGGGAACCTGTAGGATGCTGGAGCCAGCCCAGGTGAAGGGCATCGCACCAGCTGGTGTCTGAGTTCCAAGCCTCTCGTATGCCCTACAAGAGGCTGCGCCCCACAGGCACCCAGACACGGTACCTGCGACGGAGATTCTCCCGGTCTGCGCAGGTGCCCCGGCGGTCAGGCATGCCAAGGTACCAGTAGAACCGCTCGTGGTTGAAGATCAAAGCGACACCTCGCCTCTTGTGGTTCATTTTGTACTTTTCTTCTGGATCCATCACTTCGCTGTGGATGTTTAAAGAAAACGGTCACTTGGTCCTTAAGGAGCTTCCCGGAGCGGGGACAGCCTAACCCAGGCATCCCAACACATTCTCTCAAGGTGGGCAGAGTTCCAGGCAGGGGTGAGGGGCTCCCCAGGCCCCCGAAGTGTGGCACGGACCAAGAAAGTTCAGGACCCTCTGTCTAGATATAGGTCAGGCCAGCAGAGCCGGTGCTGGATTCCTGAGTCCACCCCCCATCCCTCCTGCCCCCGCACGCCTGTCTCTCCCACATCTACAAAATGCCACCTGTCACTCGGATCTGAATTCAAGTCCTTTCCAAGTAGAGGCAGCGTGGTGACTGCAGGGCCAGCCGTGCAGCCCCGCGCTGGCCCCAACTCTCACAGGCCAGCCGCCCAGGGCAGACAATTGGAAAAGAACGTGTCTCACCTCCCGTGGAAGGCATCTGTTTCTGTCATGTTCTGTTCCTCACCTACTAGTCCAGAGTCAAACATGGTGGTCATTTGGCTTACAGCTGTAAAAAGAAAAAAAAAGGGTTCTTCAGGGTTCCAACTCCCACCCGCTAAGACCCTTCTTTTGGGGAGCACCCTGAGGACTGGCTGGGGGCATGGGTAGGGGAAGGGGCCGCCTAGGCAGGGGACCAGAGCAGAATGGGAGAGATCCCAGCCCCTCCGCACGCCCCCTCCTGCCCCTGCCATGGCCAGAAGCATAAGCAACAACAGGAGGAAGGCTGAAGGCGTCCGCTCAGACACACTCAGGGGAGCCGTGACAAGCTCCCAAGGCAGAAAACACCTCAAGGATGCGGGAGCCCTTCCAGGGCCTAGATTTGGGGTGTCCAGTGCTAGATATGTCTATGAAAGCCCTCGCAGAGCTGCCTTTTCCAGTGAACGACATTCATCAGCTTCACACACTGGCGGGAGAGTGAGAAGTACCTCTGGGTAAAGGTCCCCAAGGGCCAGGACCGTTCCTGCTCCCACACGGGACTCTCACTGCCCTACCCTGCACCTCACATCCTGTCCCTCCCCCTGGCCTGGTCCCCTGCTGCCAGTGAATTCCCTGCCTGTACACCTTCTCCTCAGACACATCCTCAGACTGGCCCCCACATCTGTCCTTGGGGTGACCGTTCTGCCCACTCACAATGGGCCCCAGGACACAGCGTCCACACTCAGTCATCAGGACACTCGCAGCTGGGCTGCCCGGCCCAGCACCCACAGTGAGTGTCCTGCAGTGGTGGGTCCCTGGTCACACAGTCAACACACTGCCTTGGACATCCCTTTCCACATATGCCACCTGGAGTTCTTTGGGTTCACACAGTCGCTCATCCAAACCTAGCAACCTATGGCTGCCCCGAGGTTCTGGAACATTCCCTGCCCTGCACACCCCACTCAGCCGAGCCGGGACGCTTCCCTCCGCACACAGCACACGACACTGTCACTTCGGACCCTTCCCCACAGTCCCTCTCTTCCCCCATCGTCACGGGCGTCCCTTCTCCATGGTGGCCCTGGGCTGCCTTTTCGGAGACTCTGGCCCGCACCCCACACCCTCCTTCCTCACCCATTGCTCTTGCAATGTCCCTTCCTCTGGCCCTGTGCTCTGTGCCCACATGCTCCCAGGACAGCTTCCTCTCCATACTGCACTGCCTGGGGGATATTCTCCACATACCGTGGCTACTCCCGCACCACACGCCATCATGGCCATGCCCGTGCCCAATGCTGGGAGTGGCTGGGGGGCGGCAGGGCCAACATGCCATTCACCAAACTCAGCAGAGTCCTGAGACCCTCCAGATGTGCTCAATGAAACATGCATAGCAGATTTAAGAGACATTCCTGGGTCAGAGCTTTGCTGTTTGGGGGCAAGTCCAGCAGCAGCTTACCTGGGCTACCACCTGCTATCTGCCATGTGACCCAGCCCTGAGCTGATGCCCTGCCCTGTTTTCCTGTCTCCAGGAAGGAACAACTCTGATCTCCGGCACAGAGAGTTGTGTGTTCTGGTTATCTCAAATATCGCCTTCCACGTTGGCGATCAGAATTTCAGCTCAGGGTCACCTTCAAGTAACTCTGGATAATTTTTTTTCTTTTGGGTCACACCCGGCCACACTCAGGGATAACTCCTGGCTCTGTGCTCAGGAATTACTCCTGGCGTTGTGCAGGGGACCATATGGGATGCCGGGGATTGAACCCGGGTCAGCCACGTGCAAGGCAAACGCCCTCCTCACTGTACTATCACTCAGGCCCCCACCCAATCCGGGTAATTTGATTAAAATGATATTCCAGGGGCCAGAGAGCCAGCACAGCAGGTAGGGCACTTGATTTACATGTGGCTGACCTGGTTTCGAGCCCCAGCGTCCCATATGGTCGCCTGAGCACTGGCAGGAATGATTCCTGAGTGCAGGGCCAGGAGTCACCCTGCTCATCACTAGAGTTGGCCCCAAACAAAACAATAAACCAACCAAACAAAATGACATTCTGGAGCCAGAAAGCTCAATGCACTGAGTGCATGCTTTGCATACAGGAGAATCAGTGTCCCGTCACTCCCCACAACCCCCCGGAACTCTGCCTAAGGCACCCTCCAAGCGCAGAACTTGAGCACTACTGGGTGAGACCACCCCCGCACCAAAATAAAATGACGCTAACGAGTTAGCCTCCCCAGGGAGTTCTCCCAGCATCATTACTCTAGATGCTGAGGATGGGGCAGGAGGGGGCCTCTGAAAGCCCAAGTTCCACCAGACCAGCTCCAGCCTGGCCTTGGGTGGCTGCAGACCCGCTGCCACTAGAGGGCACAACTGGTGCCAGTCCCACCCACCCCGTCTAGTCACTGCTTGGTTCTCCCAGCGCCCAGGGCAGGCAGCGGTGACTGTCGGGTTGGAGTGAGCCACGCTGGGAGCTCAGGGGCCTCCCAGTACCCACTCCTACTGCACATGGCTTGTGGCCAGGGTCAGGAGACACAGACAACCAAGGAGATGCCCGATGACTGCTCTTCACCCAGCATGCCCAGGGTGGGCTCTGTCCCCCGCCCCCTCACCATGATCTGCAGAGCAGCCACTCTTGTTCAGAGACCCTCAACCCAGGCAGCGCACCGGGGAAGCAGGGACAACCCACAGGGGCTGCCTTGACCTGGACCGTCTCCAGCAGCATCTGGTCGTGGGCACTCATTATCGAAGGACTTCGCTCGCCACTGCCCTGACAGCAGAACCAGTTTGGTCAGACCTCAGCTTGGCACGTTACCTCACCAGGCTAACCCGACCCAGGTCATTTCTTGCTCTGCAAGTCAGAGGAGCCTAAGGAACTGGCTCCCCAGACTGTCAGGAGGTGACCGTTAAGCTGGTCCCTGTTATTCAGGGAGATCTGAATAGCGCAGGGGTCCTGCCTCATCCCAGGGCTGGGACTGAGAGCTGTGCAGCCAGGAAGCCCCAGATTGCGTCTCCCACCCAAGGGACGCTGATGCTGGCCCTAACCCGGGAGCATCCTAAGGAGAAGCACTGTGACACACCTCCAGAACAGGTGGCCCGGGCTGGCTGGCTGCCCTCCATGGGTGCCACCACCTTCCGTTAAAACGCTGCACCTGCGAGATGGGTCCGAGAGGAGGGAGCCTCTGGGGTGTCTGGGGCGCCTACGGGGCGCCCACACCTGCCACGAGGGGAGGGAGCACCTGCCACTTCTTACCCGAAGCAGCACCCCCACCCCCCCTTATCACGCTCAGCCCGGGAGGGCAGGGAGGGAGCCGGCGCGCCCGGCCAAGGTCGAACCCCCACATGCCAGGTGTGCAGCATGGGGTCCAAAGTCTGTGCCCTGCTCATCTGCAGCCCCTGAGCCCACCCCGGAGGTCCTGGCCGCCTCCAACTAGGAAACTTCCCCCATCCCCATGCCCCGTGTCCACGGTCCACTCGCGCCAGAATCTTCCCACGCGCGCAGGTCCACGGGCGCCCCAGCACACGGGGAGAGGGACGCGGTGGAGAGGGGCAGGGCAGGGCAGTGTCCCCCGGGCGCCCCCCCCCCCCCCGCGCTGTCCACCCTCTCCGAGGCCAGGCTCAGCGCTGTGACGCTTCCCGGGGGAGGGTCCCAAGGAGGACCTCACTCCTCCGGTGGGGTCCACCGGGCGCTGCTCGAGATCTGGTTTCCACCGAAGCCCCCGAATGGCGGCGGGTCTCTAGGGCGCGCCCAGCCCGGCTGGGACTCGGGCGCTGCGACCCCCCGCCCCGTGGTGGCGCGTGCAACGCCCCCCCCCCATACCCGAGCCGCCCCCCCGCGCCCCACTTGCTCCCGATGCTCCCCACACCCAAAATGCCCCCCCGCGCCCACCTGTTCCCGGGGGCCCCCAGACACCCGAGGCCGCTCCCCGCGCCCACCGGCTCCTGGGGCCCCTCACACCCGAGCCGCCCCCCGCGCCCACTTGCTCCCGGGAGCGCACGGACAGCTGCACGAGTGGCCAGACACGCCCAGCGCCGCGGCCACTCCCCGGCCGCCACCCCGCGAGGGTCCCCGCGCTTACCCGCCGAGCTCACAGTCGCCCCGACGCCGCCCCGACGCCCCGCGGCAGCTTCCTGCAGCCCCGCCGCAGCCCCCGCCCCTTCCTCCGCCGCCTCCGCCCCGCTGGCCGCGCCCCCCACCCGACGCTCCGCCCTGCCCCTGCTGTCCGGCTGCCCCAGGGGCCAACAGAGGTGCCAAGCAGCCCCCTCTGCAGGCCGAGCTAGCACCCTCAGCCCTGCAAGGTTGCTTGTTTGGGAAGCCGGAGGGGTGCCCCGGGAGGTGGGCAAGAGGCCCCCGGGGGACCTGTGCGCTTGTGCACTCAGGGCGCCCCGAACGCGGTGCCTTGGGGTGCAGCTCTGAAGGAGCCTGCGGGCGCGCGTCCTCACCCAGCTCTGTGTTGCCCGAGCAGGGTGAGGGGGTGCGGGTCAGAAGTGGGTTCCCGGAGTGCCGGGCCGGTGCGCGCTGTTGCGAGGTGACCTCATGCATTCAGTTCCCCTGGGCCTCGTCGTAGTCGTCAGGGTAACTGACCCCTGAAGGCTGCCTCTTGCAGGAAGCAAGCACAGCAGGGACTTGGAGAAAGAGCTCGAGGGAGGCCTTCAGCTCCGGCGCCCCTGCAGACCCGCATAAGTGGGAGGCGGCTGTGGGGACCGGTCGTTGGAGAAATAGTTTATTTCTTGATTATTCCGAGGAGGAAGGTGCCATCTGAATAGTGCCATTATTTCCTGCGTCAGAGGAGTGGATTCCTGCCATCTCGCCTGACATCAGCCAACCCTAGCGACTTCACTGCGCCCATGGAAGGCTGCGGAAGAAGGCTGGGACCGCCTCGGGGGACGGGATACTTGGGTGAGGGGGCCCTCTGGGGACCTGAGGTGTCCGGTTGGCTCAAAGCAAGTGTGGCTTTTGGTTTCCCCCTGGGGGCAGCGCCCATTGGGGGGCCTACTGGCCATCTGCTCTGCGCCCTTGTTCTCCTTTGTTACTTACTCCCTTCCCTGGCCCCATGCCCAGTTTCCAGTGAGTTCTGGACTCGCTTTCTATAGGTGAGCCATACCCCCCTCCTCGGGGGACCATCCACACAGCTGCAAGGAACAAATGAAAGGAATTTAGTTTCCCTGCAAGCGCCTTTTCTCAGAATGCTGTGGGACTGCCACAGCAGTAGTCACGTATTTTAAAGAGTGTTCACCTTAAGGTATGTGGGTCACTTATCTGGAATTACAGATGCATCCTGTTGGCACAGATCAGTGCATTTACCATGGGCACACACAAGGGCCAGAGCCTGGGGAAAGGCTGGGCTCCAATGTGGACTCACCAGGCAGAGGCTCCAGCTCCTGTAAAAAGGGGGTGTAGAATAACATTGCCACAGGGAGCTCAGGTTTATGGGGTTACACCCATCACAGTGCTCCCGAGTCACTCCCATTCCTCTGTTTATCTGTAAACTCTTCTCTGTGCTCTCCTCCCCAGCCAGTTAATCACCTTTTCTCCCAAATCAGATTCTGTTAGCTTGTAAGATCAGATCCTTCTAAGGACACTGAACTTGTAAGTTATGTCTTTTGCATAGTTTACCTTAAAGCAATGTCCTTTCTGTATGGACACAGGAAGACAGTTAATATTATGCTTTGTAACTTGGGAGTTGATTGACTCAGAATAATATTTACTCCTGGGCATCTGCTTTCTTGACTCAGTTGCCCTTAGTTCCTAGCACACCAAAAGCAGGGTCCCAACAAGGGACTGAAGGGACCCAGGGCAAGCTGTGAGCTACCCTGGCATCGAAATAGGCCAGGCCATAGTGCCACGATACTCAACTATAAGTTGAGGGCACGATCATGGACAAATGCTGTCATGATCCAAAAGTAAGTAATGACGAGACTGGGACCCTGCTGGGGCTAGGAAGACTAACCTGGCCTGAGGACTGTAATATATATCAGAGGCCCTCCCGTTGATCATCGATTTGCTCGAGCGGGCCCAGTAACGTCTCCATTGGAGACTTTGTTGTTACTGTGTCTGGCATATCGAATACTCTCGGTAGCTTGCCGGGCTCTCCGAGAGGGGTGGAGGAATCGAACTCGGGTCGGCCATGTTGGCTGCATGCAAGGCAAACACCCTACCCGCTGTGCTATATATATATGTGTCTGACCATCTGGTAGGTGGGCGGCCACAAGGTCTTTTGACATCCCGTGGAATTCAGTCGGTAACAGCTGTAGTCCAGCGGTCGTCTTTAAATCTCATTACGTGACCAGCCCATCTGATTTTCGACACCTTGGCAAATGAGACAGCTTCCCTGATCCTTGATCGTCGACGGATGTCAGAACTCCGGATTCTTTCTCTCATTTGAGTGAAACGTGATATTCCAAGCATAGATCTTTCTATTCTTCTTTGGGAGACCTGAATAGCGTTCTCATCCTGTTTGCGTAGGGCCCAGGTCTCCGAGGCATATGTTAATGCAGGAAGAACAGTGGAATCAAAGAGATGTGCCCAGAGCCAGAGGTTCTTCGTCCTCTTAGCTATTTCTTCGACGTTCATGAAGGCGTTCCAGACTTCTTCGTCAGACTTCTTCGTCAAGATCATGAACGATCGGTTTGAGGCCCTTCATGTTCCCGGAGCGAACAGATGCCATTGGGCTACACTAGCATGCGACAGGGACAAATGGAGACGTTACTGGCGCCCGCTCGAGCAAATTGACGACTAACGGGAAGTTAAGTGATTAAGTGATTAAGTGATATATATGTGTGTGTATGTATATACATATATACATATATATAACATATATATGTATACATATATACATAACATATATATAACATAACATATATATGTAACATAACATATATATGTTATGTATATATGCTGGAGCGATAGCACAGCGGGTAGGGCGTTCGCCTTACAAGCGGCCAACATGGCCGACCCGAGTTCGATTCCTCCGCCCCTCTCGGAGAGCCCGGCAAGCTACCGAGAGTATTCGATATGCCAGACACAGTAACAACAAAGTCTCCAATGGAGACGTTACTGGGCCCGCTCGAGCAAATCGACGATCAACGGGAGGGCCTTTACTTTTACTTTACTTTTATATGTATATATATATATATATAGAGAGAGAGAGAGAGAGAGCAGAATATATAGTGAGATGTCCTCAGGAAGAACCAAACTGTAAGTTTATCTCTTACTGTGCTCATACAGAATGACATTGCTAGAAATATTAGAAGTAGACTTACTACAACTATTTAAGTAGATTACTAGCTGAGGAAAGAATACACCCTTGTTGGGATCCCACCCTTGAGCAGATCTCCTAGTAGTCTGGAATACATCTCTTTAGATGAGATTTTATCCTTGAGTTAATCTCCTCGAAGAGTGGTCTTACCTCTCTTTGCTGATTTGTTAATATTCAACCCACCTTTGTGTCACCACCCTATGTGACTACTATATAAACTAAGACTGTAAGCTTGAAGGGGGCTTGGGCTCGAGAGAGCAGAGACTGAGGTTCAGGCTGAGGCTCAGGGTGAGGCTCGGGCAGAGGCTCAAGCTGAGGCGCTGGCGCAGGCACGGGCTTGGACTCTGGCACTTGTGCTCCAGAAGGCAGAATCAGAGGTGAGAGTGAAGACTGGAATAAACTACAATTGATACCGACCAGCCTGGCCCTCGTTCATTCCTTTGCCTGCCCATCACCATCGACCTCCCTAGGGAGAAACGACTCGAGACTACCAAACGTGGGCAGCGGGAGAGATAGAGCGCCGCCGGAGCTTCTGAAAATACACAGGGGGATGTGAGTTTACGGGGAGCAGAGCTGCCCCTGCCCCAGCTGCCCCTGCCCGCAGCCCCCATCAGCATCCACCTGCAATTCCAACCCCACCTGGGAATGTGGGAGTGTGCAGCCTGGTGGGTCTGGTGGAGCTCTGAAAAGGTCCTGGTGAAATTCAACTCTAGCATCCAACACATCACCGATTCTTTTCAACAGGGGAAAAAAAATTATTATATAAAACACCTAAGTATCCAGTAAAATGGGTGCCTCAGTGAAAGAAAACTGAAACCCACAGCAAATTCATGTAATTAAAATAACACAGAGGACTGAAGCAATAGTACAGGCAGGTAGGGCATTTGCCTTGCAAGCAGTTGACCCAGGTTTGATCTCTGGCACCTGTAAGGTCCCCTGAATCTAGCCAGGAGTGACCCCTAAGTGCAGAGGCAGGAGTAAGCCCTAAGTACCAGCAGGTATGAGCCCAGAAAAAAATAAAAAACCTCAGATATCAAATTTAAGCAACAAGGTGGCCTAGTTTTTTCCCATGAGTGTTCACTTTTATCAAAATATCTGAAACTGATGAAATATATAGAATAAAACTAAGGTAAAGGTAAAGGCCCTCCCATTGATCATCGATTTGCTCAAGCGGGCCCAGTAACGTCTCCATTGGAGACTTTGTTGTTACTGTGTCTGGCATATCGAATACTCTCGGTAGCTTGCCGGGCTCTCCGAGAGGGGCGGAGGAATCGAACTCGGGTAGACCATGTTGGCCGCTTGTAAGGCGAACGCCCTACCCGCTGTGCTATCGCTCCAATTTAGAATAAAACTAAATTCATAAATTATTCTTAAATAAAACTCTGGAAGCATTTCTAGTACTTACCCCACTCAAACTCCTTTTAGGAAGAGGTCACCATAGAATTTTATTATGATTCCCATTCCTGTACTTGCTCAGCGTCTGCAAGGAGATTTTGAAGGGTGTCCTGGAAATGACTCAGCCTGGGGGAACGGGCACATGACCTTGACTTTCTGCAGACTCACTGATCCAGCTGCAGCTGTTTCTGTAAACATTCTTAACCACTTCTCAGGCTGGGGTCATTGCTCCACCCCTGCCACAAAACAAAACAACTAAGTAAAGAAAAACACTCTTTCCTCCCCCAGTCCCTGAGAATCTGTTATATGCTGTTATATGCTTCTTTTCATCAGCACTGTAGCACTGTAACACTGTCGTCCTGATGATCATCAATTTGCTCGAATGGGCACCAGTAACGTCTCCATTGCTATACTTGGTGTTACTGTTTTTGGCATATCGAATACGCCATGGAGAGCTTGCCAGGCTCTGCCATGCGGGTAGGATACTTTCAGTAGCTTGCCAAATTCTCCAAGAGGGAAAGAAGAATGGAACCTGGGTCAACCGCATACAAGGCAAACGCCCTACCCACTTACTCATCTTTTGTGCCTGAAATTCTATTGCCAATGTTAAATTAGGTGCATTTGCAAGTACTTATTCCTTTAGAAACTTTTTACAAGTTATTCTACATATAAATACAAGTTAACTGTCCATCCCCCAGATAAACAAATTATCAGCACTCCAGTTCTAATTTTGTCTGGGGGTTCACTGAAGGAGAAGCTGGTCCAAATATCACTCTACCTTCCCCTCCCAAATGAACTGCATGACCGCTTCCTGTCACTTACATCCCTGTGAGAAAGGTGTTCTTGCAGGTGGCTTCTGCTCAGCCCACCTCGGCCACCTGGGGAAATGCCTGTCATGGGTTGGGAGTGGCCAAGTAGGCCCTGTGCCTATCTGCGTTGTGGACACGCGCAGCCCACCAGCCCCATGAGGTCTGGAACCCCCTGGCTCTGCGGAGTGAGGGAACCGCTTCCCTAGGGAGAGTCGGCCCTCACCCCATGCAGGCGTTTCCTCACAGAAAAGAACTTTAGGTGACAGTAAAATAGTGAAATGCGAATTTGGATTTTGAGAAACGGACTTGCAGAGATGTGTGGGGAGAGGAGGTGAGAGGTCACAGACTCAAGTGAGAACGCCGGCTTCTCAGAGGGCAATTCTGAATGGTTTGGGAGGAGTTTATATATGAATTTTCTCCAAATTACCTTGACCTGAAGTTCTCTGCATACGTCCAAATAAGGCTTGACTCTAGATGGTGCTTTCATATTATCGCAGCTTTAATTGGGGGTGGGGGACTGTGCTCAGGGCTTACTCACGATTCTGTGCTCAGAGATTGCTTCTGGTGGGGCTCAGGGAACCGTATGGGGTGCCGGGGACCGAGCCCGCGTCAGCCAGGCCCACCTGTTGGATACCATTCCAGCCCCTCTTTTCACAATCTTTGGATTCTCTAGAAGTTTCTCCATTTCTTTGGGATCCACTCCTCCCTGGTAGGAAGATACCTGTTTCTAACTATTTCCAAAGAGCTCCTCCTTCCCAGGAAACATTTTCCTCTGCTCTTGTATTGTTAAATATATTCTGAATGCATTAAATGATTTTATTTTGTGAATTTAAAAATGTGCTTCTCATTATATTGGAACTGATTTCTGAAAAAAAAAACTTTTGAACTTAATTAAAACAAAAAAAATTGTGGGCTGGAGGGATAGTACAGCAGGTAGGGCGTTTGCCTTGCACGCAGCCGACCAGGGTTCAAATCCCAGCATCCCATATGGTCCCCCCGGCACCGCCAGGGGTAATTCTTGAGTGTATGAGCCAGGAGTAATCCCTGTGCATCACTGGGTGTGACCCAAAAAGCAAAAAAAAAAAAAAAAAAAAAACCAAAAATTCAAGGTAGGAGGCTGGAGAGAGTTCAGTGGATAGGGTGCTTCTTGCCTTGCACATGGCCAACCCAGGTTCAATCCCCGGCACCCCATACAGTCCCCTGTGTGTCCCACCTGGAATAATTTCTGAGTGCAGAGCCAGGAGTAAAATCTGAGCACGGCCAGCTGTGACCCAAAAACAGAAACAAGAGCAGCTGCCTCTTCAGTTAGCTGGTGCTATCTGCAGTTATTCACAGAAGTATCACAGCAATCCAAAATTGCTGCCATACCCCCAGCCTGACTCCACCGTCCCAGGACGAACGTCATCAAGCCATAATCTGCTAAAAATTTAGGTATGCAGGTTTTGTGACTGAAATCTCCAGGCTTTCTCAGGGTCGGGATGGGCTACCTCCCCCCCACCTCCCTGTACTTCAGGAAGCCTCGGCAGTCCCATCCACACCCCAAAGCTGCCACCCAGCTAAAAAACTACTCCAGCCTTACTGTCCTGATAAAAATGCTGAATGCCCTGAGCAAACACCATGACCTCTTAGTACCTGTATTGCAAACAAACCTAATGCACAGAAGGAAATGGGGGATGGGGAGGGAGGGAGGGAGGAAGGGAGGGAGGGAGAGAGAGAGAGAGAGAGAGAAGGAGAGTGCCTCCCATAGAGGCAGGGGCAGATTGGGGGGTGAGGTGTCGGGAAAGGTGGGAGGAAAACTGAGACACTGGTGGTGGAGGTGGTGGGAAATGTATACTTGTGGAGAGATGGGTGTTGGAACACTGAATGACTGAAACCCAACCGTGAGCAGCATTGTAATGGTCTGTCTCACAAATAAAAAAAATTTTCAAAAAACCCCAAAACCTGGGGCTGGAGAGATAGCACAGTGGGTAGGGCGTTTGCCTTCACGTGGCCGACCTGGGTTCGATTCCCAGCATCCCATATGGTCCCCTGAGTACCGTCAGGAGTAATTCCTGAGTGCAGAGCCAGGAGTAACCCCTGTGCATTGCCAGATGTGACCCAAAAAGCAAAAAAAAAAAAAAAAAAAAAACAAAACCCAAAACCTGAAGAGTATTTGATAAAACACCTCACCAGTCTCACCCAAACTGTACAAATTTAGAAAAACAAGAAATGCTGGGAATGCAGACACTCATGAACCCCGCCGGCACCTGCTCCGTGGTACCCAGATGGGCTCCTGGGAAAGACACTGTGGGACAGGCAGCACCATCCAGACAAGGCTGGGCCCTCGGTGTGGTCATGGTGTCAGCGGATCTCCTCTCCACAGGCGTTTCTCCTAGCTTTAGGGCTAAGTGACCCACCAGCAGTGTCTCATTATCACCACGGCTTCTCTTCTGTACATCTAAACTTAGTCCAGTTAAAATTCTTTGAAAAAAAATTCAGAACATATAAACATTCTTAAGTCTGTCCTCGGGAGAAGGCTAAAGTTGCCAAGAAAATCCACAAATGTACTGTAAGTTTTAAGTTACCTGATCAAGTATCTCAGTAGTTAATACTGAGAATTAAACAATGGGCTCACAAAACAGGATTTGTTTTTTTGGGTTTTTTTTTTTGTCTTTTTGGGTCATACCGATGATGCTCAGGAATTACTCCTGGTGATGCTCAGGGATCATATGGGATGCTGGGAATCGAACCCGGGTTGGCCATGTGCAAGGCAAATGCCCTTCCCACTGTATTATTGCTCCGGACCCAACCTCAGTCTTTAAAACAGTCTTGAGGGGCTGGCACGATAGGACAGCAGAATGGGCATTCTGCTGCTCCTTTTCTGTTTCTGTTTTTGGGTCACAGCTGGCCGTGCTTAGATTTTACTCCTGGCTCTGCACTCAGGAATTACTCCAGGCGGGACTCAGAGGACTATATGGATTGCTGGGGATTGAACCTGGGTTGGCCATGTGCAAGGCAAGAAGCACCCTATCCACTGAACTCTCTCTCTCCAGCCTCCTACCTTGAATTTTTTTTGGTTTTAATTAAGTCCAAAACAGTTTTTTTTCCCATAAATCAGTTCCAATATAATGAGCACATTTTTAAATTCGCAGCCAGCCCGAATATTATTTCCTACATCCCATAACGTTACTGATGTTACTGGCACCAGCTGGAGCAAATTGAAGATGACAAGTGATACAAGTGATACATCCCACATGACCCCCCCAGGCACTGCCAGTACAAAGCCAGGAGTAACCCCCGAGCACCACGGGTATGACTCCAAAACAAAAACAAACAAGTCTTAAAATACAGTGAAAGAGGCCACAGGCTCTGTCTCCTGAAGGAACAGCACAATGAGGCGGGGAAAGTGTGGGTTGCTCAGCAAGGTCACTGGCAGGGTCAGGAATGGGACCCTTCCCTCTCTCCAGTCTTCTGCCCCCGGCTGTGAGATGATGTTTTCCAGGTGGTCATTTAATAATTCTGGCTGGGGTTTGCCAGGAAGAGCCACAGTGAAGCAAAGGGCACAGAGGACCCCCAGCCCACCTGGGGCATGAAAGGTTCTCCAGATATTCCGAATTCTTCCTTGCCCTGTATTCAACTCCATCCTTAACAGAGATGTAACTTTTCCACATCCACACAGGCTCTGGGGTTTGCTCTTAGGATTTGCTCTTACAAAGTAACAAGTACTGTTCACTTATTAGGCCACATCAAGGAGAGTCTACCGAAGAAAGCTTAGGGAATGAATCGTGCTTTGTCACTCCTTTTAACTTCATAGTTAAAACCAGAAAGAAAAAAAAAAACAGTATCAAGAACCATTTTTATTAAGACTGCTATTAGGAAAAGTTTAGTGTTTTAAAATATCCCCAAACTGGCTGTGAAGAACACTCATCATGATAAGGAACCGAAGTCAACAACAGTGACACGTGATGCGGATGAAAATAACATATTCACCTTTTATACAAGACAGGGAAAGCTCACAGTCCGACGTGACATGTCACCTGAAAAATGGACGTGTCCCTGCTTCTGCACACTGTCCACCTGTCCATCTGCCCCTCCCAGGCACATCACATAACACCCACATCTCCTGGATTCGCTCCCCGAGGTTATCAGCTGATGGTTCCAATTGTGCAAGAGTCACAACACCTTTACCTGTGCCCAAGTCCGTTATTAACGGAAATGAGACCTAACTCATTCTCAGTGGGTTACGGGAAATAATTATGTGTTAATTAAAACACGGAGACAGAAGAGTCCTCTAAGCATAAAGGTATGTTTAAAAATGTATATGATTTACTTCTCCGCAAGGAATTCCTGTAACTCCAACTAAGATCATATAGAACATAACTTACAAGGAATTTCAAGTTTGACCTTTGTTTTCATTGAGGGGCCACAACTTGGCCGTGCTCAGGGCTGACTCCCAGCTCTGTGCTCAGAGGTTACTCCCGGCTCTGTGCTCAAGGGTTACTCCTACTCTGTGCTCAGGGGTGACTCCTGTCTCTGTGCTCAGGGGTGACTCCTGTCTCTGTGCTCAGGGCTGACTCCCGGCTCTGTGCTCAGGGCTTACTCCCGGCCCTGTGCTCAGAGATTACTCCCAGTTCTGTGCTCAGGGGTTACTCCCAGCTCTGTGCTCAGGGGTTACTTCTGGCTCTATGCTCGGGGGTATTCTCTAGAGGGTCCCAAGGGACCATATGGGGCGCTGGGGACTGAACCTGGGTCGGCCGTGTGCACAGCAGTACACGGTGGTACACAGGGCCCTCCCTGCCCTCCTATGGCTCTGGCCTGGCTCTGTTCCTGGGTCGATTGTCTGGCTGTGGAAACGGAGCAGCAAGCGGTGTCTGTGCAAAACTCGACCCCATCACAGCTGAAGGCGGGCGCTGGCGGGTCCAATCCCAGGCTCAGAGGTCGCTCCTCTGCTCGTGGCGGCACCAGCAGGCGGCACGCTGGCTGTCCAGGTAGGGCCTGCAGCCCAGGTGCAGGACGCTGTCCAGCAGTAGCTCCACGGTGCTCTCGCAGGCTGTGGGGACAAGGGCCATCACTGGGCTGCCTGCTGCGGCCAGAGTCACCAGGGGCCCCTCCTCTCACCCCCCCACCCCCCGCTGCCCGGGGTCCATGCAAGAACAAATGGAACAGTAGACAGCGAGCGCCCGCTTCCCTGTGGTCCCTCGCACTGCCCTTCTCCTCACATAGTGACCGCCACCTACAGATGCCCGCATGGGAATGTCCTGTGAGTGGCCATGTCACCCGTAACCACTCAACAAGGGCCCCCTCCCCAGCCCTCTGTGGACTAGACTCTGCCTCCCTCACCATACGCATCACCTCCTGGAGCATCACTGGACGCTGAGTCCTCCCAGCGGCTGCCAGGGCCCCGACACAGAGACGCAGGGGCAGAGCTGAGGCTCAAACCTAGAACATTCTACGTCTAAGCCCAATGTGCTCCCCTTTTAGGGAATTTGTGTGTGAAGGAGCTGGGGTCACATCAGTTGTACTCCAGTCTGGCTCTGCACTCAGGGGTCGCTCCTGGCGAGGCTCAAAGGACCACAGGCAGTGCCGGGGACAGAACCTCGATCAGCCCAGGCCCAGGCAAGCACCCCACCCACTGTGCTACCAATGTGCTACACGTAAGGCCCCATGGAACTGGGGTTTCACATGTCCACTCCCTCATGAATGGGGCCCGAGGCCCTGGATGGATGGATTCTTCTCCCCTCCTGTGCCAGCCCCCACGGGAGACATCTGTGACTGTCACCAACGACGTCACTGCCTCCCCTCGAACAGGCAGTGACCCCCAGATCTCCAGGGCCAGCCTGCGTGGCCCTTGGACAGGACCAGTGGGGCAGCCTGGGCCCTGCCTCACCCTGCACGTGCTGGGCCAGCCCCAGGGTCCTCTGTGCGTCGCGGCAGATTCTGGCCAGGCAGAACTGGAACTCCTCGTCACAGTCACTCTTGGCCTTGCCACAGGTCTCGTAGCACAGGTCGTGCTGGTTGCAGCACCTGGTCAGCGACGGGATCCCGATGTTCAGCTGTGGGAGGCAGGAGGGATGGAGCTCGCAGGGACCCTGCAGAGCCGCCCACCCGCCCGCCCGCCTGCCCCAAAGTGCCAGGCTATGCAAGGTCCCTCGGTCAGTGACCGGCTGGCGACAAGGTCCGAAGCAAGTCGAAACAACAGAAAGCAAAGACCAAGAGTTTTCCAGGCTCCCCCTGAATTTTGGCGCATCTGCATTTTGGATGCTGCAAAGTGTTTTGTGCTCTGTGCCCAGTAAAATGCTCCTTACTAAGGGTCACAGAAAACCTTCAAGTCCCGACACTTAAATTTTATTTTGTGGTGGTTTTTGCAGCTTCATCTTTAAAAGTCCACCCGGTCGCTAAAGATACTGATATATTGCTGTCACTGTCACTGTCCTCCCGTTGTTCATCGATTTGCTCGAGCGGGCCCAGTAACATTGTGAGACTTGTTACTGTGTTTGGCATATAGAATACATCACGGGGGGCTTGCCAGGCTTTGTCGTGTGGGCGAGAGACTCTCGGTAGCTTGCCGGGCTCTCCGAGAGGGGCGGAGGAATCGAACTCGCGTTGCCCATATTGGCTGCGTGCAAGGCAAACGCCCTACCCACTGTGCTATTGCTGCAGCCCACATATTTATATATATATATATATATCATTATGCATTATGGCAGAGCCTGGCAAGCTCCCGTGGCATATTTGATGTGCCAAAAACAGTAACAGTAACAATGATATGTCTCATTCCCCTGACCCTGAAAGAGCCTCCAATGCGATACTGTTGGGAAGGATGAGTAAGGAGAGGCTGCTAAAATCGAAGGGCTAGGACGAATGCAGATGTTACTGGTGTCCACTCGAGCAAATCGATGAATAACAGGATGACAGTGATACAGTGAACATATCATTAACCACTGTCAGTGGCTTTCTAATAAAACTCCTTTGTCTGAGAATCACTCCCATAAGCCTGTCTCTCCCTGTGACACTTGGCGTGGATCTCCCAGCCTCAAACACATCTAAACCCACTCAGCCTCATCTCAGCCTCAGAATATCATACTTGCTCCTGATAGTATGGCCCCAGATACTGCTACCCTCCCACCTCCTTAAAGCCTGCTCTCGGGTGCTAATATCACTTTAATAGTATAAGCATCAGCAAGATTAAAAACGTGAAACAGGAATTTTATCCCAGCTGGCTCTGTAAGAACGTATGTGGCGGAGCCAGAGCTATAGCACAGTGGGTAGGGCATTTGCCTTGCATGCAGTCAACCTGGATTTGATCCCCGGCATCCCATATGGGCCCCTGAGCACCGCCAGGAGTAATTCCTGAGTGCAGAGCCAGGAGTAACCCCTTAGCATCGCTGGGTGTGATCCAAAAAGCGAAAAAAAAAAAAAAAGAAAAAAAAGAACTTATGTGGCTTCACTATAAAGGGTAACCTTGATCGCTGTAAGCAAGCGAGGTTATTGGTGATTCTGAGGATAAATGGAGAGTCCTGCCTCTGTCAAAAGCATCATGCAGCCTTCCCTCAGGAAGTGAGAGGGAGAGAGCAATATTTACCTGAACACCAAACAGTGGAGAGCCACATCCATTCGGTGGGGAAGGCTTATACCCATATCGGGGGACAGGCTTGGATCCTGCAAACATAAACAGAGTCATCGTCACCTTTCAGCAGGACAGGAAATATGGCCCACACAGGCCCACGATGCATGAGACTGGCCGAGGAAACAGACAACATGGGCTATGCCCTCCCCGCCACTCTGCCGCAGCCCTGCCAGGAGTGATCCTGGAGCACGGAGCCAGGAGTCACACCTGAGCACCACTGGGTGTGGCCCAGCCCCCGCTTCAACACACTGCCCTGTCCCCCAAGCCCTCCTGGGCACCCCACAAACCCTTTCTGCAGGCCCCGGGACAGAGAGCCCACCCAGGCGTGGGATGGCACCGTTAAGTCCCCAACCTCGGCCCCGAAAACAGGAAGGGCCAAGAAGTCAGACCTCTGTGTGACAGGACTGCCTCTCGGCAGGGGTCCACCTGCAAATACCACCCACAGCCACCCCGAGGACACCCGCAGACTGTGGACACTTCACTGAAGGTCCATTTTACCGTCCAAAAACACCGGGTGGGGACAAGGGGAGGCAATGCTCCTGACAATAAGCCGTCCTGGGAAGTGACCACCGAGACATATTCTAGAATCGGTGTGGGGAACACTCCAGAATCAGTGTGGGGACGAGAGCACCACTCACATGGTCCAGCACGTGCCTGGCCGGAAGGGGCCCAAGTGCCACAGGCCCCTGCTGGGTGCTCCCAGGGCCCAACCAGGGGCTGCGGGAGTCTGAGCACTGAAGCCGAGCTGGAGGAGCTGCTCATTCACAGGTCCCACTGAGGAGATCATGGTCAGCGTTCAGACAGGGACCTCAGCCTGCAGGCATAGGACCATTTCCAGGTCTTTCTCCAGCACTATGCATGGTGCTGGTCACTGCCAAGTGCTCCCCAGCAGCTCCTCCCTACACACCATCAGGGATGTAGGTCAACTTCAGTCTGAACAAACCCCTGCTCCGTCCCCGCGCAGAGGCCCACCACCCACAGGGAATGGCCAGCTCCAGGCCAGGAGGGTGTGTGCATGGCACAGTACCAGCCTGGCGTGTGCAAGGCCCTGAGTCTGATCCCACAATGAAACAAACACCCATTGGTTCTTCCTGACGCAAACATTTTAACTACCCACTGCCAGAAAACTCAGCTCCTGCTCCAAGGATGAGCGTCAGGCAATCACTTGGGCTTGTCCGGCAACAGGCAAACGCTCCCGGACATTCCCAAGTATGAGGCCCATCGACCCAGCACAGCCAGATATTTGGGGCGCCAGCCGAGCTCCCTGGGCGCAACCTAGGACACGTCAGCTGCCCTCTGGGCAGCGCCCAGGACCCCTGCACCTTCACCCCCAGCCAGGACCCTCTCAGGAACCAGGCACTGCCATTTGTGGTGACGGTCTCTGCCCACCCCACCAGGAACCTCTTCACAGGGTGTGAGTGAGCCCCCGGGATCCAGCTCCAGCTCAGCAAGGGAAAACAAAAAGCTCTAGGGGGGCCGGAGCGATAGGACAGCAGGGAGGGCGTTTGCCTTGCATGCAGCTGACTCAGGTTCGATCCCTGGCATCCCATATGGTCCTGGGAGCACCACCTGGAGTAATTTCTGAATGCAGCGCCAGGAGTAACCCCTGAGCATTGCTGGGTGGGACCCAAAAAGCTAAAAAAAAAAGAAAGAAAAAGAAAGATAAGAAAAAGAAAAAAAAAGAGCAAGGCAGAAGTGACTTGTGAGGGGTGGGGGGTGGGGGGTCACACCAAACAGTGCTCAGGGGACCGTGCAGCGCCAGGCCTGGCTTCCTTGTGTGCAGCCTGCTGACACAGCTCCCCACTCAGGCCACCCTTTCGTTTGTTTTCATGGGTCACCTTCTGCTGTGCCAGGACCCTCATGCCCCAGGAAGATGCCACACTCCAAAGTCTCCAGTCCGTTCACCTTCAGACACCTCAGCACAGCCTGAGGACTGCTCCCCCACAGCCAGCCTTCCCCATCGCCGTCATGGAAACTCGTCCTGCCCTAGGCGACCTTCAGGGCTGGCCTGCACTTGTGTTCTGAAGCCCTTCTCGGGTCCTGGCCATGGCATGAATCCATCAGACAGCACTTTCCAATGTTTCCGTCCAGTACCGCCCCAGTAACGAGGCCTTCCTGCACAGCCTGGGAGCCAGGTGCCTGCAGAGACTCGCGAACCTCCTTTCTCTGCTCCACTACCCCCCAAGTCAGGCTGAATCCCCTGAGCACTGCCAGGAGTGAACCCCAAATGCAGAGCCAGGAGTGAGTCCCGAGCATCACCCAGTATGACTCCAAAACAAAAATAAAACCCCACTCAATCACTGTCCCCTCCCAGCCCCCTACTTGAGGACTGGGTACTCCTCTTCTGTCCACTGCTGACTCTCGCACACTCGTAACAGGCACGCGAATGTCTACATACCTAAGGCAGGGCAGGGGACCAGGACTCCTACCTGGGGAAAGCACCTTGTTATCTTCCAGTGATCATTATCCTGACATGTCCTAGAAGGCAAACCTTCCCTCCTGACTGCAAGCCAGGGGAACATCTGGCTGTAAATTGAGGAAGGAACTCATTCTTTCTGCTAAATGATCTGCAGAAAGATCATTCTTTAGCTAACAAAAAACTATAAATAATCTCTAGAGTTGAAATATAGCTGGCATCAGTGTTTTACAAGACATGGTACTTTCAGAATTCCTCCACATACAATCTGGCTTTACTTCTCACATCAGGGCGCTACTAAGTATTAAGCAAGTTCAGATCTTGTCCAAATGTCTTTTCTTCCCCCACTCTGGTTTTTGGGCCACATTGGAGATGTTTTAGGGTTTACTCCTGTCAGGCTAAGCGAGACCATTATAGAGGTGCCAGTGATCAAACCTGGGTCAGCTGCTGTGCAAGGCAGGTGCCCTCCCCACTGTACTACTGCTTGGGCCCTGTCCAGTTTTTTTTTGAAAAACATCCCTTAAGTAACTATCTTAGCACTCCAAATTTCCAAAGGAGTCCAATTACTCTGGATTAAAATATTTAAGCAAAGAGCCAGGAACTTCAAGAGATCATTTCCTGAAATACTGAGTTATTATTACCAACAATGTTCTCAAACAGAATTAAAGGTTTAAAATAATGGAGCAATCACGGTGACTCAGTAAAAAAATAAATTAAAAAAAACAGCATTGGAAAAAAATGGAAGAAAAAAATTACAGTCCCCCACAAAGCAGAGGCATCTAAGAAAATCATCCTTTCGGATCAGAACTCGCTCAACCACTGGGAACATCAAGTCTGTACTCAATATTCCGTACCTTTGCAGGGATTAAAAAAATTAGTAAAAAAAAAGAGAAAGGAAATCACAACCAGTGCTCCGGAAAGCTTGAAACGGCGCGCCCCGAGAAACAGCAATCCCGGGAGCATTTCTGCGCGGTGCAGGGGGGAGTCTCCGGCCCCGCCCGCACTCACCGATGCGCGCACCAGTGCCCGGCCCGCACTCACCGTCGCCGCACCTGTGCACGCACTGTCCGTCCCCGCCGCCCAGCAGATCGAGCGCCGCGCTCAGGTACGTGTCGATCTTGTGCACGCCGTCGCGGAGGGTCTTCAGGGCGTCCCTCCAGTCGGTGCTCGGCTCCTCCTGGCCGCGCGCCACGCTGGGTAGCAGCAGCAGCAGCACCACCAGGCCCGGCAGCCGGGCCATGCGCGCACCAGCCGAGCCCTGGGACAGCCGCGGGACCCGCGTTCGCTCCCAGGAGGCCTCCGGGACGGGGCGGGGCTTCCGCGGACGGGGCGGGGCTTATGCGGGAGGGGCGGGGCTTGTTCGGGGCGGGGGTTCTTGGGCGGGTTGAGGGCGTGGCTTCAGGGGGTGTGCCTTCCGCGGGGCGGGGCCGCAGGGCGGGGCTTCTGCGGGGCCGCGGCGTTGGCGGGGCGACCTTGTGGGGACCGCTGGGCGGTGCTTCTGTCGGGCCCCGGCACTGGCAGAGAGGCCGGGTCAGGCCCGCTGGGCGGGGCTGCCGAGGGGCAGGATCTCAGGACGGGGCTTCCTCTAAGTGGGAAGACCCGGCAGTTGGGCGGGGCTTCGACGGGGCGCAAAGGCTGAGTCTCTGGGCGGGGCTTCTGCTGGGCGGGGCTCCCGCCGGGCCACGTCGTCTGACCCTTGCGCGTGCGCAGAGGCGCCCTGGCCGGCCGCGGGGCGTCCTCCTGCTCACTCGATCGCCTCCCGGGGTCGTGTTCTGCGCGTGTTTCCTGAGTCTCCTCGCGCATCGCCTCCCCGGAGCAGAGCTGCTCACGCTTCTCCGGATAATGGAAAGCTCTCATTCTTTGAGTTGCTGTCTTGGTCGTGTATTCCCCCTTTTGTACCGATTTCGCCTTAGTTTCCATCGTTTATTGATTGTTCAGGAGTATGACCACCCCCTCCTCCAGCGCGTAGTCCAGCGCTTGCCCAGGGCCAAGAAGACCCTCTGCCCATTCCAGCCTCCCCGCCCCCTGCCCCGGCTTCCCACATCACTTCTTTGCAGTTTTTTTTTTATTTTATTTTCAAAGAATTGTTCGCAGTAGTTGATTACAATCAATATTTCAACACCAATCCCACCACCATTACACCTTCCCACCACCATTATTTCGAATTTTACCACCACCACCCAAGCCTGCCCCAAAGGCAGATGCTGAATAATTTATTTAGTATTGCTTGTCATGAATAATTGACTTAAAATGATCCAAAAAGTTTTCCTTAGAGGAAAGTGTGACAATTGTTGTGTCTCATCTTGGAGTCATTAAGTCCTTGTATTGGAGATCGTGAACATGTTAGAGTTTGGGTCTTGTGTGCTAATATACATACATTATTTTTTTTTTAATTAAGATTCGGTGTCTTCTACTTCACACCTCATCAAATGTGGTGTGCTACTCCTGCTATGTCAGTGGCAGGATTATGAGATGTCCCTGCGCTCCCTTTCCAGAGAGTTTTGATCAATGACACTACACCTAGAACAAGAAAGGCGCCTTTTACTCGATTTTGCCGATTTTAGGCGTATGGCTTGTTGCTTGGGATCATTATGAACGCCAACTACTGCGCTGGCTGTTCTGACTGCACCCTGCCACCTGCTTGCAATTAGGGTCACGCCTGCCCCCCTAGGCGGTCTCCAGAGCTTCATGGGGGTTTGGAACTATGCTCCTCCCTGGGTGGGAGCAGCCAGGAACTCCTGCACGGCTCAGCTTGGTCACCCAAGGGTCCCGAGGCAGTGGGCTGCAGAGTTTCGGGGGGGTTCACCTTGCAGGTTGGGGGTTGCAGCCTTGAGTCCTGGTTGGTGTCCTTACCCCGCAGTGGCCGCCGGGGTGGACACAGGGCAAGCCAAGGTCAAAGAATCTCTGACTCATGGGTGAGCTAAAGGTTGTTTAGAAATTCTTCCAGAAAGAAACAATGGTTTGGAAATCACCGTTTCCCATTCTTCCTAGGTAAAGAGGGCACAGTGCTCTACAGCTGAAGGCAGAAGTGAAACAGAGAGGAAAGTAAGGAAATCCCCTTCCCCTGCTCCTTTGTAATTAGATCACTCCAGTGTCTGGAGTGTCTGACATTTCTGGGGCTCTGGGGCTATGCAGGAGCTTTAAATAACAGTCTCAGTAATTTTTGCCGGAGCTATAAATATCTGGTTAGTATCTCTGTTGTAGCATCCAGCGTGGTAATGCAAATCTAGGGAATAAGTTCACCCTTTCTAAAACTTTTCTCAGCAATGTCCTGGGGTACATGCATTCCGGAATGCATCCCTCCTTACCAGGAGTTTCCTTTGACCTACCAGAGCTCTTGCCTGCAGTAACCCACTTTGCAGGAATGTAGTCTTTGCCACAAATTACAAATAGGAGGGGCCAGAAAGACAGTCCAGTGAGTAGAGCATTTGCCTTGCAAGTAGCTAACCTGGGTTCTATCCCTGGCACAGCATATGGCGCCCTGACCCCCACCAGAAGTGATCCTTGATGGAAGAGCCGGGAATGAGCCCTGGGCATGACTGGATGTGTCCCCCTGGCCCCAAAATGGAAATAAGAAGAGGCATCTTCTTCTAAGGCAGATACAGCCCAAGGTGTGGGGGCCCCGAGGCACAGAGTCCCCTGGGCACAGAGATGGCACCCTAGTGGAGGAATGTTCTGGAAAGACATTATCCCCTATTCCAGCGAAGATACTCAGTGGTCATGTGACAGGTCCTCCTGCTATCAAAAGGTAACAAAGCTTGGGGCCAGAGAGACAGTACAGGGGGTAGGGTGTTTGCCTTGCACACGGCTGACCCGGGTTTGATCCCCAGCATCCAATGTGGGCCCCTGAGTACTGCCAGGAGTAATTCCTGAGCATCACTAGGTGTGGCCCAATCCTCCCCCATCCCTTACCCAGCTAAAAAGATACCAAAGCTTGGGGCTAGCGAGTATAGCAGGTCAGGCGCTTGCCTTACATGCAGTCAACTCCGATTCACTACCCAGCGCCCCTGTGGTCCTCCAGCCCCTGCCAGGAGTGACCCCTGCATGTAGAGGCAGGAGTAAACCCTGAGCACCCCTGGGTGTCGCCCTCAAATGAAGCTTTCATGCGTACTGTTAGAATAGCTCATCTCAGCGGGCCGGGAAAGGGAAGAATCATTTTCCTAGCTTCCCACTGGGCCTCTTGACCCTGGAGTGCTAGTGCTTCCACTGGCAAGAAATGCAATCTAGGTAAGTGCTGTTACAGTCAATCCTGGGACGCCTTCTGGGAATCCACATCCACCTTTTCCCCTAGTAGCGTAAAACAAACCTTCTCAGGGCTGGGGAAATAGTCCCACGGGAGGCTTCTCTCCTTGTACTCTTCTGACCTAGATTCAGTCCCCGAGCACCACCAAGAGTGAGCCCTCGGCTCCTTCTCAGAAGCCTGACTCCTGCTCCCCTTCAGTGAGGGGGTCTTCCTCTTGTCCCCCTTCAGTGAGGGGGGTCTGCCTCCTGTCCCTGCTTTTTGCTCAGCACCACTCTGGGGCCCCACTCTGGGCCTGCTGTCACCTCACCTGTGGACCACATGTCAGTGTCCTGCATCAGCCTGTCACATGTCGCTCCTAGGGGTATGCCTGCGTGGATGGGGCCTGAACCTTGGGCCGCACGCTCAGCCTTTGGACTCCGCTGGGTAGGCATCGGCACTACATGAACTCGGGGTGGCTATTCCTCCAAGTCTGTGTTTGTCTCTTTCCCTGGCTGAAAATTCCTCAAACAGCCCAGGCCCTCCCATCAGCCCCACCTCACCGAAGCTCCATGACTCAGAGGGAATCTCTGAGGGGCTGAGGCCAGGTGTGCCTCCTGCCCACAGCTGCCGGCACACAGCTGCCCTGGCAGCCAGAGGCACGGTGGGCTACCCCCTCTAGAAAGGGTAAGGGCACCTTCCCCTCACTGCATCTGGGATCCTGTCTGCTAATGAGGCAAGCATGCCTGAGTTCATTGGTCTTGATGTAACATATTAACTTAGAATAGAAACTAGGGCCTTGTGCAACCCTTTGTGCTATTTGAAATAACATCAGATCAACAAAGTAGCAAATGATCAGGAACTCTTCCTTTCCAATTTCTCTGCAAGGTTAAGAAATAAAATGCAAAAATAAATAAATAAATAAATTTAAAAAAAGGAAAAGAAAGAAATTCCAGCCAAAAGGATCCTTCTGTGCCCTGGTGGAGGCTGAAGGCTGTTAGCCTGTGAAAGGGGGCTCCAGGCCTGGCTTGTTCGAGGTCCTGAATTTAGTCCCCAGAATCCCATGACCCCCATGGGCACCATCAGCATCACCCCAGTGGTCCCCAATCTCTGCTGTTCCGAAGGACCAAGCTGTCAGGCAGGGAATGGCCCCCAGACCCTGAAAGTGACCCCTATAAAGATTATAAAGTTGGACCAGGGAGTGCGCTCGAAGGACTCTCGGCACACCCTTGGGATGCAGTCCCCAGCATCACACGAGTGACCACCAGACATGCCCCCGCCTGCCCCCCAAATGTGAAACATGGAAAAACAAACCCTAAAAACCTCTGAAAATCTTCTTTGCCTCAAATACTCAGCTGATCAGTGCCCTGTGACCTGAAGGAATGGAAACCCTATCAATTAAAAAATAATAATAATAATAATAATAATAACAGGGATCTCACGTTACAGAGAAACGCTTGGTCCCACCTGGGCCTTGGAGCATGAGTGGCAGCTATTGGGGGGTGGGGGGTGGGGGGTTGGGGGGTGGGAGAGAGGGAACCGGCGCTGGAAACCCCCGGGCTCACCCCAGTAGGGTAGCTTCAAAGCAACAGCAGTTCATTTATTACAGTTTCAGAGGCTGAAGGCCTGACTGGTAGAAGGGCAGGCTGTAGAAAGCCCACTTCTGGTCACAGACAGCTGACCTGTGCTGTCCTCACAGGGCCCTGGGCTGGGAGGACCTTAGAGGCCTCTTTCCAGGACAACACTGACCGCCCCAAAATCAGAATGAGAGATGGTCTCGCACTCCTGAGACTGGCCCAGGTGGCAAGGAACATGACCCCCGCAGTGCTGACAAGGATGTGGAGGTGGGGGAGGGGGGAGGGGGCCCCACGGTGGGGATGCAAATTGGGGCCAGTGCTAGGAGATGGGGTGATCCTCAGCTCCCTGGGAGCCAGTGAAAGCTGCCTAAGCCCAGATCTGCTGGGTCAGCACCCCCTCACGCACCTGCCCAGAGCGGCTGACACAGTGGGATTCCACCAGGTGCCACCAGAGGGGATGAAGCAGCCGCTTGTTGGTCTGAATGATGACCTGGAGTCAGGGCAGGGCTCCCTCGGGAGTACAGGCTGCCCGGGTGGCATTCTCAGGGGACGGGGGGGCCACCAGAGGTTCTGGCCAGCTGTGCTGGGCTGGAGAGCATTTGAAACAGGGTCAGGGAAAACTTGGGGTTCCTGAGAATGTCAGAGAAAAGGAACAAGAGCAATGAGGCCAGCTTCTTCCTGGTGACAGGGATGGTGCTAAGGTTCATCAGGGTGAAGCCGCAGTTCCTCTCTGTCCCCCAGGCTCACCTTAGCATGAAGAAATGCCCTCTCTGCATGCATGGCAACTGTGGGACAACTGGAAACCAGCTGACCACTAAGCACGGGCAAGCAGGGAGGAAGCCAGAGCAGTCGTTCGCTGGACAGAGAGGAGCATGCCTTGCTGGAGCAATAGCACAGCAGGGAAGGTGTTTGTCTTGCTCATGATCGAGCCAGGTTCAATCCCCGGCATCCCATATGGTGCCCTGAGCACCACCAGGGGTGATTCCTGAGCATAGAGCCAAGAGGAACCCCTGAGCACTGCCGGGTATGCCCCACCCCTCACCGGGTATGCCCCATCCCTCACCAAATAAAAGCTGGCTACATCAGAAGTCAGCAACCTATCACCTAGGTGGGAAGGGGAGTGACCACCACAACAGTTAGTAGATTAATAAACATCTCTACAGGGCCTGAAACAGAATGTGTCCACCACAGAGATTCCCAGCAACAAGGGCCCCCTTGAAATCCCTTGTGGTGCCCCTCCTGCCTCAGTGTACCTCAGTGGAAACCCTTTTCTTCTGCTCTCCTCCCCTTGGCCCCCTAACTGTGTGATATTGCCAGGAATCTTCCTATTTAGAACGCTCTATATCCCAGGTCTGCCTGGAATTTCAGATGATCACCTAGTTGTGGGTCATCTGGACGTTAGTGAGCAAAATCTCCCTGATTTCTCGCCTAGGATGGTCTCCAGTGATCAATTAACTGAATTCTGTCACAACAGCAATGCCAACGTTTTACTCAAGGGAGGGGTCTCTTAGAAATCTAGTTTCCACTTTTAAGATGGAAAATGAGACACACACAAGATAATAAATCGCCCTTGTGTGATTAAGTGGAGTTTCAGCCTGTGCATACACACACACACACACACACACACACACACACACAAAGAGGTTTAAGTGCAGGCAATCCAAAGTCTTCTAGTCCACCAAACATTCATACGTCCATACATCATTCCTGTATAAGGAGGTTATTCTATTACATTTCCTAAAAATACCTTAACTACAAAATTCAGAATATAACAGCAAAATTGCAACATGATGTAAGCTTTGCAGAGAACTTTAAACATGTCCAAGAAAATGTGCTTTATTTTTACCTCTAGCAAACTAGTGGTGATGCAGTATCGTCCCCCACTTCAACAGTCCTCCTGAGAGTGAGCTCGGAAAGACTGTCACAAGTTATATTGAGTGATGAGAGACCTGCCCACGTGTCGGCCAATCCAGTCAAAATAGTTGGACACTTTGGTATAAACTCCGGGAAACTCTGGTTTTCCACAGTTTTCACCCCAACTCACAATACCCCAAAGGTAAGTCACGTTGTTGACATCCTGACAAACTAAAGGACCTCCAGAGTCCCCTTTGCAGGCATCGATAGAGCCATCGTCAGTGCCTGAGGGAGAGAGAGAGAATCACACACTTATTCCCTGGGAGAAGCCGACGGGCAGGGAGTGACCCACTCAGCCCCCTGTGGGCCCCTGCTGGACCCAGAGATGCGGGCAGGAAGGACTTCGCCTTCTCTTCACAATCATCTTTAGCAAGTGCTTTCTGCTGTCCGTACATAAGGGTAAAGGTGATGAGAAAAAAGAGCATCAAAGTTCATGTGAGAAGTTCGTGGGACCATCTAGAGCCTCTTGGGTGACAAACAACGTGTATTAGTCACTGGCAACCTGTCAGTATTAGGAGCCCTGTCACATCAGTATTAGGAGCCCCATTTTATTTATTTATTTTAGGTTTGGGATCACACCCAGTAGTGCTCAGGACTTACTCCAGGCTTTGTGCTTGGAGACCACTCCTGGCAGAGCTGGGGGACTCTGTGGGATGCTGGGTTCAAACCTGGGTCAGCACCTGCAAGGCAAGCATCCTCCCTGCTATCTTAATCGCTCTACCCTGATCCCTCCTTCATAACGGTCCAGCAAGACACAGAGAGGTTCCCTGACACATCCACCTACATCTCCGTGGGCTTGCAGCTAAGCAGCAGAGTCAGCCCTCAGCGCTGCTGCCTGGAACATTAGCCCTCTGTCATTCATCCTAGACACCAGGGATGGGCAGGCAGGCTGGTCTCTTTACTCTCTTGTCACTCTGAGGAGTTCCAAGGGGATTTTAAACCAGTATATCCAAGAAGTTACAGACTTTAATAAATAACTCTGCTTTTCCTATACCACACGATAAGTGGATTCAGTCATACATTCCAATGCTGGGCCTGACTGGTCCCCCAAGGGGTCACCCTCAAGGGCAGGGCTGGGGCAGTATGTGCAAGCACACCACCTATGAAGACCCTCCCGCTGGTGGTGACAGGGACCACAAGAGGCACTGAGTCATCTCCAAGGAGGGAGAACTTCCTTCCACCCAGGGCCATTTGCATTTGAATTTCTAAGTCTGGGGGTGGATCTTGGATACCTGAATTCTTACCTGTAAGACTCTGGGTAAGTAGATGAGGTACTTTCCTCATTTACTAAGACCCCCAGCCTCATAGATAAAGACATGTGGTCCATGCACACAGCTCCTCACTGGGGGAAGTGGAGTCCCCTCACGCAGTGGTTCAGGGGCCAGACATACTGCCCTGAGGAGTTCAAGGCTGGAGGGAATTGCTGCCAGAAGCCCAAGGGCTGGGATTCAGGAGGATGAGGGGCACCAGAGTCTTACCTGCACACAGCATTTCCTTCTCGAAGTAGCGGCCTGGATAAAACTGAGAGCAGTTGTTGATGAGGTGCACTTCACCCCATTTCAGAGAAAAGACTCTTAAGTTCCCTGAACAAAGGAAGAAAGAGAAGGTGGGGAAGTTCCAACACAAAGGTCTCACAGTTTAGCAAACACAGGACCAGGGATAAAACAACACATTTCTTCCTGTGTAAGCAGTTCTGCCTGTAACTGCGTGTGAGCTTGCCTTCCCGAGTTCTAGAAATATTCTTCAAAAGGGGGCTGTGGGAGGGTCAAGGGATGCCTGAACTCAAAGGCTAGGGTCACAGGGCCCGTAAGTCACACAGTGCCATTTCAACACGTGACAGCTACGAGGGCTCTGGAATGGGAGGAACCACACATGTCAGCAAACCCACGAGTGCAGGGGAAGGCAACTGCCCCCAACATGTGTGGGGGGGACCCAGAACAGAAGGACATGTCAAATGCTACATCACAGGCACTCCAGCTAACCCCAGCATTGTGTCGATATAACAGTGTCCAGGGGGTGAGAGAGTGTGGACAGCAAGTAAGGCCCCAGCTGGCAGGTGTCCAGTCTGGGCTTGATCCCCAGCATCCCCACTGGTCCCTGAGCCAGAGCCAGGAGTAAGCCCCGAGCACCGTGGGTGTGGCCCCCAAATGGTGAGAGCATCACCCAATTTCCTGTCTGGGTCTGTGTCCTGCTGGAAGTGACATCACAAGCTGTGTGAACAGTCGTGTGGCGTTAAGTGGGGCCAGCTGTGAGATTGTGTTGTTCCCCCTGGCTGGGGACACTGCCATTTGGCTACGGCTGTTGTTCTGGGGAGGTGCTCTGGGGCAACATCCCACCTGGTGCTCTTTGGGATTTGCTGATGCTTCTCCTTGGGCAGACCGGAGCTCCTGCATATTCCCCTTCAGTTCCAAGCCTGAGATTGGGAGAAATAAATGGCCCAACATACCTTTCTCTCGACCCCAGCCGGAAACGATGCACTTGTGATTGGGCTGGAAGAGATATGGAGACCAGGGCAGACAGGCGGGCACAGAACCAGGCATCTCACACTCCTTGAGCGAGGGCATCTTCAGTTGGAGCAGAGCGATGTCATTTTGGTAGGTGCTGCCGTTATAGTTCTCATGGATGATCACTTTGTTCACTAATCGAAAGTGCAGCTCTGTGTTGGGCTTTATCCAGTCTATTAGTGATGAGAATATAATGTACTGGCGCACTCTACTGGCTCTGGAATCAGTGGAAGGAGGGAAATGAAACGTGCTGAGAAAAAAACCCACATAACTATGATTATGTACATTAGACGCTTCCTGGGGCATTGGATGACAGTTCTGAGCATTTTAAGAAGTAATACACGGGGGCTGGAGCGATAGAACAGCAGGTAGGTTGTTTGCCTTGCACACGGCCAACCCAGGTTCAATTCCCAGCATTCCACATGGTTCCCCCAAGCACCGCCAGGAGTAATTCCTGAGTGCAGAGCCAGAAGTAACTCCTGTGCATCACCAGGTGTGACCCATAAAGAAAAAAAAAAGTAACACATGATGCTTGGGGCACACCCAGTTCCATCGGGCACTCCCAGTCCTCAGTGTTTATCTTCAACCTCTCCTCTGGGCTCTGCTTCCCCTGTCTGTTAATCACAAATCTCCCCAAATCAAACCCCATAACCAGTAGGTCAGATCTCCTGAGGGCTCTGGATTTTGTATATGTAAGTGAAATATTGTTTTTAATCTTTCCTTTATGTCCTTTGCATAGTTTACTTTAGAGCAATGTCCTTTTTGTATAGACACAGGAAGACAGTTAATGTTATGCTTTTGTAACTTGGGAATTAACCGATTCCAAGTAATATTTACTCCTGGGCATCTATCTTATTTATTTGATTTAAGCGTCAGTTGCCCTCAATTCTTAACACCCCAAAAGGGGGCCCTGGTGAGGGACTTGGATGGACCCAGGGCAAGCCGCTGGCCATACTGGCACTGGAAAGGGACAGGCCAACCACCATAGAAAGTATAATCAGTGAAGAGCACAGTCATGAAATAAACACTTACATGACCCAAAAAAGAAGGGTCTTTTTTGACTGAACAAGGACCCTGCTGGGGTTAGGAAAGACTAACCTGGCCTGAGGACTGTGGTCTGGGTTATATAGTGAGATGTCCCCAGGAAGAGCCAACCTTTAAGTTTAATATATCTCTTACTGTGTTCCTGGACTGGAGCGATAGCACAGCAGGTAGGGCATTTGCCTTGCAAGCGTCCAAGATGGCCGACCCGAGTTCAATTCCTCCACCCCTATCAGAGAGCCCGGCAAGCTACCGAGAGTATCTCGCCCGCACGGCAAAGCCTGGCAGCTACCCGTGATGTATTCGATATGCCAAACACAGTAACAATTGTCACAATGGAGACGTTACTGGGCCTGCTTGAGCAAATCGATGAACAATGGGAGGACAGTGACAGGGCTGTGTTCCTACAACATGACTTAGAAATATTCATAAGAAGTAAATTTAATACAGCTGTTTAAATGGATTACTAGCTGAGGAAAGGAGAAAGCAATTTGCCCTTAGATGGAATTCCACCCTTGGGAGGAATCTCCTAGCAGGAATCCAGGGTGCTGAGCACTTAGATGAGATTTTGTCATTGAAGAACTTCCCCTGAAGAAACATCTGTTCATTGTTATGATAATGTTTAACCACACTCGTGTGTAACTGCTACCCCCAGCTCTTCATGGTTTCGATATAACTAACACTGTGAGATTTGAATAGATGGCCACGGATTACCAACTAGCCTGGTGGCCTGCGCTCCACCCCCTTCCATCATTTGTCTGTCTCTGTTGACTGGGGGGAGGGGGCGGAGACCGTGATTTGACCCCCAAATGCATCAATAGGTCCTTCAGGTCACTGTGGGACAGTGACCCCCGCACCGGATAGCAACACGGAGGTATGTGCCCATGTCCCTCTCTTTCCATATATCCGTCCATGATCAGAGACCACATGCCTGGCCCTCTCACCTGACACAGTGTGCAGCGGTCACAACCCAGCAGCCACCGATGTAGATGCCACCACAGCTGATCCCATCTCCGTACTTGATGGCCACCTGCCAAGGGAAGTCACCCTGGAAAAGACGTGAGTGTGTGTGTGTGTGTTCATGTAATCTGCCCTGAGATGCGTCTCCTGCCAAATCCCCCTCCTTTTGTAATCACACCCCTGCCTCTCTCCAGCTTCCTTCTGCCTCTCCTTATCAGAGGTGGGCGTTGAGCAGCAAGGGCCCACCCGCAACTTACCACATGCGCCTGGCTGCCTCCCACCACGCGCTTCCTTCGGCTGTGCATGTGCTGCTTCACCCCGCAGGACATTGTAGGGAGGAGTGACTTGATCCGTTTTCTTTCTTAAGGGAAGGAAGACACTGCGCATTTAGGATGGTTTCAGCTCAATACAGCAGGCAAGGCCAGATACACCCTCAAACCCGTGAACAAATCAGCAGAGTCCCATGGGATTCAAACCAGGCCCACCTTGTAGCAGGTTATTCTGAATGCCAAGAGCACAGACCACCTTGTCCCCAACTCCTGAGGTCTGAGGTGACCCCTGAAGGCAGGCTGGTCAACACCAGGGCCTGGCCAAAGGGGTGCATTTACTGACCTCTGGCAGGTAGAAGGGGTCCCCAGAGCCCGGGGTGGGGTGCAGGTTTGGAATCTTGAACATAAGCTGCCCACATGCTGGGCACAGGGAGGGGAGGACGAATGAAGAGAGCGAACAATGAACAACCCTCTCACTCAACTGGGTTTGCTCTTCTAAGAGGCAGTTTCTGTTTGTTCTTGTTATGTTTTGTTGGTTTGGGGGCCATACCTGGCTGTGCTCAGAGCTAACTGACTTGATGCCCAGGGGTAACTCTTTGTGGGGCCTGGGAGACCTGTGGGGTTCTGGGGATCAAACTGGGGCAGCCACCTGCAAATTAAGTGCCCACTTCACTATACTATCTCTCTGGCCTGAAATGTAGCTTTGTAGTTGACAAAACTGATAAAATAAATAAATAAATAAATAAATAATTCAGTGAAAGAAATCATCACCTAATGGGATTGTTCTCACTTCATTTTGGAGCAAAATGAAAAATAAAATAAAATAAGACAACTTTTAAAAAGCATCGTGGGGTGGGAGAGAGAGAGCATGCAGGGGGCTGGGTCCAGTCTGCAGTGGGGCAGGTTCCTAGGCACCACTGGGAGTGACCCCCACCGCCCCCCCCCCAAACACATCAGACCTTGGAGTGGCCTCTGAGCACTGCTGGGAGTTGGCCCCAACCTAAAACCAAACCTCCAACATCAGCCTCTGGGGTGGTGAGAATGCAAAGGGCTAGTGCAAGCCCTTCGTGGAGGGTCTAAGGTGGGTCTCTGACCCTACATGCTCCCCACCCACCCAGACACTCACACACAGCTCCCAGTGGAGCCCCCGAGGGTCCTGAGCACTGTGTGAGAGCCCACAAATGAGACACTCTCGGGGGGGGGGGGCGTGGCAGGGCTCTGAGTCAGGGACCCAGCCCCAGGCCTCGTGCCTCGTCTACCTGTCAAGCTACCCCTCATGCTTTCTTTTCTTTTTCTTTTTCTTCTTCTTTTCTTTCTTTCTTTTTTTTTTTTTTGGTAGAGGTGGTGAGGGGGTGGGGCTCAGGGGCTCCTCCAGGGATTCTCTCTCTCTCTCTCTCTCTCTCTCTCTCTCTCTCTCTCTCTCTCTCTCCTTTTTGGGTCACACACAGCCGGCAGTGCTCAGGGGTTACTCCTGGCACTGCACTCAGGAATCACTCCTGGCAGTGCTCGGGGGACCATATGGAATGCTGGGCATCAAACTCATGCAAGGCGGATGCTTTCCCCACGATTGCTCCAGCTCTTCGCCTCCAGGGATTCTCAAGTAACGGGGATTCTCAAGTTTGGATGCTGGGCCCTCGGTTGATCCATGGCCTGAAGGTGCAGTGCCAGGGCCATCCCAGCAATGCTTGGGGGCTCATCAGGGGTGGGCAGTCAGGTCCAGGTCAGCGAGGCCCATGCCTCACCTAAGTACTGTCTCTCCAGCCCTCCATTAGCTCTTTCTTACTCAGCCCTCAAGCATCGCACCTCTTTCTTTCCTCTTAAGGTGATGTGGAGGGGCTGGAGAGACGAGACAGTGGGAGGGCACTCGCCTTACCTTTGGCCGAATCAGGTTGGATCCCTGGCACCCCCTATGGTCCCTGACCCCATCAGGACTGATCCCCGAGCTCAGAACCCTGACCCCGAAGAAAGCAATGTGGAAAGAAATGTTACTTCTACTTAAATCACTGTCAAAGCAAACGGCTCCAATCCATGATATTATATACATGGACACCCCATTAAAGGCCAACTCCCACTTCCCAGGGCCCTGAAGAATACTATGAACTTACCGGTATCCATATCCAGAGGCAATAAATTCGGTTCTATTAATTAAAAAAGAGAAAAAAAAGTATTTTTCTCCCCCTCCAATATTTAAAATCATGTGTATATATATAAGGAAAAACGAAATCATTAAACTCATGTAAGCAAAGGCAATCCTTGTCCATCTTAAAAACATGTCCTTCTTTCAAAGATCGTGACAAGACAGTCACCAGAGCACAAGGACCTGATGGCCCTCAGATCACTAAGCCATTGGCAAGTTCAGATGAATCACGTGGAGATGGTGCTGGCACAGAGAATGGGATTTGGGGGGGAGGGGAGCACCACGGGGGGGGGGGGGGAAGAGGGGGAGGGGGCAGGTGAAGAGCTACTCCAAGGCTGGGGGCGCTGTGTAGGTAAGGCCAGAGGGTCCCAGCACCAGCAACCAATGGGAAGGTTCCAGGCCTCTTGTAGGAGGGAGGCAGGCTAAGAGTTGGTTTCTGGAGCTGGGTGCCAGGAGGGCAGGATCAAGAGCAGGGGGAGGGAATTAAAGGAGGAAAACGGGAAGAAAAGTAACAAGAAGGACCAGGAGCTGGGGGTGTTGGGGAGACCAAGAACGGACAGACGGATGGGGGTGAGGCTGAGCAGAGACAAAGCGAGAAGTCCGGAGGCCATACTGGTGGGAGCACGGGCTGAGCAATGAGTCATTCTCGGATAAACTTGAAGCCAAAGGTTGCCCCTTAGAGCGGGGGCTTTAGGGGATCTGACTCCGGAAAGCGAAGCAGCACGGTGAGAGGCTGCGACTCTCCTGGAAGGGGGAGGGGACTTGACGGAAGGGGCTGGGGAGGGTCCACTGTGGGACACTAGTGGAGGGTCTCGCATCAGACTCTGAAAAACAGTGGCTGTGCCCGAGCTGATGTGGCAGCTGCATTAGTGCCACACGCAGGTCTAACCCCAGGGGCAGGGAGTGAAGGTGGCCCATCTGGGGTTCCAAATGGGCTGCAGCCCAAGCACTGTAGCACTGTCCCCCCGTTGTTCGTTGTTCGTAGAGTTGCTCCAGCGGGCCCAGTAACGTCTCCATTGTGAGACTTGTTGTTACTGTGTTACTGTGTTAACCCAAGTAGTTAATGAAATTTCCACTGTGAGTCACAGCTAAAAGGTCTGTAAAATAGGACAAAGAGTTATTACAGTGAAGAGTAATTTTTATTTGAGATAAATACATATCGTGTCAATATATGGTCCTCTTACCATATTATATGTCATTATGTAGATTAAATATATCCTCTCTTGTTCTCAATTCTATAATAGAATTTCTATCAGAAAGACAGACTTACCACTTGTTACAGGACGTTCAGCTCCTAAAACCAATAAAAACATAAAAACTCACGTTAGCTGAAAGACCTTTCTTTGTTTTGTTTTCTTATTGGGTCATACCTGGAAGTGCTCAGGGCTTACCCCTGGCCCTGAGCTCAGGAGTCACAAGACTTGGGAATCCTCTGGGGTACGGAGCATGGAACCCAGGTCGGCTGCATCAAGGCAAGCTCCTTGCCCACTGGGGTCTCTATGACCCCAAGAGATCATTTTTCTTGGGCAAAAATATACAGTCACCATTTCTTTCTTTCTTTTTTTTTTTTGTGGGGGGGTCACACCCAGTGATGCACAGGGATTACTCCTGGCTCTGCACTCAGAAATTACTCCTGGTGGTGCTCAGGGGACCATATGGGATGCCGGGGATTGAACCCAGGTCAGCCACATGCAAGGCAAACGCCCTACCCACTGTATTATCACTCTGACCCTACAGTCACCATTAATATTTCAGAGTGTAACTACTCAGAGTTATAATTACAGAAAGAGAAGCAGGAAGCACGATAGGCCAGCTTACACTGACTTTGCTTTTAGGCCTGTGATTCACAAAGCTGTTAACCATTTCGGGCATTCACTGTCTCAGTTCCAAACCCCCCACCAGTGTTCGTGACCAGCAACCTCCACCCACTCCTTCCCTTTGAGCTGTCTTCCGAGGGTGCTTTTTAAGTTAAGAGCCAATAGCAAGAGAACATTTACACCACTGACACTGGCAAGATGTTAAAAATCTACGCTTCCTTGTCCTTCTCCCATGCTAACAGTGAGGAACTGACCACATCAGGGTAGAAGGTGCACAGGTGATGGCCAGCTGCCTGTGGTCCCGGCCTTGTCCATAGCTCCCCTGTCCTCTCTGTGCGTCCCTTAGTCTCTCACTGCTTCCCACCCCAGCAGCGCCTGCTCTGGGGTCTGGCGTCCAAACCCACTGGACTCTGCACTTCCCTTCCTCCCAGCGGCCCTGCCTGCTAGGAACTGCTGCCTCTTCCCTGGGTGTCACTGCAGTGGTCTCCCCGCTTCTCCCTTGTCTCTAACACAAGTGTCCCCTTAAGTCGTGAATGTACTGACTGAGTCGTTCCCTCCGGAAAGCGCCCACAGGAATGTGGAGTTCTGTGAGTCCCAGAATCAGGGACCTCATACATAGTTTCACGCAGGGAACTTGAGATCAAGGAAGACCTAAAAGCAAAGAGCACCAACCGCTACTTTGAAGGCTGATAAGGTAAAGCCGAGAATTCGGTCGAACTTTCGACTATACACATTAGGGGAAACAGAATTGTTGAGGAGGAAAGTTCATCGGCGTGGACAGTTACAGATGAAGGAGTGTCGGGGCATTAGTACAGTGGGTAAAGCGCTTGCCTTGCACGCAGCCAACCTAGGTTGGATCCCCTGCATCCCCTGGGGTCCCCTTGTAAGGGCAAAACTGACGCCATGAGAGGCGGCAGAAACCAGCAAAATCAGCTAGGCCTCAGGTTCAGTTAGGTGAACTAAAACAATTTCATTCAATGAATGAAACAATGTGCAACTAGCCAAACACATACCCTAGGCACTTGCCAAAACACCTTTGTTCGGTAAGTAAGTCAGATTTTTCTGAAACAATAAGGCATGTCTTGCTTATGCAATACAACCCTATACAAACTGCTTGCACTTGGAGGTTGGAGTGGCTATCAAGAGACCACTCTGTGGGTGAGATAGCTGACCCCGGTATACTGGAATAAAACTCCTATTGCTTTTGCATTATTTTGGTTGTGCCTCTTTCCACTTCGGCATTGGGAATCCAGAATCTCGAGCTTAACACCTGCAGTACTGCCAGGAGTGATTCCTGAGAGCAGAGCCAGGTGTTGTACCCAAAACCAAAACCAAAACCAAAATAGTCTAGAGTGCCTTTTGATACTGTGAAAGCATTGATAGAATAATAAAACAATGACATCACTATCACATCACTATCACCCCGTTGTTCATCGATTTACTCGAGCAGGTGCCAGTAACGTGTCCATTTGTCCCTGTCACGTGCTAGTGTAGTCCGAAGGCATATGGGGGCTCTTTCAAGGTCAGGGGAATAAGGACCATCACTGTTACTGTTTTTGGCATATCGAATACAATACGGGTAGCTTGCCAGGCTCTGCCATGTGGGTGGGATACTCTTGGTAGCTTGCCGGGCTCTCCGAGAAGGATGGGTACAGCGGGTGGGGCATTTGCCTTGCATGCAGCTGACCCGGGTTCAATTCCCAGCATCCCATATGGTTCCCCGAGCACCACCAGGAGTAATTCCTGAGTGCAGAGCCAGGAGTAACCCCTGAGCACCACCAGGTGTGATCCAAAAAGAAAAAAAAGGAGCAAAATTGGCAAAAGGACTGGAGAGCGCCCGCGGGTCTCGAACCATCAAGGATGGCTACAAAGCAAAGCTTCGTGTTCTGCCGAAGTAACCGCTGGGCTAAAGCCAGTCCAGAGGAACAGCCCGGACAGCATTTATTTGACTGCCAAGAGGACTTGCGTCACTATGACTCAAGAGACCTATGACTCATGATGACTCTGCAAACAGAAACCCTCCAATCTGAAGCCTCCCTTTCACCACACTTAAGAGACTGGTTTTCTAGACACACAGTAAAACCTAGTTCCTCCTCACCCCTTTCTCCTTTTCCTCCACTCCCCACAAATCCTTAATTCCTTGGTAAACTCTTCACTAGTAGCCTCTTTGCTTATTCCTTTAGCACCATTACACACCCAAGTCACCTAACCAACCCTTTTGAACACTTCCCGAGAGCCGACCTCCAAGCACAACCATCCCCAAGCTTAATCAGTGCCTCACTCAGAAGTATGAAGAGTTTAGTCCAAAGTTTACTCCAAGCCTCATCTTCAAATACTGCAATGAAACCAGGCAGCGCCTCTCCTCTCTTAGGTAATATTTGATTCTACTTGTTAAGCTACTTTAAATACAATAGCACTCTATTCTCTTTGTTTATGTGAGCATATACCCTCTCTTGTCAAAACTCCTACCTTTTCCAATTAGTATTAACTGATAATTAACTATTAACTAATAGTTAATATTCCTTTCTTTGCCATGATCAATATATCTAACTCTACAGACGCTATATGTAGTTTCATGGTTTGTAAGAACATGTGTGGAATCTGTTTGTAGGGTATGATTTCTGCGAGTGACAAACATGCTTGAGACATCTTTCTTGTCCATACAAATGGATCAAATTCACATATATTGGGGGTAGCTGCATTATACTCAAGTATAAATGTTTCCATTTTATTTTCAATGTTTTACTGCTATGGGACTGGAGAGACAGCACCAGGGTGCTTAGTGCTTGTCTGGCATGTAACCCAGTCCAAACCCAGCACTGCATATGCTTCCCTGAGCACAGTAGAAGTGACCCATGAGTATTAACAACTTGACCTGCACCCAAAAGAGTTGTATTGTTAGAAACAAAGATGCATAAAACACCCCAGTACATGTTTATATATCACATTTACTATTATGTACAGTATAAATGTTCAGGGTTGGGTTTTCCTCTCCGCCACAAGCAGAGCCCCGGCAGACAAAGACCTCCGGGACTCAGCCACAGCCATGCTGAGACCACTCTCCACACGCTCAGAAAAGCCTCACGCATGAAGGAACCGGAAGAGGATCCCAGGTGTGCGGGACCCGGGGCTGAGATCTCCAAGCCTGCTTGGATCAGGACTGGGCCTCCTCCACGCAGATCCCCCATCTTCCAGTAGCTAGGCAGTTGCAGCCACCAACTGCCGTGTAACCCCATCAACGGCAAAGATACAGAGACTATAATACCAAGCACCCAGAAAACCTCTTATTGTCTAGTGTTCACTCTCAGAGAACCCAGCAGACTACCGAGAGTATCCTGCCCACATATATACCTGACTGGGAACACCTGAAAAGGTGATTAGAGGCTGCCCCAAAACAATGACATTTTTTAAAAATGAAAAAGGATTTTTACATAAAGGGTGTCATAAAGTAAGTAAGTAAAGGCCCTCCCGTTGATCATCGATTTGCTCGAGCGGGCCCAGTAACGTCTCCATTGGAGACTTTGTTGTTACTGTGTCTGGCATATCGAATACTCTCGGTAGCTTGCCGGGCTCTCCGAGAGGGGCGGAGGAATCGAACTTGGGTCGGCCATGTTGGCTGTGTGCAAGGCAAACGCCCTACCGCTGTGCTATCGCTCCAGCCCAGGGTGACATAGTTAAAAAAAATTAGCCTCTTGTCTGATTTTTATTCTCGATGCAGAATAAAGTATTGAATTAGAAATCAGCATTTCACAGCCCTGGCTTCCAGACTGTGTCCAGATAGCAATAGCAATGGCTGTTTACAACCAGTGAGGTGGGAAGCTGGGGAGAGGTGTGGTGAAGAAGAGAGGGAGCTGACACAGGGTCAGCCTCTACCCAAGAGACAAGCAGGCCAGGTGTTCGTGGGCAGAACCACCCACCGAAGATTCTTGCCTGATACATTGAACTCTGCACCTAATCCATCCCTGTGGATCCAGAATCAGGAATACCTTATGGGCAAATACCCATGTTCCTAAGGAAAAAAAAAAACTGGGGGAAAAATCGGTGCATGACCCTTAAAAATAAAAAAAAAGAAACTAAAAAAATGTAATAATGACTAAAAAATTGGGGCTGGAGCAATAGCACAGCAGGTAGGGTGTTTGCCTTGCATGCAGCCAACCTGGGTTCGATTCCCAGCATCCCATATGGTCCCCTGAGTGCAGAGCCAGGAGTAACCCCTGTGCATCGCCGGGTGTGACCCCCCAAAAAAAGCCAAATAATGACTAAAAAATTTAACTAACCACATTGCTAGATTCTTTGGGCTCCTGATGGAAAGACGCTAAAAAGATGCTTCCCGACACACATACTTGTGGTCAGATCCAACCATTGACCAGTCCTCCTAGCCCCTATTTTCCCTCGCCATGGATATTACCTCCAGGTATACTTCTAAGAAAGCAGTTTTTATTTTAGCTTTTCCGCGTTGGGACCCCACCAATGGGCGGTGCTCAGGGGTTACTCCTTGTTCTGTGATCAGGGATTGTGAGGTTCCAGGGACCAGATCTGGGGCTCCCCCAGGCAGAGAACATGCTCCCCGCTTTGAGTCATCACTCTAGCCCCAGCCTTATTTTTATGCACCAAGTGGTTTTATCGTTTTAGAGATGTGGGTAAGTGACAAGAGGTAACAGCTCAGGTTTACTATAAAATAAGCAAAAAATCAAAACAAAGGATGGGTGACCATTGGAGCCGGGAGCTACACACAGATGGGTTCATTCTAGCAATCTGCCTTTGTCCGTGGGAACTTTTCTAATGAAAATGTTCTGAAACAGCAGCATTTGATAATGACTGGCAGTTTATGAACTCCTAATTGGATGGTGAAAAGGAGAGATGGGCGCCCACAGTCCCTCCCGTCCAGCTGCAGACACTCTCCTGCCAGGCCCTTGCCGGGTTGCATCACCCCCTGAGTCCTGCCCCCATAGAAGGTGCCCCTCCTCAGCCCCCGGACTGGGCGTTACCTCCACAGTTGGCCTCGTCGTCCCCGGTGATGCAGTCCCGCTCACCATTGCACCGGTACTGCTGTGGGATACAGACACCCGAACTGCAGTGGAAGCTAGCTCCCTGGCACCCTGCGTGGGCAATTACAGAGCAGGCATTTTTATATGATTATTATTACACTTCTTCCTTTTCTGGGGGCAGAGTCATACCCCGGGTGCTCGGGACCTCCTCCTGGCCCTCTGCTTGGGAACCATTCCTGGTGTGGGCTCGGGGACAAGAGGTGGTGTGGGATCCATCTGTTTGGCTGGACCTGGAGCTAGGCGAGAGCCTGGAGCCTCCCCCCAGACCATCTCTCCAGCCCCAAGGGGAAGATTGTTTTTTTTTTTTTTTGCTTTTTGGGTCACACCTGGCAATGCTCAGGAATTACTCCTGGCGGTGCTCGGGGAACCATATGGGATGCTGGGAATTGAACTCGGGTCGGTCGTGTGCAAGGCAAAAACCCTCCCCGCTGTGCTATCGCTCCAGCCCCTTGTTTTTCTTTTTTTTCGTTGAAAGAGATTTTTTAAAAAAATAATAAAAGTCTTCAGTTCAGCTGCCAGGTTGGTTCCCCTTTCCTGGTTTGTGTGTTCTGCATTGCTATGTGACAGATACACTCTTGCTGAGCAGCCTGGCCCCAGCCCCTACTTTGTTAATTATTAATTCCTGGTTTTGGGGTAACCCGACAGTGCTCAGGGCTTACCTTGGGCTCTGCACTCAGGCATCACTCTGTGCTCGGGGACCACTGGGATGCCGGGGACTGAACCTGGGTCAGTCATGTATGAGGCCAGTGCCCTACCCACTGAACTATCTCTCTAGCCCCCATCTGCATGTCTTTTGCCTGGGATGGTGGATGGGTCTCCCCATCAGTGCTTGGTTGCTCAATGGCCTTTCCCAGTGGGTGTGGATCTGTAGCAACTACCCCCTGCCCCCCCCCGGAGGATGCCCAAGGAGGGGCCCCACGGACTTCGACCCACTTGTGCAGCACAGCTCGTCGCTCTGGTCACCACAGTCGTTCACGCCGTCACAGGCCTTCCCTCGTGGGATGCGCTTCCCGTTCACACACTGGAAGGCCTTCTCTGCCGGGGGAGCTGCAAAACAGGGGCCCCGTGTGTGACCATCACTCCTGTCACCTTTCAGGGGCCACAGACAAGATAAAGGGAGGGGCCAGGGAGGACAGCAGAGAAACCTGGGCCCCTTGTGGCCAGTCCAGCTCAGTCCCCCAAACCAGCACTGGCTGCCTTGGGCCTGGATCGCCAGTGAGGAGAGAAAACGAACGCCCCAGCTGCCCAGTCCCGTCCCTGCCCGGTGGGGAGGGGGGCTCCCAGGCTCTGGGTGAGGCCAGGTTGCGTGTCTTGCTTGTGGGGGTCACACACTCCGCTGAGGCACACTGGAGACCCCCATGCTGCAAGGGGAGCTGGGGACACTCCAGGGTGCTGAGCAAGGCCCGCCCCTCCTCCAGCCCCCCAGGCATTCCCGTGCTCTCTGAAGGCCAGGATGGACTCTGAGGGTGAGAACCACCGAGAGCAGAGCCTCCCCCCAACACATGCTGGTGTCACCCACAACTATCCTGCTGCCACAGGGGTCCCTGCATGGGCCAGGCCTGACTTGAGCTGTGTCATTTACATTTTGTTATTATTATTAGGCTTAGGGGCTTCTCCCAGCTCTGTCCTCAGGGGTCAAATCCAGGGGTGCTGGGGGGTCACGTGATGCTGGGGGTAGAACCTGGGACCCCGCATGCAGAGCAGACGCTCAGCCTGGCCGGCTCTCCATCACATTTCCAAGTTTAGTTGAACTTTGGTTTTTAAGTACCAGAGAGGTCTCTCTCCGTCTTTGTCTGTGTCTGTGTCTGTCTGTCTGCCTGTCTGTCTCTCTCCTTCTCTCTCTCTCTCTCTCTCTCTCTCTCTCTCTCTCTCTCTCACACACACACACACACACACACACACGCACACACACACACAGCCAAAGTCTTTCCTGCTCAGCATACTGAGGTGGTCACTGAAACAATTGCAGCTAAAGTGCCCACACTCAACCTCTCATGGGAGATACTGAGATTTTTTTAGTTGCTTGGCTTAATGTGTGTGCCATTAACTTGTGGGTTATTTTTTCCCCTTTTTTTTGGTTTTGGGGCCACAACTAATAGTGCTGGGGTGCTGCACCTGGCCCGGTGCTCAGGGTCATTCCTGGTGGTGCTCGGGAGTCCAGAATCAGAGACCTGGTGCCGGCTAGGCCTAGCACGGCAGTTTGTTGGGAAGGGGTCCCGCAGGACCAAGGAGCCCATGCGAGGCACATGCTCTACACACTCACCATCTCCTCAGCCCTCTGTGACCCTTGACCCAGACGCTCAAGTAAAGGGGGAAAACCTTTGCTCTTCACGTAGGAAGCTGGACAGAAGTGAGCTGGGGGAAGAAGACCCCTGGAGTTTCCTGTGGAAGTGAGCCAACCAGAAGAAGAGGAAGTGCCGGGCAGCCCCTCCACCAACCTTCACTGTCGTTGTAGCACACCACTCCGGCGAGCTCCTGGACGCCGGCCCTTCGGGTGAAGGTGCATTCGGTCAGGCTGGTCTCCGTGCCTCGGCAGGACACATGCAGACACTCATCGATGTTGATGTCAGGGCGTGCAACATCTGGTGTGTCGAGAGCACCACTGCCAACAGAACCGGGCGACACGTGGAGGAAGGGGTTAGGGAGCACCACTGCCAACGGAACCAGGCGTCACAGGGAGGAAGAGGGTAGGGAACACTGCTGCCAACAGAACCAGTCGACATGAGGAGGAAGAGGGTAGGGCCTGCATTTGCTGCCTCGCTGCAGGCAGGAGGGAGGAGACTTCCCTTGGGAATTTCCCCTCTTTCTACAAGTGAGTTTAGGAAAATATTCCCGAGCCTCAAAATATCCACCTGTAAAAGGGAACAGAATGATTTCACTGAGTTTCCTAAGACTAACTAGACACAGGACTGGAGCAATAGCACAGCGGGGAGGGTGCTTGCCTTGCATGTGGATGACCAGGGTTCTATCCCTGACATTCCATATGCGACCCCACCCAGGCTCTGCCAAGAGTAATTCCTGAGTGCAGAGTAAGTTCTAACCATCACTGGTGTGACCAAAATAGCCAAAAAAAGAAAAAGAAAAAGAAATAAACACAAGCACTGCTGATGGACTTCCGAAGCTCACGCCATGGCAAGCAAAGCCAAGGTTGTGTTTCTCCTGGACCGTCTCTTCCTGGGAAGGTGTACGTCCCTCTCACTGCTATTTCCTTCCAACCTGAGATGTATTATTATTCTTGGTTTCTCATCATCCCGCCAAGGTAGTGGGTGACATTAGGGCCTCCTTGCCTGCCCCAGGCAGCACGGTTGGCCTGGTGGGTCCCAACATTGCCCGGGATTTGGCAGGTTTCTTTCTGGCGGGTCACTTTTGCTTTCACACAACTCTACACCTTCAGTAAGTGTTGAAAAAATGAAGGTAGATTGGGCTCTGTAGACCGTTGCTTGGCGTTCTCCATTGGTTTAGCATCTGTGTAGGTCAGAGGTGTCACCAGTGGCCCAGCGCCCTAAGATAAGACCCCATCACATACTACTACCCCAGAACCTTAGGTGGCTTCTTGCTTCTCTTTAGAAATAAATGGGAGGCAGTGAAAAGCTGGGAAAGAGGCACCGGATAACTGAAAATCCAAACAAATCAGTAGGGGCCTGAGAGACAGCTCAATGGGCTAAGCAAACACAGACTTTGGTTGGATTCTGAGCACTGCCAGAAGCAACTGCCAAGTGCAGAGCTGGGGCAGCCCCTGAGCAGTGCCAGTTGTGGCCCCAAACAAAACAAAGCAAGAAGCCGTGGGGTGAGTCTGTGACTAGGGAGGGAGGCCTGCTCTGGAGCTCCTGCAAGATATGGCCAAGTCAGGACAGGGAGTCCACCCGGGAGTGAATCAGAGGTGGCTGCTGAGAGGTGGTTGCTGAGAACCAGAAAAACCCAGTGGCACAGAGATGCGCAGAAACCCTCCTTCGTGAAGTGCTCGCAGAGGTGAATCCAGAGTGAAGGAGAGGTGTGTGGGCAGTGCCAACCGACCAGAAGCTGGCACGGGGAGGCAGTCTCCTGATGCCCCTTTCTGGGATGGCCACAGTCTTGGCGACTTGGAGTGGGTGATGCTGGAGCGATAGCACAGCGGTAGGGCATTCGCCTTACAAGCGGCCAACATGGCCGACCCGAGTTCGATTCCTCTGCCCCTCTCGGAGAGCCCGGCAAGCTACCGAGAGTATTCGATATGCCAAACACAGTAACAACAAAGTCTCCAATGGAGACGTTACTGGGCCCGCTCGAGCAAATAAAATTATAAAAAATGAAATAAAAGGGGCTGGAGCAATAGCACAGCAGGTATGGCGTTTGCCTTGCACGCGGCTGACCCGAGTTCAATTTCTCTGCCCCGCACGGCAAAGCCTGGCAAGCTCCCCGTGATGTATTCGACATGCCAAACACAGTAACAAGTCTCACAATTTGTTGTAAGACGTTACTGGTGCCCGCTCGAGCAAAATCGATGAACAACGGGAGGACAGTGCAGACAGTGCAGCCACCCCGGGTTCGATTCCCATCATCCCATAGGGTCCCCTGATCATCACCAGGAGTGATTCCTGAGTACAGAGCCAGGAGGAACCCCTGAGCATTGCCGAGTGTGACCCAAACAGCAAATAAATAAATAGCACTGTAGTACTGTTGTCCCGTTGTTCATCAGTTTGCTTGAGTGGGCACCAGTAATGTCTCCATTGTGAGACTTGTTGTTACTGTGTTTGGCATATCGAATACGTCATGGGGAACAAGCCAGGCTCTGCCGTGGGGCGGGATACTCTCGGTAGCTTGCTGGGCTTTCCGAGAGGGATGGAGGAATTGAACCCTGGTTGGCTGCATGCAAGGCAAATGCCCCACCCGCTGTGCTATTGCTCCAGTCCAAATAAATAAATAATTAAATAAATAAATAAAATCAAAGCCACAGCGCAGACACACAAACCTCTGCAAGAACGATGAAGAAAGGAGCCCGTAGAGCTGGGGGGAGTGGGCGTGAGCAGATAGGTGCGCTAGACAGCGAGTGTAGGGGAACTCTGGCTTGGCAGAGGACAAGCACCCAGCAGCTCTGCTTGGCTAGGCGGCCAGGCAGCCAGGCAGGTACATTCTCAGGCTACAGAGGAGGAACCAGCAGCCCAGAAGGAGTGACCCTGGGGGAGTACTCACAGCGGGTTCCCCAGGTCCAGGCAGGCCACGTTGGCCTGAGTCATGCCCCAGCCGTCCTTGCAGACATACATGCTCTCCTCCAGGACCGTGAGCTTGACCCTGAGAAGGCCCACTGAATCCGGCCCTTCATGGTGCAGAGAGACATCAAACTTCTCTAGAATAAAAAGCTGGGACTGAGCGACAATTACATAGTCACATCTTCCCCCTGTTGATTCGAAGCTCTCAAAAACAGTACAACAACATTCTCCCTCATTGCTTTTGAGGTCATGAAGATTTGAGGTAAGAAAAACTGTTCGTGGGCCGAAGCGATAGTACAGTGGGTAGGGATTTTGCCTTGCACCCACCAACCAGCGTTCAACCCCCAGCATCCCATATGGTCCCCCAAGCACTGCCAGGAGTAATTCCTGAGTGCAGAGCCAGGAATAACCTCTGAGCATCTCCGGGAGTGACCCAAAGAGCAAATAAATAAATAAATTTAAAAAAACTGTTCAGTTTTGGGGGGAGGCCTCACCCATTGGGCGCTCAGACGCTGCTCCTGGCAGAACCCACTGAGCTCTTTCAGGCCCAGGGAAGTAACTCTATTTTATGGGGTGTGGAGGAGCAGTCTCTGGGCCACACCTACCAGAGCTCTGGGCTTACTCAGGGCTCTGTGCTCAGGGGTCACTCTTGGCAGGGCTCAATATTTGTTGCAAGGCTAGGCCAGGCTGTGGCAAGGCCCAACTATCTCCAGCCCTTTAGTCCCATTTTACAGATGTGGAAAGCGGGCTCGGAATTCACATAACCTGCCAATAAACGAGGTGAGGCAACTCGTGAATCGAACTTTCAGTGACACTCTGTAATTTTATTGTTTTTCAAACAGGCTTCCTGGGTGGGAGTGGGGCATGGTTCGAAGGACACTGGGTCTGGGAGCCAGTTGGTATTGATCCACTAACTGAGACAGGCCGGAGCTTGGGCTTCTCCGTGCCCACCCCTTCGAGCTCTCTCCCCAGCCACAAGCCACAGAGTCCTCCTGTTCTGTTCTGCTTTTGATTTGGGGGCCACCCCCATCAGTGCTCGGGGCTTACTCGCAGCTCCTACGCTCAGGGATCTGTAGTCGCCGGGCTCAGGGGACTGTATGGGGTGCTGGGGATGGAGCCCAGGTCGGCCACAGGCCAGGCAAGCGCCCTCCGTGCTGGACTGTCTCTTCAGCCCACTTGACTTTTGTTTCTTTTTGTTTCTCATCGCTCCTTCACCTTAACCACTGCACTAACCCATCTACCTGGGTCCTCTCCCCTTTAGGAACCTGGTGGGGCTTACAGCAGAGTGGGCTGAGAACTGGGGGTACATTCTTGTTCAGCCATGGCGGGGGCACCTCTGCATCAGGGCAAAAGGGACAGGGGCCCCAAATTTATAGGAATGGTGATCCATATATATATATATATACATATATATATATATATATATATATATATATATACAGGTTGGAGCGATAGCACAGCGGGTAGGGCGTTTGCCTTGCACGCAGCCAACATGGCTGACCCAAGTTTGATTCCTCTGCCCCTCTCAGAGAGCCCGGCAAGCTACCAAGAGTATCTCGCCTGCATGGCAAAGCCTGACAAGCTACCCGTGATGTATTCGATATGCCAAACACAGTAACAACAAAGTCTCCAATGGAGACGTTACTGGGCCCGCTCGAGCAAATCGATGAACAATGGGAGGATAGTGATACAGTGATATATATATATATATATATATGCAGAGTCTGGCAAGCTACCTGTGGCATATTTGATATGCCAAAAACAGTAACTATAACGAGTGTCATTCCCCCGACCCTGAAAGAGCCTCCAATACGGCAGCGTTGGGAAAAGTGAGTTGGGAGAGACTGCTAAAATCTCAGGGCTGGGATGAATGGAGATGTTACTGGTGCTCACTCAAGCAAATTGATGAACAAGGGGACGACAGTGATATAGTGTCATATATATGTATATATATCAAAGACACCCCACTTTCCACTAGGTTCTGAAGGGATTGGGACGTGAGGGAGGACGACTGTGGGCGGGGAGAAGTTATGGGTGAGGGCAGTGTAAAGCGCTGAGCAGCAAGACTGACCAGGGCGCCTGGGGTCTCCAGCTGCCCAGTGCTCCCTGTGGCTAGCGGGGCATGAGTACCGTCTCTGGGACACTCTGGGCTGGAGAAAAGCGAGTGGCTGCATTTCCTGCCCCGGAGGATGCACAGGGGGACTGCGGCTGCCTTTGCATTGGAGGAGAAGAAACGTTTCCTACCCTGGCCGGTGCACTCGCCGCTGTTGAGGAACTTGGAGTCTGGCTGAAGACACTGGAAGCTCTTCAGCTGACAGTAAGTCAAGAAGCTCTTCCCGTTGGTGGCACACACCCTGGTGCCGTTCTTCGGGCACTGGTAGGGCAGTTTGCAGAGGCAGGTTCCGCCGATGCACTTCTGCCAGGGCTGGCAGAAGACCTTGTCACAGGAGCGATGCGTGTGTCGCTCTGCTAAGCACTTCGTGTCCAACAGGTCGGAGGCTGGAGGGAGCTGGGATACAGAAGGCAGAGGGACTTAGTCGCAGGCTAGAAGCACCGTTCCTCTGAGGCTAGGGAGGGAAGGGGAGAAACAAGCCTGGCGATACCAGGGCCCCCATGCAGATGCGGTCTGTGGGCTTTTAGCTACAGGCTTTGCACTCCTGAGGCTGGTCGGACTCGGCACAAGTGCAGGGCTTTTTTCTGGCTCTGTGCTCAAGGATTACTCCTAGTGGGACAGAAGGAAGCATAGGGGGTACCAGGGATTGAACCGCATGCAAGACAAATGCCCACTGTACTATACCTCCAGCCCATGTGACTGGTTCTTTCTGCTGCATAATCTAGTGAGGACTGATGGGCACAAGCTGGCACCCAAGAGACACTTCCCAGAAACCCAGACCTCGAGAGCCATAAGTTTAGGGCGGGGTTCTCTGTGTTTTCTTTTATCTTGGCACCACGTGTAGTGGAGCTCAAGGCTCTCACTCCTGGTGGTGCCAGGGACCCAATCTAGGGTTCCTGCACACAAAGCCCGCATTCCAGCCCACTGCACACTCTCTCCGGCCCCTAGGAGGGTGGTTCCAATGGTCAGTCCATAAACGGACACTGTTCTGTGGGTACACACGAGGTTGACACCACTGGTCATAGGAGTTTTGAAAAATTGATGTATGTGCATTTGTTTGTTTAATCAGTGTGTTTCTGACCTACAGATAAACACCTTCACAGGTGCCAGGAGCAGCTGCCCAGCATTTATTACCAGCTACTGTCACCTTGAGGGTAGAAAGAAAATGACTAGGAGAGGACTTTGAGGTCTATGAGGAGACCAGGGTGATGGAACTCTAATGACTGGGACTACAACCAAACTGTTGCTACGATTGTGCTGTAAGGGAGAGATCAGACTACGCTGGGGAGGAGAGAGAGATAAACTGTCTACCAACCATCCTGAGGCTCTGTTCCCCTGCTTCTCCACTCCCCTGGTCCTTCATCCATCCACCACCCTGGGCTGGCCAGGGGAACCGTTCTCAGCCACCAAATGCTCAAGTCCCCTGCACCTCCATGCTTTTCTGTTGTGAAACTCACAATTTGCTACAAGTTATTAAAGATTTTTTTGCACTTATATGTGTGATTGGGCTGGAGCAATAGCACAGCAGGTAGGGCGTTTGCCTTGCACATGGCCAACCCCGGTTCGATTCCTCCGACCCTCTCAGAGAGCCCAGTAAGCTACGGAGAGTATCCCGCCTGCATGGCAGAGCCTGGCAAGCTCCCCTTGGCATATGTGATATGCCAAAAACAGTAACAAGTCTCACAATGGAGATGTTACTGGTGCCCACTCGAGCAAATCGATGAACAACAGCAGGACAGTGCTACAGTGCTACTGCCGCCTCATTATCTACAGAATATGACTCAACTCAATAACGACTTCTACTAACAAGGATCCCCCCCTTTCTTTTTATTTTAAGTTCATTCCTTGGTATTTGTAAAGCGGTGGCAGTTATCTGGCGTGAGTTGAACCTTTTAGTGGAGGTGGGACTAGAGTGAAGGCATTTTAGGCAACCACTGACCCTTAAAAAACAAACAAGCAACAAGCCATATTGTGTTCAGCCCCAGGATACAGCTAAGAAGCATTACCTCTGATTTCTTCTCATTTTCTTTTCTATAGTGAGGCTATAAAGAGAAAAGAATGATAAATGATGAGAAAGCAAATCCACCACTTTTTCTTTCTATTGTTTTTGTTGTGTGCTTGGATTTCTTCTTTATTGTAGCAGTGAGAACATGACCAGGCCCAGGGAATACCCTCTCGGGTGAGAACAGCCAAGATCGACTGACCCCATGTTGACAAGTTATCAGTACATCTCCCTGGCTCAAGATGCTTTTTCAAAAAAGGAATTAGGCCAACATCAGTGTCACTGAAGTTTACTGACTTGCATAAGAAAGGAGCTCTTTTCCTTCTATAAGTGAGAGCTACTATTTTCACTTTATTTTGGGGGTCCACTCCCTATTATTTATTATCAGCTTTGTGGTTGATTTTTAACTAATAAATAATGCACATTCACTTGCTTTGGTTTTGTTGTTTTTGGGGACACACCTGGCTTTTTCTCATGTGCTTTCTGGCACATTCCTGGCTCAGTGCTCAGGAATCACTCCTGTCAGGGTTTAGGTAACCATATTTGGTAGCCAAGGATTGAACCTGGATGGGCTATTTTCAATTCAAGTGTCTTAACCTTGTACTATATCTCTCGCCCCTCACTTGATATTTTTTATTTATTTTTAATTTTTCAATTTTTTTTGCTTTTTGGGTCACACCCGACGATGCACAGGGGTTACTCCTGGCTCTGAGCTCAGGAATCACCCCTGGCGGTGCTCAGGGGACCATATGGGATGCTGGGAATCGAACCTGGGTCAGCTGCATGCAAGGCAAACGCCCTACCCACTGTGCTATTGCTCCTGCCCCTCACTTGATATTTTTAAATAAAAATAAATAATAAAAAAGAATTTCTGAATTAATAAAGTTATAAAAATTCATGAATATATAAAAAAGTAAGGTGACTGTAGCGATAGTACAGAGGTGAAGGCACTTGCGTTGCATTTGCATGTGGCCGACCTGGGTTCGATCCCAAGCATCCATATGGTTCCCAAAATTTGCCAGGAGTAATTCCTGAGCACAGAACCAGGAGTAAGCCCTGAGCATCATCAGGTATGACTCAAAAACCTATATAAAAAAGGGAAAATAAATATAATCAGTAATCCCACTGCTCAGATTCTAAGAGCTCTCTGTAAATATCCAGAAAGAAGTTTTACATCACCATCTGTATAAGCAGCTAAATGTGTATGTTTATGTGTATGTTTACATATAGTTTCATATACTTTTGTGGGGCCCCTTAGGTCCTTAGTTCAGTCTGAGGGGTCATCCTCAGACCTGTGGAGAGAGGGATTCCCTGGGTCAGCCCAGTGGTACCCGGTACTCGAGGGATCTCTAGGGCCATGCCCAAGGATGCTCTATGATCTGAGGACGTAAGACATGTGCCTTAACCCTGGTATTATCTCTCTGGCTCCAGACACATATATATTTTTCAACAACAACAACAACAACAAAGAGGTTTTAACAAGGACTTTTAAAATTCAATATAGAATGCAATTTTTTGGGGGGGGGGACTTTTTTGGGTCACACCCTGTGATGCTCAGAGGTTACTCCTTGCTCTGCACTCAGAAATTACTCCTAGCAGTGCTCAGGGGACCACATGGGATGCCGGGGATGGAACCCAGGTTGGCCGTGCACAAGGTAAGTGCCCTCCCCACTGTGCTATCACTCCAGCCTGGAGAAGGCAATGATTTAAGAGCCCATTTTTGTGAGATGAGGAGTCTTCCCAAACAATTCAGGTGAAACTGCAGTGATGGGATAGCCACCATGGAGCAAGGACCTTTAATGAGAGGTAACATTCCTCTCATTCAAATTCCCAAAATTTTAAATTATAAAAATGTGATTTACAATAGTCCATTTGTGACTTAAAATTTTTAATGTTTCTTATCCATGAACATTTATTTACTTTTTCTTTGCTCCTTATTATAAACATTGCATCTCAGGTAAATTTCAAGAAACTTAATGTAACTCTGATCTTGGAATTTTCTTGAAACACTTATTCCTAGAAGCTGCATTAAGACATAATAGCTGTTTATTTTATTTATTTTTTTATTTAATGTAGGAGTATTGTTATTTATTCAGCCATTGATTAGGCTGATTGAATTGGGCATGAATTCCACTTTACATTTTTTTCTTTTTTATAAATTTATTTATTGAATCACTGTGAGAGCAGTTACAAAGCTTTTGGGTTTAAGTCTCAGTTAAACAATGATGAAACACCCATCCCTTCACCAGTGCCCATTTTCCAACACCAAAAACCTCAGTATACCCCCATCCCGCACGCTCCCCCTCTGGGGCAGATGATTTCCACATTACTCTCTCTCTCTACTTTGATTACATTCAATATTTCTGCACCAGACCCATTACTACTATTTGGGATTTTACCCCAACACTCAGATCTACCAAAAAGCCAACAGGAGACAATTTGTTTTCTATTGCTGGTTATGAATAACAAATGATGTCATGCGGTCACAGAAGTGGCTGTGCGATCTTGGAACTCTGAAATTTTAACAATTAAATCTGAAGGGATTTCTGCCAAAACCTGCTGGGTGCTGAGATTTGTTCCTGAGTCTCTTGGATCATGGCTGTTAAGCAGCTTGATCAGGAGCCAGAGAGATCGTTTGTGGGCGGTGACTCGGGATCTCATTGGGGCAGGGAGGAAAGGGCCAGCTCCACCCCCATCCCATGAGGCCCCAAGTGTCTCATCACTGCGGACCCAAAACTGACTGTCCAATGGCCTCTGGAGGATGGCGGCCACCAAGCTGCAAAGAAGGAGCAGGCGAAGGGACAGCACCCTTTACCCCCCTGAGGTGGCCGGCTACAGTAATCTACTGCAGGGTCTGGATGCATTTCTGCCAAAAACTGCTGGGTTTCATGATTTCTTTCTGAGTCTCTGGGATCATGGCCATTAAGCAGCTTGATCAGGAGCCAGAGAGGCCGTTTGTGGGCGGCGACTTGGGGTTTCAATGGGGTGGGGAGGAAAGGGCTGGTTCCACCCCCATCCCATGAGGCCCTGCATGACTCGTCACTGCGGGCCCAAACCTGACTGCCCAGTGGCCTCTGGAGGATGGCAGCCACTGAGCCACCAGGGGGAACAGGCCAAGACACAAAACCTATTCCCACCTGGGGTGGCCCGGCGCTGGTAACCTACTGCAGGGACCCGACGCCTTTCTGCCAAAAGCCGCCGGGTTCTGAGATTTGTTTCTGAGTCTCTTGGATCATGGCCGTTAAGCAGCTTGATCAGGAGCCAGAGAGGCCGTTCATGGGCAGCGACTCGGGGTCTCGTTGGGGCAGGGAGAAAAAGGCTGGCTCCACCCCCATCCTGTGAGGCCCCCACATGTCTCGTCACTGCAGGCCGAAGCCTGACTGTTCAATGGCCTCTGGAAGATGGCGGCCACTGAACCACCAAGGGGGAGCAGGCAGAGGGACAACACCCTTTCCCCCCTGGGGTGGTCCGACGCTGGTAACCTATTGAGGGGACCGGGCGCATCTCTGCCAAAAGCTGCTGGGTTCTGAGATTAGTCTCTGGGATCATGGCTGTTAAGAAATTCAATCAGGAACCAGAGAGGCCTTGCCACCAATTATATAGCTGAGCCAGAGGTGGTTTGTGGGTGTGTCTCCCAAATACCTAACTTTTGGCCGTGTACTTTCTTGGTAAACTTTGCCCCCAAGTTTTTGGGGTCTGGCCAAAGGCACAGCAGCAATTTTGGGGTATCTGGAAGTCTGAAGGTGCTGTCAGGCTGCTGATGCACTCGCCTCACAAGTACAGATTGAGTTGCTGGCGGCACCATATCCCCGAAGACATAATAGCTTTTTAGGGTATTCCTGGATTGGTTAGATCACAAAAGTAGATGCCTATCAATAAGAATTGGAAGTATTTCACACCTCAGATGATGGTCTTCCAAAGGGCAGGCTATACCTCCTGTCTCCCTCTGAATCAGGTAGATTTATTCATTAGCAGGGGCCCAAGGCTCTACCACCTTCCTACCAGGACACTTGCTGCTTTTCTCAGGCTGGGAAGGCTCACAACACTTTCTCTCCTCTGATGGATTCAGCCCAAAATTAGAAATCTATTAAAATACCACTTGGTTGATAAACTTCCTGGTTTTCTGGCATAAAGAAATTATTTCCTGTCATTAAAGGTTTTTGGCATGTGATATTGAAGCCATTCCTGGCAATCTAATATGCAATTTTGCAAGACTCTTTGTCAACTTATGTTCTCAATGTTATTTGATTTTTATATCCTCATTGTCATTTCTTTTTCTTTTTAGCAAATGCTTTCATCACTCTTGATACTCCTAACTCTGTTTACCTTGGGACCCTGTATCCTCAATAAATTAGTTACGTTTGTTAAGGAACGAATGAATTCTATCCAATTGCTAGTGCTGAGACAGCAGTATCAGACTTTACCCCAGAGGAAGAAAGTGCCACCTGAGAATATCTCTAGGATTAGAGATATGCACAAGAAGAAATGGGGAATTAAAGGAGCTAGGAAGGCTAGGAAGGAGTTAAAATCCTTGCTTGCTTGAATTAACTTGCAAAATTGCTTTCTGTAAACAGTTCAGCAGCCTTGCGGTTACAAAATTGGATTGAACCCAGTAGATGTGTAAGGTGTGGGCTAGACATAACTATTTAAAGATAGATAGAGTGTTCTGACCATTCTGGAAACTGAAACTATGTGACCGGGTCAAGATGTTTGGGTCGAGATACTCCAAGAAAAACCGCAAGGAACCCAGCAAAACATGTATTGGCGAAATATGTGCAAAATATGTGGTCTTTGTTCTCAAACTGTATAAAAGATGACCTGTTTCTGAGTTTGAGGCTCCCAGCCTCTGCCCGTTCTTGGGTACGTTGCGGAGCCCCAGCATGCTCGTCTGAATAAAACCCTGCTTGAATTCCTGCAGGAACATTGTCTGTCTGGTCTCTCCGTGCCTCCCAGGGCTAGGGAACTCCTGACCCCAACACATTGATTTACAGTACTGGTAATCAGACCATTCCATGCAGACATCCATTGTTCTAACATATGCCCACTCTTTTTTAACTGAATTGCTGTGAGATACAGTTACAAGCTTTCATGTTTGAGTTACAATCATACAATGATCAGACACCCATCCCTCCACCAGTGCACATTCTCCACCATCAATGTCCCCAGTATTCCCCCCCAATCCCTGCCCTCCCCCCGCCTCTATGGCAGACAATTTCCCCCATACTCTCTCTCTACTTTTGGGCATTATGGTTTGCAATATAGATACTGAGAGGCTATCACATTTGGTCCTTTATCTACTTTTAGCACACATCTTCCATCCTAAAAGATTCCTCCAAACATCATTGACTTAGTGATCCCTTCTCTATCCCAGTTGCCTTCTCCCAAGATCATGAGGAAGGCTTCCAAATATGGCACCTGCTTACTCTATCATTTCTGTACATCTTTCTAGGACTCTATCAAAAAGCTTTTGAAGGAAGAGATGGTTCTTACCATTTGCCCAATACAGTACCTTATCAAAGAACTTCATATATATATATATATATATATATATATATATATATATATATATATTAGGAATCAGCTTAACTAAGGAAGTAAAGGACCTGTGCAAAGAAAACTACAAAATACTACTTCAGGAAATAAAAGAGGATGTGAGGAAATGGAAAAATATCCCCTGTTCATGGATGGGGAGAATTAACATTGTCAAAATGGCAATACTTCCCAAAGCACTGTACAAATTCAATGCGATCCCTATTACAATACCCATGACATACTTCAAAGAAATGGAGCAAACACTCCTGAAACTTATATGGAACAATAAGCCCCCATGAATAGCTAAAGCAACCCTTAGGAAAAAGAAAATGGGAGGAATCAACATCCCTAACTTCAAACTCTACTACAAAGCAGTAATAGTTAAAACAGCAAAGTACTGGAACAAAGGCAGAGCTGTAGACCAATGGAACAGGGTTGAATATACTGACATCTCCCCTCAAGCACATGATCTTCTAATCTTAGATAAGGGGGCAAGAAAAGTGAAGTGGAGCAAGGAAAGCCTCTTTAACAAATTGTGCTGGCAAAACTGGACGGCTACATGCCAAAAAGTGGGCTCAGATCTCTGCTTAATGCCATGTACAAAAGTAAGATCAAAATGGATTAAAGACCTCAACATCAGACCGGAATCCATAAGGTTCATTGAAGACAAAGTTGGCAAAGCCTTCCATGATATTGAAACTAACGGTATCTTCAAAGATGTCACGCCACTGGTCAAGCAAGTGAAAACAGAGATAGACAAATGGGACTATCTTAAACTAAGAAGCTTCTGCACCTCAAAAGAAACAGTGACCAAAATACAAAGACAGTCTACAGAATGGGAAAGGATATTTGCCAAATACACATCCGACAAGGGGTTGATATCAAGGATATACAAAACACTGGTTGAACTCCACAAGAAGAAAATGTCCAACCCCATCAAAAAATGGAGCGATGCACAGAAACTTTCTCAAAGAAGAAATCCGAATGGCTAAAAGGCACATGAGAAAATACTCTACATTATTAATCATCAGGGAGATGCAGATCAAAACGACAATGAGATATCATTTCACACCACAGAGACTGGCCCACATCCACAAGAACAAAAGCAATCGGTGCTGGCGTGGATGTGGCGAGAAAGCGAACCTCCTTCACTGCTGGTGGGAATGCTGACTAGTTCAGCCCTTTTGGAAAACAGTATGGACGATTCTCAAAAATTAGAAATTGAGCTCCCATTTAACCCAGCAATACCACTCCTGGGAATATATCCCAGAGAGGTAAAAAAGAATAGTCGAAGTGACACCTGCATTATTTGTTCATTGATGCACTCTTTACAATAGCCAGAATCTGGGAAAAACCTGAGTGCCCGAGAACAGATGACTGGTTAAAGAAACTTTGGTACATTTACACAACAGAGTACTATGTAGCTGTTAGAAAAAATGAAGTCATGAAATTTACATACAAGTGGTACTACATGGAAAGTATCATGTTAATCGAAATGAGTCATAAAGAGAGGGATAGACATAGAAAGATTGCATTTATCTGGGGAACATAAAGTAACAAAATAGTAGACTAACACCCAAGAATAGCTGAGATTATTCAGGAGGTTTGCTCTATGGCCTGGAGGCCAGCCACACATGCTAGGGGAAAAGGAAACTCAGATAGAGAAGGGAGCACCAAATAAAGGGTGTTTGGAGGATCCTCCCAGGATGGGAGAAGCATGCTGAACGTAGACTATAGATCAAACATGATTGCCACTCAATGCCTCTTTTGCAAACCACAACGCCCAAAAGGAGAGAGAGAACAAAAGGGAATGCCCTGTCACAGAGGCAGAGTGGGGGGAGGATGGGGGGTGGGAGGGATACTGGGATCCGTGGTGGTGGGAAATGGGCACTGGTGGAGAAATGGGTATTTGATCATTGTATAATTGAAACCCAAGCACAAAAATTTGTAAGTCTACAAATGTACTTCATGGTGTTTCACTAATAAAAATTAAAAAAAATAGAAAACGGGAAAAAACAAAGAGCTTGGTAAAGCCTTTGATTTCATATATTTATTGTAAATTATAGACTCATGAGTGAAAGTGCTCCATTTCAATGCAGAAAAGCTGTTTTCTAAAAGTTTGTTCATCACGGTAGTCACTTAGAACCTTTGCTTCTCCCTTACACATTGCACAGCTGGTTACAATGGAACCAATAAGTTTTCTATATTTTAAAATATTTGAAACTCTCTACTGGAAATAATCTGACAAAGACCGCATTACTCACCCTGCAGAATCTGGTGCAGGAGCAGAGCAGCAGCAGAACGACGGGCAGCAGCCTCATGCTGGCGACATCTGGGACCTGCATCTCTGACGAGGACTCTCTCCCTCTCCAGAGAGTCTTCTGGAATTTAATTTTTAACTCCTGAGAAAATATTTAAAAAGAGCAAGGGTTTCCATGGAGCCTTGCACTTTTGAACTCATAGAGAAAGTGGCTCCACTCCAGAGTTTACCGTAACTGAAACCAGCAAGTCCTTCCCAATGACCAATTGGGGCTATGCTTCCTCCGGGAAGACCGATTTCCTCATCTGCTTACAAAACGAGGTCTCCATGTCATTTTCAAGGAAGACAAAACCACACTAGAAGCTTTACTTTAAAAAAAATATTGGGGTGAGGGGGCAGGTGCATTCTTGACAGTTCTCATGGCTTCCTCCTGGCTCTGCATTCAGATCATTCCTGGTGGGCTCGAGGGACAATATGGGAGACAAACCCGGGTCAGCATGTGCGAAGTGAAAGCCTTAACCCCTGAACTCTCTCCCCAGGACTGTATTTTTTTCTTTTTGGGTCACACCCAGTGATGCTCAGGGGATACTACTGGCCCTGCACTCAGGAATTAACTCTTGGCAGTGCTGGGGGGACCATATGGGATTCCAGGGATCAAACCGGGTCAGCCGCATGCAAGGCAAACACTCTACCCGCTGTACTATCACGCCGACCCTGTATTTTTCTTGAATATTGAGGACTAAGTAAGAAGTTGGAGTACACCAGACTGAATACTAAGTCACTGCACAGAGAAACCCTCCACAAAGGAACTGTTCGAGGAGTGTACTGTGGTGCTATGACCAAGCTGCAGTTTCCGTGAGAACTTGAAAGCCAGCATTCTTGGTCCCAGTACCAATGAGAGAGTAGGATTCATCTTGTATTTGCGAAACAACCAGGTGAGAGTGAAAGGCCATCTGCGCGTGTTCCCGCACAGCCGAGGGGAGCAGAGATTGTGGTAGAGGGGTTCCTTTGGCATCAGTACCCAGGAGGGAGGAAGGAGAAGCCGGCCAACCTCGATTCACGCTGGGTGAAGCTCTGGTTGGCTCACAGGGAGTTCCAATGAGTGTGACGGGTCGTGGTGTCCCTGGGCCAGACCTGAGTGGCTGAGCTTTACTGCCTCGCTCCATCACCAGGTGTGGGTGCCCAGGAAAGGCCCGGCTTAGGGGAGTGCGTCTCTAGCATCTGGCCAGTATCTGTGGCACCACTTCCCAGAGACGCAGCACGCCTTCCCTGGAGGGAGGATGCTAGTGCCCCTCGGCCCCTTCACATCTCTCAGAGCTGCCTTCTGGAGAGCCCCTACATACTCTCTCCCTGAGAACGTTTAGGGTGGAGGGTGCAAGAACTGCAACCCGGGCTGCAGCTGTCACTCAGCCTCTGCCTTCCTGCTCTGGCACGCTGGGCACTGCAAGCCCCTGACCCAGCAGAGCTTGAGCCCTCCCTTCCTTCCAAGCTCAGGCACTGCTTCTCTTCATGCTTACAGTTCCTGGCCCCCGGCAGCTGCCTTCCCACAATTCCCTCCAGGCCCAGGCGGTCTCGGTCCTACTTCCTCTGCACCATTGGGTTTAATGACCCTATGGACCAAATGGAAGGTATAAAATCAAGTCCAAGGGTGTCTCCTCTGATGCCTGGTTAACACTTCCTGTGGAGACCAAAGGCTACTAACGCTCCCTGGGGATCTTTGCTTTCTGTTCCCAAGTTTAACCTTGTTGTCTGGTCCCCAAAGGAATGTAGTATGGGGGCCAGATTGGAGGTTGTTGTGGGGACAAGAAGCTAAACACCACCTGCTAGTCACTGAGCGGTGTGGTTGGTGTGGCCTTTCCACAGGATGCTGCCCGAGGGGGCCTTTCCCATAAGCACCTCAGCTCTGCAGTGTCCTGGGCCAGCTCCAGGGTGCTGTGGTATGAGAGGGAACCACTTAATCATGCGATCAGAGGCCTCCTGTCACCCTGTTGGATTAATCCTTTGCGTCATTGTCCTCCTGATGTCCTCCTTGAGGTTCTTCTTTGTTTTGAGGCCAGACTCAGCAGCACTCAGGGAGTCACTTCTGGAGGGGCTCGGGGATATGGTGTGCACAGGATGAGACCCTGCTAGCTGATCGGAAGGCAAATGCCTCACCCATTACTGTTCCAGCCCTCCTCCCACATCCCTAGCCCCCCAACCCCCAGGATTTGGGGTCATACCTAGCAGTGTTCATGAGTCATTCCTGGATCTGTCTCAGAAATGACCCCTGGCAGTTTGGAGGACCACATGTGGTGCAGGGTGTTAGAACCAGGGTCAGCGGTATGCAAGGCAGGTGCCTTGCTGGTGACTCTCAAACTACTCTGGCACCAATTCTTAATGTTTAAGAAGCAAGCCATCGAGGAAAATACCAAGTATCAGCAACCTGTTCAAAGGTAAAAATCAACAGAAAATACCACGTCCAACGGTGAAACAGCTGAGGAGAATGGTTAGTGTCTGAAATAAAACCAAGGATGCTAAATTCACTAATTCACTACACATTCAATACACAGGAAATGATTAACAGATCTAAACATGAAAGACCAACTGATCCCATGCCCCTGAAAAAGAGGTAAAGTGTCTTTGACCCCAGCACCTCTGACAGATAAGATGGAGGCATGTTCAGGGCTGGAGCGATAGCACAGCGGGGAGGGTGTTTGCCTTGCACATGGCCTACCCGGGTTCGAATCCCATCATCCTATATGGTCCCCTGAGCACCGTCAGGAGTAATTCCTGAGTGCAGAGCCAGGAGTAACCCCTGTGCATCGCTGGGTGTGACCCAAAAAAGAAAAAAAAGATGGAGGCATGTTCTCATGGCAGAAAAGCAAAATGTGTGCAAGTGAGCTTGGCAGAGAAACAGGATGTGTGCTCGCCTGGCAGATAGGCAGAATGTGTGCTCTCTTGGCAGAAAAACAAGACACATGACACAGGGGGATCAATATAGAGGGGAGCCCACTGCTTAGCTCTTACAGCAAGCAATCAGCTAACTACTGTCTAACTATTGTTTTGATGTTTGTTTCACAATTAACTGTCTAATCTTTGGTTTTTATTTTTATTATTAGCACTATAGCACTGTAGCACTGTCCTCCCATTGTTCATCGATTTGCTTGAGCGGGCCCAGTAACGTCTTCATTGTGAGACTTGTTGTTACTGTGTTTGGCATATCGAATACGTCACAGGGAGCTTGCCAGGCTTTGCTGTGTGGGTGAGATACTCTCGGTAGCTTGCCAGGCTTTCTGAAAGGGGTGGAGGAATCAAACCTGGATCCACCGGGCCGGTGGCTTGCAAGGCAAACGCCCTACCGCTGTGCTACTTTAAAACCTCAAAACTCCCCTGATGAGTTTTTTTTTTTAATTTTGTTTTTAATGCACAGCATATCCCCTTCGACTGGCCTCGGGCATCCTTTTCTTCCTGCATCTTTTTCTTTCTTCTCAGGAGCATTTTGCCTTTCTGGGCTTGATAAGATGAAGATGCTGATCTTGCTGATCTCACAACCTATGACTCGATAATAAATTAAAGCCCTTTTTTTAAACTCCGTGGTGCCACTGGGCACACGATTATTGGGCATGTGAGATTCTGTGGTCGGGGCGGGAGAGCATGTAGGTGTCATATGTCTCTGTAGTTGCTAGGGGGCCCTGGGTGGCTCGGCCTGAGGGCACCCTAGGCCAGGGCCCTCATATTTCTGGTCTGGGTTGTGGTGTTGGACATGAGCTGTCAACCACAGTTGCCCCTCAGGGCCGCAGGAGACCGTGTCACCAGGAGGGGGCGCTCGAGCCCGCGCTCTGCTTTGGGTCTCCCAGGAAACTCCATTAGTGACAGGTGCTTGGTCTTAGGGGAGTGGACCTGAGGTGAGACTTGCTCCCCCAGGGATGGACTCGCAGCTCAGCCTGGTTCTCAGTGGAGGATTGAAGCTATGGTGCTCCCACTCTATCTACCCCAGGCGTGTCCTCCCAGGCCCTGGGGTACATGGAGGAGCCTCTCTAGGAACAGAATTCCTGCAGGCTGGAGGATGCAGAATGTTGGGACTCAGCCAGCAACCTTCTCCATCGTCTGTCCCAGGTTTCCGTGTCCACTCAAGAGAGCATTTCAGGAACGTTGCAAGTAACTGGGACATTTGGATACTTGTGGGGAAGGCCCCTGGCAGAAGACTAGACCCCAAGAGGGAGTGAGAGAAGAATCGAAGATGAAGATCAAAATCTGCTTTGTGAGGAAGAGGCCAGGTCCACGTGGATAGCAAAGATAGTAAAGACACAGAGGCGATGGGGAAGGGGTTTTCTGTGAACTAGATATCCCCGACTTTAAGCCCCTCTGGGAAGCGCCGTGACACCGGCGGAGGGGTGGTCGCTGGTCCAGGATCAGTGATGAAGCTTTGGGCCACCACTCAGGCCTGGAGACCTGGGGCGGGTTCCCTGGCCCATCTCCTTGCATCCTGACAAACTGGATCTTGGAGCTGATCTATTCCACTATCATTAATGAATTTACCTCTTGGCCTACTAATAGTCCTATTTTGTAATCAATAGATTGCTTTGCTAACTGCTTATCTTTGACTTCTGTAACCCTCTTGCTTGTGTGCTTAGCGTGGGAATGGGAGTTGAACCTGTTCCATAAAAAGCTCAGGAAGACAGTTTGGGGACTGCTCTCCTGTTCAAATTTTGGGCACAGGGAGAATAGTCGCCGATGAGCTAATCAGGAATTCCTGACTTAAACTTTGCCGTGCGCCTCACTCCCTCCGCCCATAATGCTAAGGTTTACGAAAGCCTGAATGAAAGATGACTTTCCTATTTGCTACCAATGAAGCAATTGCAAAGGCTGGCACGCAATGACTGGGAGTTTCTCTCCCCTCTCCCACATCTCACTAAAAATAAACAACAAAAACAATATCATCACAAACTGAAAAAGCAAAAAGGGATTCCATCAACAACAGGGAGGAATTACAGGAGGGGACATAAAACAAACAGGAGGAGGGGCCCACAAACCAGCCCACAGCGGGAGTGGATAAGTAAACACAGGCAGAAAGGTGGGGGTAGTTACCAAGTCTTGCAGCAACAGATTTCAGTGTCTGTTGCAGGAACCCCAGAGGACACTAGACACAGTGTGCCAGCACCAACACTTGACCAGGGAGGGGAACAAATATCTCACACACACACTGCTCCAGCACTGCCGGAATCAAAGCAAGTGCCCACTGATGGATGATGGTAAGGTAGGGACAACCCCCCATCTCACACGCGCGCGCGTCCGCGCACACACACCCCCACACACCCCTGGGATCACGCACGCCCGTACACACGTGTATACACACACACACACACACACACACACACACACACACCGGGATCGCGCGCACACATACACGCCCGGGACCTCTCTCTCCCTCTCTCACACACACACACACACACACACACACACACACTTGCAACAGAGACAAGCGTGTGTTTATTGCCCCTGCAGCATTCAGTGCCGCACTCCGGGACAGAGGCCACACTGCACACTTCCCGCGGGCCCCTCCCTCCCGACAGGGCCGGGACCCGGGGCCGGGGTTGCGCTGAGGAGCCCCAGCCTCCCCCTTCCACTCCGCCTCCGCCTCCGCGCGCCCGATGCGCGTCACTTCCGGTCGCCGCGGGGCCCGCGCGCCCATCCGGCGCCCCATGCGCGTCACTTCCGGGCCGGCGCGGCGCGGGGACGGTGGCCGCGGGGAGCCGGGCGCGGAGGGAACGGCAGGCGCGCACGTGGCGCAGGGCAGCGGCGGGCGGGGAGCCCCGAGTTGAGGGTCCCGCACGGGCGGGGCGGGCATGGCCTTCCGGGGCGGCGGGCGCGGCGGCTTCCACCGCGGCGGCGGCAACAACCACTTCCGAGGCGGCGGCGGCGGCGGCAACTTCCGAGGCGGCGGCGGCTTCCGAGGCGGTGGTGGTGGCCGGGGCGGCTTCGGCAGGGGCGGCGGGCGCGGAGGCTTCGCCAAGGGCCAGGACTTTGGGCCCCCCGAGCACGTTGTCGGTAGGTCCCGCCCCAGGAGAGGCGGGGGGCGCGGGACAGCTGCCAGCCCCCCAGGAGGGGATCCCAGTGGGAACCCCAGGCAGGCCCGGCAGGAGGGACCCCAGGGGGGACCCAGGCAGCGCTGGCAGGGGGGACCCGGCAGGTCTAGCAAGAGCGATCCCAGGCAGGGCCAGCAGGACCACCCCCTTGCCCCCCAGCACCCCTCTCCAGGACGGACCCCAGACAGGGCCAGCAAGACCACCTCCTGCTATGATTCCCCCAAACCAACCAACCAGAGTCACATTTTCTCAGTCCCTCACTTGTCCCCGTTTTCTAGAAAACGGTGAGTCAGTTTCCATGCTTGCTGCCCAAGGGATCAGTCAGTCGTACTCAGCGAACTCCTCCGACTCCAGAGACCCTGCGTGCAGGGACCACTCGGGAGGGAAGTAGGGGAGGCCCAGAAGGACGAGACCTCACTGGAGCAGCAGTGGAATAGTGCACGGGGAGGTGGGCGGGGCAGTGGCCGCAGGGTCAGCGGGTCAGAGAGGAGAGGTTTGCTTGGGCAGAAGCAAGGGAGTGAGTGGCATTGGGGTGCTGGGAATGCAGGGGTTCCAGGTCTGAGCTCGGAGTCGGGAGGGAGAGTCAGCATGCAGGGGTGGGATCTCTTTTAGTTTGGGGAAACGGGAACAGTGTTGAGGCTCCAGACTTCTTGCCCAGGACAGAGGGATCACGGATGAAGACGGGAGGAAAAGGGGCTGGGGGGGTTGGAAAGTGGGACGAACAAGCACTGATTTGCAGAAGTGGTATTGGGAGAGAAGGAAGAAAAGCCAACTGGAGGAGTCAGGGTGTGAGGAGAGGAAATGCAGTGACGCAGGTGAACACATAACACGCTTAACCCTTCAAATGTTCCTTACGAGGTTGTCAGTACCCCAGTAGAAAGTGGCAGCGCACAGCTGGTGTGAGCTACTCTCTGTCTCGACTTCACATGTTCTTGCCGCCTTGCAGTATTGGGGGAGTTCCTGCATCCCTGTGAAGACGACATCGTGTGTAAGTGTACCACGGAAGAAAACAAGGTGCCTTACTTCAACGCTCCGGTGTACTTGGAAAACAAGGAACAAATTGGCAAAGTGGATGAGATATTCGGACAGCTCAGAGACTTTGTATCCTTTGTGATGATGCCGCCACCTAGTGACGGCCTTCAGGGTTACCATCTCATGACGTGACACTCGCTGCTTCTGTAAATTAGACGGATCCCAAGATTGGATGGTGAAGGAGAATTAAGAGGAGAATTAATTTTACTTTCATGTTTGGAAAAGATAGGGCCTAAAGAGCTGGCTTCTCTTCTGTAAGACTTTAGAAATAAAGGGCAGCTGTTCGGCACTTTGCATGGATGAGGGTGTTGGTTGCTCCAAACACAGGAGCATAGAGCCCTTGTGTCCTGTCACGCTGGCCCTTGGGGCTCAAGAGGGGCAGCCCAGCCCTGCTGCAAACACAAGATCAGAGAGCATTGGCCTGTGGGGCTCAGCGAGGGGCCAGGCCTTGCAGACTTGACGCCATGTTCAGCTGCAGCAACCACCTTAAAGACAATCAGAAATTTTGATTTCTTCTAAAATTTATTTAGATCTTGTTTTTGTTTTAGAATTATTGTATGTGCCAGGAATTGGATTATGTGTGTGCAAAGCACGCAGTCTCAGCTTCCTGCCTCACCTTTTTTTTGGTGTTGGGGGGGCGAGGGGCTCATACCAGGCAGTGCTCAGAGCTTGCTCCTGGCCTGACTGTTCAGGACATGGATCCAGCCCAGCAGGTCAGTGTAAGACGAGGGCCCTACCTGCACTGTTAGCCCTTTGGTTTATCCCTATATGCATAATCTTGTTTTTAAAACAGTATGAATTTAGAGGGCTGGAGCGATAGCACAGCGAGTAGGGCGTTTGCCTTGCAAGCGCCCATGACCAACCCGAGTTCGATTCCTCTGCCCCTCTCGGAGAGCCCGGCAAGCTACCAAGAGTATCTCGCCCGCTCGGCAAAGCCTGGCAAGCTACCCTGATGTATTCGATATGCCAAACACAGTAACAACTATCAGTAACAATTGGAGACATTACTGGGCCCACTCGAACAAATCGATGAACAACGGGAGGACAGTGACGGATGAATTTAGAAGGTTTGATGCTTCCTTTGATCTTGAGTGCTTGGTCCTTAATAAAACTAACAGTATTTTTCAGTCAAATTGTCAGAAAATATGAAGGCATCTTCATTTAAAAAACTACAGAAGGTGAGTTAAGCTTATGATCCTCGGGACCTGGGTGAGGAAGTGACGGGTTTACCTCAGCCCAATCCTGCGAGGGCACTGAGATGAACTTGGGCATCAGAGTTTTCCTCACTTCCGTTCTGTAACTGCTAGAATGTTCTCAGCGTCTATAAAACTCTTAAGGCAGCAGGGCTAAACAGATTCTAAGTCGTTATATTATAAAGCTTCTGTTATTTGGGAGAAGGCAGATGTAACAGGGTTTTGTAAATACTCAGTAACTAGTATGTGAGAAATGCAGGTTGTCCTGAGAGTGAGGATGAGGACCAGCCTGCAGGGAGTCGGCAGCTTAGGGAATCTGGGGGGGTCTCAGTCCCTGAAATGCGCAGTATCCAAGAGCGAAATGGGGAAGACGATCAGCTCAGGGTGGGTCTGCTGTGATTTGGGGGTTTGGGGACTCTTTGCTGGGTGCTGAGGAGGCCCGTGCTGTGGCCAGGTCAGACCTGGCTCCTGCATGCAGAGCCGCCCTTCTGCCCTCTCAGACTCCTACCCAGGAATGCAGTTCCTCGTATTCTGAGCACTGTGATCCTCAGGAACAGTGACTAATGGCAGGAGAAGGAGTCCAGGTTGTCGTTGGTGACCTGGGTGAGGTAAATAGAGGAAGGTGCTGGACTGAGACCGGGCTTAGCGCTATCAGAAATTTTTTTCCCAGAGAGTGCTCACTGAGCACTGTGCCTCAGTGGGCCTGCACTAGTGACATGGGATTAGGCAGTCTATGAGCAGAGCCAGCCTGGAATAGATGCTGATGCCCCTGGGAGCATCGCGGCACCTGGGCCTGGCCTTCCGTCTGGGACCTGAGGAGGAGCCCGCTGTCACAGTCGCTCCCACAGAAGGCCTGTCCTCAGTCAGCTGTGAGACCTAGGCCTTTGCTGAGGAGCTGAAGCATCGGCTTCATACACTAGCCCTGCTACTCCCAGCATCCCTCGGGATGATATGAACATCCATCGATATGAACTGAACGGGTCTGGCAGGTGGGTGGGCGCTGTGGCCCCTGACACTCCGTCACCTTCCAGTCACACGGACCGTCTCTGTTCCCCGCTAGTTCTACATAGACCCCTACAAGCTGCTGCCCTTGCAGAGGTTCCTGCCCCGGCCTCCAGGGGAGAAGGGGCCTCCCCGAGGGGGTGGCAGAGGAGGAGCTCGAGGCGGCGGTGGAGGCAGAGGCGGCAGAGGTGGGCGAGGAGGAGGTAAGCAACTCCTGGGCCGTTCTGTGAACTATTGTTATTCTCAGTTTATTTATTGGAGAGTTCGATCTGATCCTCATTCCCAGTCTATCCAGCCTGCTTTCTGGAACTTTATACCACCCTTTGGGAGGAATATTTTCTCCGTATAATCTGTTACCCTCTACAAAGCCAGCTTCCAAAATAAGCAAGAAAACATGGAAACGAGGAAGCCAGGAACCCTCTGGATGAGAGAAACAAAAAGTTGCAAGGCTCTCAGCATGTGAGCATACTGATCTCTTCGCAGCTGAGATTAAGAACGCTCCCAGCTAAAGGGTTGGCAATGGGGAAAGGGATTTTTTGGAATACTTGGACTTTAAAAAGTAGGCTACTGTAAAGACATCTCTGAAAGTCACAAATTAATATCCCTTCTCATTATCCCCTGTGTTTGCCTTTTGTATATGAGAACTTTACCATATGAGTGAGCGTGTGTACGTGTCTATGTGTTTGTGTGTGTGTGACCCTGTCTACCCTGCAGTGGTGAGGGACCAGGTTATGGGGGTTCTTTACAGGGGATTATGCCGGTGTCCCCAACCATCCCTTTCTTCTCAGGTGGTTTCCGAGGAGGCCGAGGAGGAGGAGGCTTCAGAGGAGGACGGGGGGGTGGTGGTTTTAGAGGTGAGTGGAGAAAATTCTCTTCAGTCGATTCACGTATAGAATTTGTACGAGGTCACATTTTGTGTTGGCATGTTTTGAGTCACCGAGGGAACGTCTCTGGATTGGCCCTGGGGCACCCATTCGGCCCTCAAGTTATTCCCTGGCTCTGCGCCTGGGAGCATGGGGACCGTATTGGGTGCTGGGTTCATGTCCACATCCTTGCCCGTTGCACTGTTGGCGCCTGCCCCTTCTTTTGGAACTGTTTGCTGGATCTTATGATGTCTGCTGCTGTAGCCTGACTGTTTCATAACTTTCTTCCTTTTCCCTTGGAATTTCTTTACTTAATTCTCACTTATTTTGCTGTGCTGTTAGGCAGAACATGAAAAGGCTTAATAAGAATGACAAAATGTGGTCGAGTCACTAGACATTATGAGAATGCGGATGTTGAACTGAGCAATAACTGAATTATATTTTTCTGTGTTTCTGTTTCTCTTAATTAGGGAGAGGACATTAGCGTCTTCCCAGCCAGCACAGTCTTCTGTGGGTTGGAAGCTTGTTTCCTGGTCAAGTCTTGAAGGGTCATTTATGACACGAGTGAAATGGCAGCTGCAAGCAGAGACAAGCGTCAGGCGATGTCAGACCTCAAAGGCAAATATGAGCTTTGCAGGATGCGAGGCCTGGACACTGGGTGTTTATAAGTGGACACTTCATTTGAAGCATAGTTGAATTTTTTTAATAAAATGTTTTATTCCTTTGTTTAGTGCTGTGTTTATCAAGTGAGATTAAGAAGGCTAACATCTAATGGACATTCAATAGGGAAAGCGATCTATGTGATCTTTTTGTATATTCAGGCTTTAGAAGGTGGGCTTCTGTGAAAGCACCTCTCTAAGTCACAAATTAATATCCCCTTTCACTATCCCCTGTGTTTGCTTTTTTGTTTTGTTTGCTTTTTGGGCCACACCCAGCAATGCTCAGGGGTTACTCCTGGCTCTGCACTCAAGAATGACTCCTGGCAGTGCTTGGGGGACCATATGGGATGCCAGGGATCGAACCTGGGTCGGCTGCGTGCAAGGCAAACGCCCTACTGGCTGTGCTATCACTCCAGCCCCTGCCTTTTGTATGTGAGACCATAACCACCCTTTATTTTATTTACCTTTCTGTGTGTGCCTTCAAAAATCAGTTAACAAAGTAGTTTCTTCGATTGCAGTTAATGAATTAGAAACGTTTAGTATGTGGGGCCAGTGTTATCACTGGCCCTACAGCGTGTTTGCCTTGCACGCAACTCATGTGGGTTTGATCTCTGGCACCCTATTTGGTCTCTTAAGCTCCGTTGGGAGTGATCCCTGAGGACAGCTGACTGACAAACCCCCCCCCCCCCAAAAAAAAAGAGAAAAGTTTATTATTACGAATCTAAGTTCAAGTGAGAACTAAAGTCTGAGAAATTTCTGAGGATACGTTTGATGCTTCTCATTCAATATAGATTGAATGGGTTCAACATAGTAATGAGTTTCTGTTTTACCTTTAAAAAAATTACATTTGGGGGCTGCACAAGGTGGTGCCTCAGGGCTTACCCGGCTCTGCACTCAGGAATCACTGCTGGTGGATTTGTGGGGGACCAGGTGAGTCTTGAGGGTCAAGCCGGGGTCTCACGTGAGCCAAGGACCCTGCCTGCTATTTTCTTTCTGGGTCACTATTTCCACCCATAACTTTGTCTTATATTCCTGATAGTAACTGGGTTATTTAGTTTAAATCATGTTCACATCTAGAGAGTTCAGCTTGACTGAATCTGGTGCTATGGTAAATGTCATTAAAATATTTCACGAACATTTTAATGATCACATTTTCAATCTTTGAGCTGTTACTAACATCAGAACACTGAAATTTATTTTCCCAGTGTAAATACTAAGATGTAACTTTACAGTGATAAGAATTTGAGTACTGTTACTATAAAATCTGGGGCAGATCAACCCATTTGGTTCACTTCCATTTATGCAGCTGAGAACTGAGGCAAGGGGGTTAGTCTTCCCTTCGCATTCCCTGCTAGGATGCTAGATTGCAGCCCACTCACTAACGAGCATCTTGGGCTAAAAAAAGATGGTCTGAGAATATTATAATTGTCCTCTACTTAAGGTGCTTATAACGAAGTATAGCCACTTTGATAAAGTTGATTGTTGTTTGTTCCTGTCACAGTGAAAGGCTGAGGGCCGTGGCCCGCTGCGGAGCACCAGGCAGGAGCAAGTCAAACTTCAGGGTGGGCCTTAGGAGGGGAACAAGTGGCTGAGTGACTACATGGAGCAATTGATCAATAAGCTTGTTTAGATGCAGAGCGGAGGTCCAGGGATGGGCTCCGTCTGGGAGAGCACACAGCTTGTGTTTGTGAGGTCATGGGATCTATTTCTGGCACCCCATACTACCAAGTGTGACCCCTAACCCTGCTGTTGTGAGTGGTGCAGTGTGCCTGAGTATGTGACCTGGGGGGCAGTGCTGTGGCAAAGCCACAGTGAGGAACAAAAAGGAAACCGACTTTGATGTTCTTGGAGTGGGGAGATGGCTTGAGGGTAGAGCATATACACAACCCTGAGTTGAAATCCCAGGTTCATACGGACCCCCAAAAGCACCGTCAGGCAGATCCCTGCTAGCTCCAGGGCTGCCCCAGCTGGACCCAAAGGGGTCCTGGGCTGCCTGGACTGGGGAAGCTCAAACCCTGGTAGGAATATGTTTGTAGAAGCAAAGAAACAGGTGGGCGCATCAGGTGAGGGAGAGGAAGGCTGAAGAGAGATCACCCACCTCTAATGGTTGCAATGGTTTAAGCAAAAGTACAAAGAGCTGGAAAGGGCCAACAGAAATCCCAAGTGAGCAATTTCAGAGCAGGAGGAGGGACTCTATTCCAGAGCTGAATCCAGCAGAAATCAGGTTCCTCAGCTCTGCACTAATTTTCTGAATTATATGGAGGGGGTGGTATGCATGTGGTGGTACCCTCCCTAAATAACAGGCCACTGTGTGCACCGCATGCTCAGTGGGTCAGCCTAGTTGGCTAAGCAGCTTTCCCCCGTGGTCTGGCCATTCAAATCCTTCCCTCCCTCAGACCAATTAGACATGCAACAGGAGGGCCACTGTGAAAAGGCCCTTCTTTCATTTCTCCGGATGGAAATGATTGTTTAAATGATTGCTTCTGGAAATTGCTCCCTGGCACCTCTTAGAACTTGGCTTGATTACTGAAGGCTTACAGTGAAGACGGTCTTGACCCCTTCCCTTCCAAAATGCTAGAGAATCATTCAGACAACACCTCAGGCCCCACGCCTGAGGACAGCTCGGCCTTCTCGCAGACGGAACACAGGCTCGTGGCCGCTTACTTGATCGTGGCAGGTATGGGCACCTCATTCCTCTGTTGGCACTTGGCTGGCTTTGGACAGATGCAGAAAAGCAGCTGTTCTCGCGCATGGTGGGAGAGATGTCTAGATGCCACATCACCTAGCTCTGGTGGGTCCCCGCGCCAACAGCCGCCCTTTGAGCTGACATGCTTGTGTGAAGGTGATGCTCCGGCAGGCTGTGAGGTATCAGATACAGATGTAGGCGATCAGTGCTTTGTTTCCTACAGTTACGCAGCATGTATTGTGTTTTATTGTGACACCAATGTCACAGGCTTTTTGTTTTGAGGCCACACCCAGTGATGCTCAGGAATTATTCCTGGAAGTGTTATGCGGACCATATGGGATGCCAGGGATCGAAACCGAATGGGCTGCATGCAAGCCAAGTGCCCTGCCTGCCATAGTATCACTCCAGCCCCCGTTGCAGGTTATTATTTTTTTGTTATCTTAGTAACAGCGGTGGAGTGGGGTTGAGAAGTTTCCTAAATGGCATAAAAGTCAGCCATATATTTGGCTAGTATGTTGTCAAGGTGCTTTCTTGCAAGTGGCCAACACAGGTTCGATCTCCAGCACCCTAAAGGATCCCTCAAACCCTGCAAGGAATAATCCCTGAGTGCAGAGCCAGGAGTAAGACCTGAGCATAGACAGGCATGGTCCACCTCCAAAGAAAAAAAAAATCAGATAAAAATTTTAAAAGACGACAAGCTATTTTTAAAAATCTGGTTACAAAAGGAGCAGGCATAAAAAGTGTTTCCACTTTTCTCTATCATGAACATATGTAGCAGTAGTAATATCCTAGTATCACTACTATTGCTATTTAAAACACATCAAAATCAAAACAGTGCAATGAGTCAATGCATTTTCATTAGGACTTTTACCAATAATCAATTGTAGGATAATATCGGTTTGTCCTTTCTCCCTTGCTACAGGGAACTTAGGTTTATTGGGTTACACCCATCACAGTGCTCCCGAGACAGTCCCATTCCTTTGTTTATCTGTAACCTCTTCTCTGTGCTCTCTTCCCCAACCAGTCTATCACCTTTTTCCCTAATCAGACTCTGTTAACTTATAAGGTCAGATTCTTCTGAGGACACTTGACTTGTGTTCATGAGTGAAATATTGCCTTTCTCCTCTCCTTATGTCTTTTGCATAGCTTACTTTAAAAAAAAAATGTTCTTTTTGTATAGACACAAGAAGACAGTTATTATTATGCTTTTGTAACTTGGGAGTTAATTGACTCCAAATAATATTCACTCCCAGGCATCTGCTTTCTCGACTTAAGCCTCAGTTGCCTTTAGTTCCTAGCACCCCAAAAGCAGGGTCCTTATGAGGGACTGAATGGACCAGGGCAAAGCTGTGAGCTACCCTGGCATCAAAATGAACCAAGCCAAAGCACCACAATACTTAACTGTAAGTTAAGAGCATGATCATGGACAAATTCTGTCATGATCCAAAAAGTAAAACAATGAGATTAGGTCCCTGCTAGGGTTAGGAAAGACTAATCTGGCCTGAGCACTATATTCTGAGATCTATAGCGAAATAGCCCCAGGAGAGCAATACTATAAGCTTAATGTATCTCTTACTGTGTCCATACAAAATGATTATTATTATGAATGTATGTTTGTCGGACTAAGGATAGAAGAAACACACCTATAGTTGGAATTTCAGTCTTGGGAGGGTCATCTTTCTGAATGAGAATCTGCCCTAGAAGAAGCTTCCCCTGAGGGAAGGACTTTACCTCAGTTGATTGTATGACCACACGTACATGTAATTGTTACCCCAACCCCTCTTGCTTTGGGAGATACTAAGGCTGTAAGAGTTGGCTGGGGGAACCAGAAGGAGAATGAAGTAGAAGGGGAGGCAGAGGCAGGAAGAAGTATGAAGGAGCAGGAGGAGGATGAGGGGGTTTGGGGAGGCACGCACAGAAGGAGAATGAGAGGAGAATGGAGATGGGAATGGCATAAACTGCAACTGCACCCAACCTGGCCCTTGTTCCCTCTTTTGTCCACCCATCGCCATTGGCCTCCCCGGGGTGGGGGAAGCGGTGCGAGATCACCGAATGCAAGTGATGGGGGAGAGAGCCGCCAAGGCCTTTCGCAATTTACTTTTCGAATGCACAATCAATGACACTACCTTTGAAAGTTCTCCTTTAGTATTTCATTTTAGATTTCTCATTTAGAACTTCTCTTAGAGTTTTACTCTGACAAACTTAGCAAATGAAGTAACCCCCTTCCTGCAGCGGTGGGGGGATGCAATCAGGGGCTGCTGAATCAAGGCCCTGACATACACCCACTATGGAGGGACAGGAACAAAGGGCGTGAGATGGGGGAGTGCCGGGGCTGGCTGGGGAGCAGCGAGTCAGGTGGGAAGGAGCCCTGGGGGATGGGAAGGTGCAGTTAGATCCCAGGGCTAGATGCGAGCTAGTGGATGCAGTGAGTTCATCGAGGATGACTTCCATTTTTTTTGGGGGGGGGGGGGGTGGGCGTCGCGCTGTCACAGACTGGCCAGGTGGTGAACTCAGTAAGCCAGGGAGGAGCACAGCTGGGTGTCCGGCCCAAGAAGTCCAGCAGTCCACTGGTGAACTGTCCAGTGAACGCCGGGACATGTGCGCTTGAGTTGTACAAACTCCATCTGGACAGAATCAGCCTCTACCCTCAGACAGGTGTGAAATCTCTGGGTGGACGTGCTGGGTGTTAAAGGAGACCGAGGATCAGAACGCCAAGCACCACACACACTTAATGCAAGTGAGAAGAAGGCAAGGAAGCATGGCCAAAACCAGGGGGAGGAAGGAACTGAGCCCTCATGACCCCATGATCTGTGGTCCGCAGCTGGGGGAGGAAAGCTTGCTGTTGAGCAGAGCAGAGGGAAGCAGGCATCTGCCCACGCCCATTTCCTGTGCCCTGGATGCGTGAGGTTAGGTGGCAATTTACTGCACTGTCTTTATCTGACTGGTTTGGTTTGGTTTGGTTTGGGGCCACATTTGGTGATGCTCAGGCCTTACTCCTGGCTCTGCACTCAGGATTCACTCCTGGCGGTGCTTAAGGCGCCACATGGGATGCTGAGAATTGAACACAGGTAGGCTGCATATAAGGCAAGCACCTTATTTGCTATACTTTGGTCCTTTATCTGACATCTGTAATCCTCAAACTTGCAGCTAGCCCAGAAAGATTCAATTCATTAAGCTCTTCAGAGTGTTTCTCATCTGCATGCTACAATACAGATGATTAAAAGGACAGTATGTCATTAGATCTGCTATCCTTGTATTATTCCTACACTTACACTTTATAGGAATAATAGATATTAATAACCAGTTTAATTGTGGTTCAGTCATTGATTTATATCTGCTCAAAGGGCAGAAATCAGTAGGGCCCTTAAATCTACACAGGAGGAATAGAAATACTTAAAAAATAAAGCATCACCCAATATTACGCGTAACATGAAGAAGTGCCTTGGGAACTTAGGAAGACTGTATGCTATGGGTAGGAGAAGGATTTGGGGGAAGAACTAGGCAGGAGAACACCTGGATAGGGGGAATAGGGGGATGGAGTGTTTTAAATGGGTGAAATATGAGTCTAAATGTGAAGAGCCCTTGGGGTTGGAGCAACAATACAGTTGGGAGTGTCCTTGCCTTGCACACAGCCAGCACAGTTTCCATCCTCAGCATCCCATATGATATCCAGAGCATTGCCAGGAGTAATTCTTTAGCGCAGAGCCAGTAATTCCTGAGCATCGCCAGATGTGCCTTGTCCTTCCTCCAAATAAAAAAATACGCAGAGTCCTGATATATTTGATAAGTAACTAGAAGATGGGTCATTCTTGACAAGTATGTCCATTTGCTAAGAGATATGCAAGCACTGAGAAGAGAGTAACAGTTGGGACATGCGGGTGTTTGCCCGAGACAGTGAGGAGTACTGGGAATTGGAAGGGAAGGAGACAGCGGTTAATTTTGGTTATTCTGTCAGCAGTATGAGGAGAAGAGCCTAGGACTCTGGGAGATTAGTGTGACAGGATGGTGTGACGGAAGTTTTGACCCAAGTGTCAAGATAGCAGAGAAGTTCTTCCTTAGTGGGTACTTCTGTGCACTGGTTCTTGGAAACCCTTCCCATCTCTGACAGCTGTGGGGGCTGCCCACCAGTGGTTTTCTTTACAGGGATGAGTATGGGTCTCTTTCTCTTCACGGGGATGAGCATGGGTCTCTTCTCTTCATGGGGATGAACATGAGTCTTTTTACCTTTGGTAAGGCTCCAGCTTCTCTCACCTAAAAGCTACTCACCCTCCACATTTGGGAAACTTCTGCATCTCTTATAGCATGTAGTAGATGGCAGTCAGATTAAAATTCACAGCCAGTTCGTTCAACATGTTTCATGGCAAACAAACCCAAAGACATTCTTTTTGTTGTTGTTAAGCTCTTGTGCATTAAGTTGTGTGTGTGTGTGTGTATGTGTGTGTCTGTTCTCAGGTGTGATAAGTATCCTGAGCAACATAGTGGTCCTGGGCATCTTCATTAAGTACAAGGAGCTTCAGACGCGCACAAACGCCATCATCATTAACCTGGCCTTCACTGACATTGGGGTCAGCAGCATCGGCTACCCCATGTCTGCTGCCTCTGATCTGCATGGGAGCTGGAGATTTGGATATGCCGGATGTCAGGTAGAGAAGATGAAATACACAATAAAGCTGATGGTGGAGATGTAAATTTTAATGTCTAAAAAATAACCTCCAGGGCTTCAGTGTAATAAGATGAGGTATGTGGTAGACAAGGTGTTGTTATTGAACATAGCGCTAGGAGTGACTGTATATACCCTTCATTCAGAGACCTGATATCGGACCAGAGGGGTAGTGGCGAGGATGAGTCTGCCTTCACGCAGCCCACGCCGGTTATATCCCTAGAACCACATGAAGTCCCCCTGGCCTTGCTAGGTGTCACCCTGAGTAGAGCTAGGAGGAAGACCTGAGCACCTTTCCACTTTGCTTTGTGATTTTTTTGTGACCTGGATAAGACCTAGGTCTCCTCCATAAAAGGCAAGCTCTTCCCACTAAACCATACCCCAAGCCCTTCTTTTTCATATGGGGGTAGGAGGAAGGCGCTTGGGTCACACTCAGCAGAACTCAAGTCCACTCCTGACTCTGTGCTCGGGAGTCTCTCCCGGCAGTGCTCGGGGGACCATTTGTGGTCCCAGGGATCCAACTGTGCTCAACCTCATGCAAGGCAAGTGCCTTAAAACCTTGCACTCTGTCTCCTGCTCTAGTCCTCACAAGTATATGTGTATATATACATATATGTCACTGTCACTGTCCTCCCGTTGTTCATCAATTTGCTCGAGTGGGCCCAGTAACATGTCCATTGGAGACTTTGTTGTTACTGTGTTTGGCATATCGAATACATCACGGGGAGCTTGCCAGGCACTCCGAGAGGGGCGGATAAACATTATATATATTCATAGGGGCCGTCTCTGAACAAACAAGGTACCAGGGCTCAAACTTAGAGCTGAGCACAAGCAAAGCACATGCTCCACTTTAGCTGCAGCCCTGGCCTAAGCTACATTCATTTTAACTGCCACGTAACATTCCATTTTACTATCATATCCCTACATAGGTATTAACTGTTGAGTATTTGTTTGTAATGATCATTGGTCACAAGTAGCCCAATAACAAGTAACAAATGTACTCACACATGATACACATGTTCTCATACATGATACTTTTTTTAATGTATGAGTGAGACATTAGGCCACAAATCATAGAAATATATATATATGTGTACATATATATGTATGTATGTATACACACACACACACACACACACACACACCTCTCAGAGAGCCCGGCAAGCTACCAAGAGTATCCTGCCTGCACAGGCAGAGCCTGGCAAGCTCCAGGCAAGTATTCAATATGCCAAAAACAGTAACAATAGCAGGTCTCATTCCCCTGACTCTGAAAGAGCCTCCAATCATTGGGAAAGATGTGTAAGGAGAGGTTGCTAAAATCTCAGGACTGGGAGGAATAGAGATGTTACTGCCACCCGCTCAAGTAAATCGACGAACAATGGGATGACAGTGATATGGTGAATGTAGGAGTACTGCTATGTATTCAGCCACTGATTAAGTTGACTGAAGCAGGCAATGAACTCCACATTACTTATTTTTTAAAAAAAATTTTTAATTGAATATTTGTGAGATAGACCATTACAAAGCTGTTCATGATTGGATTTCAGTCATACAGTAATCCAGCACCCATCCCTCCATCATGTACATTTCCCACCACCAATGTCCCCTGTTTCCCCACCACCATCCCCCAATACCCCACCCCTCACCCCCAGCCTCTCTCTATGGGAGGCACTTTCCTTCTTGCTCTTTCTCTTTGTTTCCTTTCATGCATTATGGTTTGCAACACAGGTAATAAGAGGTCATCGTGTTTGTTCAGGGCATTCAGTATTTTTATCGGGACAGTAAGGCTGGAATAGTTTTTTAACTGGGTGGCAGCTTTGGGCTGTGGGTATGACTGCCGAGGCTTCCTGAAGTACAGGGAGGTGGGGCAGGTAGCCCTGCCTGACCCGAGAAAACCTGGAGATTTCAGTCATAAAACCTGCAGACCTGAATTTTCAGCAGATTATGGCTCGATGAGTCTGTCCTGAGATGGTGGAGTCAGGCTGGGGGTATGACAGCAATTTTGGGTTGACACAGAATACTCCTGTGAATAACTGCAGACAGCACCAGCTAACTGAAGAGGCAACTGCTCCTTTTCCTTCTGTTTTTGTTTTTGGGTCACACCTGGCCGTGCTCAGGTTTTACTTCTGACTGTGCACTCAGGAATTATTCCTGGAGTGACTCAGGGTACTATATGGGGTGCCAGGGACTGAACCTGGGTTTGCCATGTGCAAGGCAAGCACCCTACCCACTGAATTCTCTCTCCAGCCTCGTGCCTTGAGTTCTTGAGGTTTTTTTTTGGTTTTATTTATTTATTTATTTATTTATTTATTTTTGAGTCTAACACTTTTATATATCTTTAAAACTACAATGAGACAAACATGTTTATAGTGCATTTTTATTTTTTTTCCTTTTTTTTTATTTATTTATTGAATCACTGTGGGAAAGGTTACAAAGCTTTCAGGTTTATGGCTCAGTAATGCAAATATCAAACACATTTCCCTTTACCAATACTTATTTTTTACCATGAAGAACCCCAATAAAACCCCACCCCCCGCCCCTCCCCGTCCCTGTGAGGCAGATGAATTCTAGTTAACACTCTATCTGCTTTGATTAGATTCATTGTTTCAATAAAAGATTCACCACTATTATTTAGAGTTTACCCCCCCCCCCCAAATCAGACATGCTGAAAAAGCATTGTGAAGTGATTTGCTTTCTACAGCTGGGTTAAAGAATTAAATGTTGGTTTTGGATTTCTGCTATTTTACCTATTGACCCTGGAAGTATTTCTACTGAAAGTCAGATAGTTAAGAAACTGGTTTCTGTGTTCTGGAGTCGTGGCCGTGCTGGAGAGTCGCTCGCGGGGGGCAACCGGTGGCCTCGGTAGGGCGTGAAGGGCGGAGCGAAACGCCCCCCTTCCCATGAGGTTTTAGTCGCCCCCACACTCCCGGCTCATACCTGCTGTCCACAAGGCTCCCATGTGGCCGCCATCTTTCTTTCCAGAGAGGAGAGGGCGAATGGGGCAACACCCTTTCCCCTCCGGCAGACTTGATGGGCTGGATCAACGCATAGTCCGTTCACTTTTCTGCTCCAAGCTGCTGGGTTCTGCATTAAGTCCTTGTGCTTCTGGGGCTGTGGCCGTGCTGGAGAGCCGCTCGCGGGGGGCGACTTGTGACCTCGGTAGGGCGTGAAGGACGGACCGGAACGCCCCCCTTCCCATGAGGTTTTAGTCACCCCCACTCCCCCGGCTCATACCTGCTGTCCACAGGCTCCCATGTGGCCGCCATCTTTCTTTCCAGAGAGGAGAGGGCGAATGGGGCAACACCCTTTCCCCTCCGGCAGACTTGATGGCCTGGGTCAACGCATAGTCCGTTCACTTTTCTGCTCCAAGCTGCTGGGTTCTGCATTAAGTCCTTGGGCTTCTGGGGCCGTGGCTGTGCTGGAGAGCCGCTCATGGGGGGTGACTGGTGACCTCGGTAGGGCGTGAAGGACGGACCGGAACGCTCCCCTTCCCATGAGGTTTTAGTCGCCCCCACACCCCCGGCTCATACCTGCTGTCCACAAGGCTCCCATGTGGCCGCCATCTTTCTTTCCAGAGGGAGGAGGGCGGAAGGGAGCAACACCCTTTCCCCTCTGGGCAGACTTGATGGCCTGGATTAATGCATAGTCCTTTCACTTTTCTGCTCCAAGCTGCTGGGTTCTGCATTAAGTCCTTGTGCTTCTGGGGCTGTGGCCGTGCTGGAGAGCCGCTCGTGGGGGGCAGCTGGTGACCTCGGTAGGGCGTGAAGGACGGACCGGAACGCCCCCCTTCCCATGAGGTTTTAGTCGCCCCCACACCCCCGGCTCATACCTGCTGTCCACAAGGCTCCCATGCGGCCGCCATCCTTCTTTCCAGAGAAGAGAGGGCGAATGGGGCAACACCCTTTCCCCTCCGGCAGACTTGATGGCCTGGATTAATGCATAGTCCTTTCACTTTTCTGCTCTAAGCTGCTGGGTTCTGCATTAAGTCCTTGTGTTTCTGGGGCTGTGGCCGTGCTCCAAACTTAACTCTGACTTTCAGGGAGAAAGATTGGGTGGTTTACTTCTCATTGATCACTTTGTATATAGAGAGATGTCGCGCAGCCGCGTAAGCGGCCGCGCGGTTTTGAGAAAAAGTCCTCGTTCCCGCATACTCGAGCTTTGTTTGTAGAGGCTTCTGGTCACCGGGGTTCCATCTGGGGGAGGTGGGATGCGGCACCTACTCCATCTGGAACTTGCGGGTGATCTCGGCTCTTTTTGGAACCTGTTTTTTCTTTTTTTTTTCCCTCCGGGATCCCGCACCCTCCATGTGTTTTTTCTCTTATGCTGAACGCTTCAAAGATGGCGCTGGGGGGCGGACTGTGGGCGTGACTTCCGGAATCAGAGGTTACCTGGGAGGTGTAGTCCGGCAGATTTGAGAAAAAGTCCTCGTTCCCGCATACTCGAGCTATGTTTGTAGAGGCTTCTGGTCACCGGGGTTCCATCTGGGGGAGGTGGGATGCGGCACCTACTCCATCTGGAACTTGCGGGTGATCTCGGCTCTTTTTGGAACCTGTTTTTTCTTTTTTTTTTCCCTCCGGGATCCCGCACCCTCCATGTGTTTTTTCTCTTATCTATAGTGCATTTTTAAATTGTTAAATAAATTCACATCATTGTGAATAATTGCCATTTTCAGTATCATTAATTGGTTATATTTTCACAGTAGCAAGTATTCTACCAATACAATTATGTCATTCTCGTTATAACTATCTTTTATTTATTTATCTATTTATTTTAAAATAATTTTTTATTAGTGAATCACCGTGAGGTACTGTTAGAAACTTAAAACGTTTGTGTTTGTGTTTCAGTCATACAATGATCGGTTACCCATCCCTCCACCAGTGCCCATTCTCCACCACCAATGATCTCATTATACTTCCCACCCACCCCCTCCACCTCCCCCTCCCCACCCTGCCTTTGTGGCAGGGCATTCCTTTTTGTTTTCTCTTTCCTTTTGGGTATTGTGGTTTGCAATAGAGATATTGAGTGGCCATTGTCTTCTGTCTATAGTCTATTTTTGGCAACTCCCAACCTGAGTGGGTCCTCCCAGCACCCAAATTATTTGGTTTTAATTAAGTTCAAAAAAAGGTTTTTTCACCCAATAAGAGAGAGAGAACAAAAGGAAATGCCCTGTCACAGAGGCAGGGTGGGATGGGGGGATGGGGTGTGGGAGGGATACTGGGATCCGTGGTGGTGGGAAATGGGCACTGGTGGAGGGATGGATATTTGATCATTGTATAATTGAAACCCAAGCACAAAAATGTGTAAGTCTGCAACTGTACCTCATGATGTCTCACTATTAAAAATTAAAGAAGGTTTTTCCCCCATAAATCAGTTCTAATATAATGAAAAGTGCATTTTGTATATTAGCAAAATGAAATCATTCAGTGCATTCAAAATATATCTAACAATAGAGCAGAGGAAAATGTTTCTTGGGGAGGAGGCTTAGGATGGCAGATTCCTCCCAATTTTGGTTTTCAGGTTTATGCTGGGCTGAATATCTTTTTTGGAATGGCGAGTATTGGCTTGCTCACCCTCGTGGCGGTGGACAGATACCTGACCCTCTGCCATCCTGACACAGGTACCGGTGCTTCTCTTACAACAGCTTTCCCAATGAACCCGTGTGTTGTCCCGGCACCATCCCACATTCTTTCACCTTGAAACACGAACAGGCTTGCCTGCTGTCAGTCTCTCCCCTCTATGATCTTCCTTCAGAAGCTTCAGTGCGTTTCTGCTCCACGTCAAATCAGACCCCAAATTCCAAGACCTTGTAAGATCTATCCTGGTCAGCTGTCCAGCATTGACTGGGCTTCCCCACTTCGGGGATAGATGTTGACCTCCCAAGGCCTGGGGAGCCTCTCCATATTGACCCTCTGGCTTGTCCATCTCCCCTACCCTCTTCCAGAATGTAAACTCATGGGTGAGTGATGGAAGTGCTCTGTAAGGAACCAACTAGGAAACAGTGATGCTGCAAAGTGCTAGTATGTATCCTATGTTCTTCACAGGACGGAGCATGACCACCAACTCTTATGTCGGCCTGATTCTGGGTGCCTGGATCAACGGCTTCTTCTGGGCACTGATGCCCATCTTGGGATGGGCAAGTTATGCCCCGGACCCTACGGGGGCCACCTGTACCATAAACTGGCGGAAGAATGATATGTAAGGATGTGTTCACGCCCTAGAACCAAGTGCTCCTAGTGGGGACTTTCTCACTGTCTCAGATAAGATCAGATTAAATCTGTCCTACGGCCACACTGAGGCCCAAGTCACTGCCCACTGTCATCCACGCACACCTGGTGATAAAGCATCTTCTATGACTTACGCCGCAAAAGTTAGTCACTGCAAAGAGCTGGTTACTGACGCTCCTCCTTTCTGGGCTGGGGGAAGAGGATAATTCAGTTCATTAAAAGAAGCTAAAGACTAACCAGAAAAACAAACAAGAAGCTTCTAAATCTCAGTCTGAAAAATCTTCTGTAAAGGGGTGAGAAGGACATGAGTGCTTCACACTATCTTTGGTGCAGTGTTTTCATTCTGGGAAGATTTCATTGATAGCGTGTCTATGATGCAGCAAAGAAGTGAGTGTGGTTCTAATAAAACTTTATTTACAAAGACAGGGGGCAGGCAGGGTTTGGCCTGTAAGCCACAAATGGCCAGTCTCTACTGTAGGACAGAACTAACACTTCCTCAGCTACTTCCTATCCATTGGCTGGAGCAGAGTGGGATTATTCCCACCTTCATGTCCCTTATACAGAGCACTGCGTAAGTAGTCATGAATCCCTCTCCCTGTTCCAGATCTTTTGTTTCTTACACGATGACAGTTGTGGCTGTGAATTTCATCATGCCCCTGACTGTGATGGCGTACTGCTATTATCACGTGATCCGTTCTATGCACAATGGCCCAGGGCACCTGGATGGGGACTGGTCAAGTCAGGTAGATGTGACCAAGGTGAGACATTCGGATGCTTTTCTCTGGACCCCCAGTCCACACTCTCTGGCTCTTTCCTCTGATGTTCGTGCCCGTTGTTCTGAGCCATGGGCCAGCCTATGTGGGAAGCGTCTATTTGCCATTACCTCCTGATTTCCTTCTGTGAACACTGAGAATCTCTCTTTTTAACACTGACCCTTCCTCTTCCAGCCTTTCTCTGTCCTGTTTTACCAGTACGTCACCATTTGGTTAGCTGAAGAACCATTTTTGTTGTTGTTGTTGAACCACACCCAGCTGAGCTCGGGGATCTTGGGGGACCATATGGGAAGCTGGGATCAATCCCATGCTGGCCTCTTGCAGGGCGAGCATCCTGCCACTATACTTACTGAACGGTCAGCTTTACCACCGTTGTGGTGGTCTCCAGTTCACTATCAGTGATCACCCGGGGGGCTCCGCGACTGTGGTTTTAAACCATGACTTTCCCTCTTGTGGTCGACATTTCATTAGTTTCTCTTTCCACTTTCCTCCCTCAACTCCCCTCCTTTCTTGGTAATTTTGTTTGTTCATGGTTCTGTGTGCCGGTGGCTAATTTCTAAAGTCTCCAGTGCCAGTGTAACCTTTCTTTCATTTCTCAGTGCCTCAAGCTGACCCACTGTCTTCTCGGTGCTACGCGGCTGTTCTCCAGACGCCCTTCCCACGACGAGTCAGCCTCCTGGCCCTCCTGGGCAGCCTAGTCCCGGGCTGGCAAAGCCGAGGGCCTCTCTCCGGTGTCTTCTTCTCTTGGTTTAACTCCTTTTTGCTTGATATTTTCTTTCTCATCTTTCTTTCTCACACCGAGGTCTGTGTTTGCAGAGATGACAGTGAGAGTTCTCATAAACTTGGGGGTTTGTGTCTCTTTAAACCTCTTTCTCATCATTTCATTGGGCAATCAGGGGAGAGCTCCGTAAAAGCTATGTATCTTCATCTAAACAAATGCAGGGGCATTCCTTTAGAAAGCTGTCTGAGGAGGAGGACCAATAGCACAGCGGGGAGGGCATTTTGACTTTGCCCACTGGGTTCACCCCCCGCAATCCCATAGGGCTCCCCAAGCACCCAGGAGTAATCTTGAGTGCAGAACCAGGAGTAACCCCTGAGGATCACCAGGTGTGACCCAACCCCCCCAAAAAAAGAGAAATAGAAAAAGAAAGAAAGAAGAAAGAAAGCTATCTTTGTATATTTGATCCCCAGCACCCCAGATGGTTCCCTGAGCACCACCAGGAGTGATCCCTGAGCACAGAGTCAGAAGTAAGCCCTGAGCACTGCCAGGTGTGGCCCCTAAAACAAAACAAAACAAAACAAAACAAAACAAACAAGCTACCTGGCTGCTGTCAGTCTGAGGGCCCCCTGCTGGGGTCAGGAGCTCCCTGGAAGGGTTTTACCTTTCCAGTTGGGTCCCAAGCACAAGACAGCTTCTGTTTGCTAAGTAGGTAGGTTGCCGGAAGCTGCCTGGGCCAGGAGTGGGTTTCTCTCTGTCCCTCCTCGAAGGTGGGGGTGGGGGGTTCTGCCCCAGCACTGCACAGCCAACAGGCATTCTCCAAGTCTGTGCGCCTGTGAGGCAAGCCTGCAGAGGACCCCAAGCACAGAAGCGAAGTTTAATGAAAAAAGAAAAAGAAAACCCCAAATCCACCTTTCCTTTGTCTCGTCAGCCACACTAACTTCCTCGAATTCTCCCCTAGCTCAGCCTCCCGGGCAAACCTCGGTTTCTCTCACAGATGTCGGTGATAATGATCCTCGCCTTCCTGGCAGCCTGGACACCATATTCCATCGTGTGCTTCTGGGCTTCTTTTGGGGACCCGAAGAAGATCCCCCCCTCGATGGCCATCATAGCGCCGCTATTTGCCAAGTCTTCCACCTTCTACAACCCCTGCATTTATGCGGTTGCCAATAAAAAGTAAGTACCACCTGGAACCCTTCAGGACTCGGAAACGGACACAGAATGATGACAAGGGGGTGAAGAATGTGTCAAGACTATGTGGGAGCAAGTGGTATGCATCACTTGGTCGAGCACAGGGGCTCCTCACAGGAGGGCAGCCCCCACCCCCTCCCACCCCTCCAAGCCCAAGTCCTACCAGCAGGGTTTCCCCAGGGTCCATTTCATCTGGACAGTCCCCATGCAGAAATGCCTCAGGAAGCTTATTGGTGGACAAAGGTTTGTCATCCCATATATATACAGACTATATACAGAACTGGCTTTCCAAAATAAATAAATGAGGGGCTGGAGAGATAGTGGCGTGGGGGGGGGGGGAAGTGCACTGCTTTGCTTGTCGCCCACTCAGGTTCTGCCCCAGGCACTGTCACAAGGGATCCCTGAGCTCTGCTGTATGGGGCCCAAAGGGGTGGGAGTTAGAGGGGTGTGGAGAGAGAGAGAGAGGACACATTACATATTACTATTAGAGAATATGGTGGTCCAGGAAGGCAGAAAGTGCCTAGGCGGGTGACCTAGTTGTACACTCAGCAGAGGAAGGTCTTGTCATTCAAACAGGAGCGGAAGACTCAGTGCTGGCCTGAGGGGCCTCAGGTGCTGGAGACTTTGGGTGGTGAGAGCCCTTCCCAGCCCTGCTGACACTCAGCAAGGTCTTCCTTCTGCTCCCCAGTGAGGCTCAAGCTCCTTCATTTCTTGTTACTGCTGAAAGATGGAAAAAAACAGTCTACTGTGGTAGATATTTGAGCAGAGGTGAAGTCATTTGCTCCTGGAAGGAAATACTGCTTCTAGCAAAATCTTGATATGTAAGTTGAGCTGTATGTCAGATAGAGGAAGGAACATGCAGTGCTTCAGACCAAATAATCCACATTTCGTTTAGAGTTCATTGGTGTCTCTTTGGGAAGGATAGCCTGGAATCCGTGACATTGATGTCGTCGCTCTGAATAAATTATTGCAAGTGCCATTAGAGTGGCTTTGAAAGGACCCTAAGTGGCCCAGCCTCGCCAGGATCTCCCCTGGCTTTGCTCAAGGGCTCACAGCTGGTCTTTCGCTGCACCCTAGTCTTCAGCTGTTTATAAATGTCCTCCAGCCGCGTGTTAGAGCTGATGTAGGAAGCAGCTCAGGGTGGCCCCTGAGCCAGATTTCTGCTACGACCACGGGCCTACCTTGACCATATTCAGAAGCATTTGCAAAGTTCCAAGTCACGACTGGATCTGGCCACGTTTCCTGTTTTTCTTTTAGGTTTCGGAGGGCGATGTTCGCCATGCTCACATGCCAGACCCCCCAGGTGATGCCTGCGACAAGCATTTTACCAATGGATGGAGCTCAAAGTCCACAGCTTCTGGAACAAACTGAAATGAGAGCGGAGGTGTACCTTAACGTGGCAATCTGTTGACCTTTCTGTTTGGGGGCGAGGAGGGCTATGGCCTCATTTACCCAGCATTGCCCTGGGGCCTTTCCAGGCAGTGGACTCAGGATCTCTTGCACACTGCAGCATTTCGAACCCTCTCCTAGGCCCTAAGAGACAGATGAATCCTGTTAGACTCAGCTCCAGGCGGCTCGTGGTGTTGTCTCTGCACGAGCCTCTGTGCTAGTCCTTGTCTTATATATAAACTGATTTCCTTGGGTGAATCCAGGCCCATGACATTGACATTCCGCCTCCTTGTCCCTACCCATGCTTGGACATGGCACACACTGATGGCCCACTAGATCAGCCGCTATTTTAAGTAACAATGGTTACTTGGCTTTTATAAATAATCATGGAAATAAATGACTGGACACCCCACTGGAAGGGCACTGAGCTGATGAAAATGTTCCACGTAACTATTTACTGATGCACAAATAAAAACACACCCTTGAAGGAGACTAGAACATAGCTCGGATTCGAGGTCTGTGCTCATGTGTGCAAGGGCCCAAGTTTGCCAGTGAAGCCCTCTACTGTCCAGCCTGGGCACTTGCCTAGCCAGGAGTGACCCTGAGCCCCCAAGAACGACCTGAGGGGGTGTCTACACCCCAAAGCCAGTAAACATTCAGTACCATTGTTTCTAAATCACAAGTCAATGTTCATATATTTTCACACATGGATATAATTTCTGTGTGCACTTTTCACTTTGTATATTTAAATCCCCTTTTTTCCCCCATACACATTTCCCTGTGTTCATTACAGGGATTAAGATTTCCTTTAATTTTATGGTGGTGAGGAAAAAAATAATGCGAGTTCTACCCTCAGAACTTAATTTTTTTATGTTTTGGGGGCCACACCCAGTGGCTTTTAAGACTTACTCCTGGCTCTGCACTCGGGGATCATTCCTGGCAGGGCTTGGGGGACCATGCGTGGTACCGGGGATTGAACCCCAGCTGACTGTGTGCAAGGCAAGTGCCCTACCTGCTGTACCATCTCTTTGGCTCCTAGATTGCTCTTATTACTTTGCTTTTATTTTCTGATAAGTTTAAATGTCATTCTGTTCAAATGACACAGCATTGGAGTCTTATGATCTGATGTCCATAACCTGGGAAACTGACTTGGAATAAAAGACATTCTCAGACAGAGATGACGGCTTCCTTACTAAGGTGTGAGCTGGGAAGGACACTGCAGGGCTGGGGGGGCCTGGGAGAGTGGCACAACAAGCTCTCATCAGTCCCTCAGTCCCCCAGGTCAGTGGTGGACCAGCAGAGATCGCCTGAAGATTCTAAGCACCGGACTCGGTTTGTTTCTGGAGATAACCAGAATGAGGCAACTGCTCATTCCAAATCCGTTTTCGGTCGCATGCTTCTGTCTTTAGCTTGTTAGGCATGATGCTGAGAAAGCAAATGCATTCGGTAAAATGAATAACTTAATGTGTAAGTAATATGCTATGTTTCTAATCTATTAGGTTAAAACACTGGCTTGTTTTAGCTCCGAGGGGTTCTAGCAAGCACTTCCATGGGAGAGGGATTTCATTAGCAAGTCCTTGCAAATCCAGACATAGCCAGTCACCAAAATTTTCTTGACATGTGTCTGATTTTTATTTCCCTTAGAAGGTGTGCCTTCGCTGTCCCTGTATTCAAAGGCTAGATTGATTGATCCCCCACAAAACCCACTTGAAGGTTAAGTAACTGTAGATCTCAGCTAATCCCAGCTAAGCCGCTGTTCCCACAGGTTCCTGGCACAACGGCACCCAAGTGCCAGGCTCTGGCTCTCACCCTTTGCTTAGATAACCTCTACCTGGTGCCATGCGGCTCCTGGCATGCCTGGGTGTTGTGCTGGGCGTTTTGGAAGGAGCGAGTGGCTTGTGTCCCTCACAGTGCTCCTGCGATGCCCTCAGCTCAGATGACGACATGGAATCCAGGTAGGTGCTCTGCTTGCCAGCCGGGCACTGGGTCTGGGAGAGCAAGGAGAGGAGAGCAGCTTCCCTTCCAGGCCAGGGAGCTTGGCTGGTCACTGCTGGTCATCGCTGGTCATGGGTTTCTTCTTGAGCTATTTATGGTTCCTACTCTCTGGGCCTCTCGAGCCCACTCTGTGTTAAACAGAGCCGCTGGGCCCAGATTCACAAAATGCCCCTTTGGGTGGACGGACCCCAGAAGTGCAGCTATGGGAAGTTACAGAAAGTCCGAGTGCATGTGGGCAGGATGCTGGGTGCCCACACATTGGACTCTGGGAGCGGAGGTTCCCAAGTCTTTCTTAGGATTGATCATATTCAGAAGAATCTTGATCAAGAGAGAAGTCAGAGGCGCTCATAGCTGTGAGAAGTCAGAGCGGAGGTTCCCAAGTCTTTCTTAGGATTGATCATATTCAGAAGAATCTTGATCAAGAGAGAAGTCAGAGGCGCTCATAGCTGTAAGATCCCGGAGTTTAAAAATAAATGTCAAAGGGGTCAGCCCACCCCCTGCACAGGGGTGTAGGAGTGCAGAGAAGTGACTTCACCTTAGGTTGTGTTGGTATTTACCTGTCAAGTGAGGACAGTGGCTTACAATATGCTTGTCTTCTTTGGGTGGGGAATTTTTGTCTGCCAAGGGGCATTAGGATATGATGATGACATCATTTCTGGGTCACGTGATAGGCCACTGGGACCACAGGCAGCCCAGGTTAAATATCCGTGTCTCTCCTGTCATGGACCAGATATGTCCTGTCATCTGGCCCGGGCCTGGCTGGATGTTCCCTACCTCGAATTTAGATAGACGGTAAATCCAAACACATCTTATTAAATATGGTAGTCTTTTAAGCACTGTGTCTTTAACAAGATCAGGTTTGGATATGTTATTTGAAGTGAACAGTGAAGCTCTTAAAACAATTTGTTAAAAAATTAGGGCCCGGGGCTAGAGTGATAGCACAGCGGGTAGGGTGTTTTCCTTGCATGCGGCTGACCCGGGTTCGATTCCCAGCATTCCATAGGGTCCCCCGAGCATTGCCAGGAGTAATTCCTGAGCGCAGAGCCACCCCAGAGCATCGCTGGGTGTGACCCAAAAAGAAAAAAAAAAAAGAAAAAATAGGGCTGGAGAGGCAGTACAGCAGGTAGGGTGCTTGCCTTGTCCACAGGAACTCAGTTTTGATTTCTGGCACCCAATATGGCCCCCTGAGCTGTGCCAGGAGTGAGCCCCGGGAGCAGAGCCAGGAGTGAGCTCTGAGTGCCACCAGGCGTGGCCCCCAAACTGAAGCAAGCCAACAAACAAACAGAATGACCCAGTTTTAGGCCTTCTAACAAATCCTGCTGATAATGACTTTTTGAGTGCTTTGCCTGATTTATTACATAATCAGCTCTAGGTCTCCTGTCAGTGTGATCACTTGACAATTAAAGAAAATGAGCAGGAAATGACTCAATTTGACGCCCTTGTCAGATGAGTCCCAGTTAGGACGGCAGGCCAGCGCACTTTGGGGGAAACAGTCAGAGAAATGATCGTTTTCCTCCTCCTCAGTGGCCCCATTTTTCACGGTTTTCACCCAAACCACAGCACATTCTCTCTGGTGAGAACACCAGCAACCAGGCCATTTGCTATCATTTCATAAAGAACCAGAGCTCAAAGAGGGCAGGGGTGGCCAGAGGCCAGGCTGGTAGGACTTGCTCATCCAGGCTCCCAGGCCCCAGGGAGCTGGAAGGCGACAATCTGGCCTAAGGGGGCACCGGCCTGACACAGACAGGGATGGAAAGTCCGACGAGTCTCAGAGGAGGAGGAAGTGGATTCCCAGAGCAGAGACCAGAGCTGACCTGGCCCGGCCCATGCTAAGAGCTGCTGCTGGACTGGCCTAAGGGGTCTGTGAACTCCCAGCTGCCGTGCGGGCCTGACCAAGTTCAAAAGCTTCAGGACATTAGAGAGAACCACAGGAGACAGATATTTGACAACTAAAAAAAATTTTTTTTCAAATTTTAGTTTTGAGGCTACACCCAGCAGTGCTCAGGGATCGCCCCCTGCTCCTCCCCCGCCCCAGCTTGGGGTCTGGATAATCAAGCGTTCCCCACTGTGCTGTTTGTCCAGCCATGACAATATTTCTCTTTTTTAAAAAAGGGAGCATTTCGGGGCCAGAGACATAGTACAGTGTGGAGGGCATTTACCTTGAACGAGGCCAACCCAGGTTCAATCCCCGGCATCCCATATGGTCCCCCAAGCACTGCCAGGAGTAATTCCTGAGTGCAGAGCCAGGAGTAACCCCTGAGCATCGCTGTGTGTGACCCAAAAAGAAACAAGAAAAGAAAAGGAGCTTTTCATAGGGTTCGACCTGAAGATGATGACAAAGAGGACGAGTCCGTCCCGAGCAGGCTGGCCGCAGGCAGAGGGAGAAGGCGCTGCCTCTCTCCAACTGGCCTTGCCCTTCCCTCGGCGCCTTGGCCCCTAGGGTGGTGGTGCTGTGCGATGACCCGGACATGACCGAGGTGCCCAGCAGCGTCCCCGTGGAGACGGAGAAGCTCCGCATCGAGAAGGCCGCCCTCCGCAGCATCCCCGCCGAGGCCTTCTACGAGCTGCTGGAGCTCCGCTCGCTCTGGGTGACCTACAGCGCCGTGGCCAGCCTGGACGCCGGCAGCCTCTACAACCTGCGGCGGCTGCATGAGCTGCGGCTGGACGGCAACGGGCTGGCGGCCTTCCCGTGGGCGGCCCTGCGGGACACGCCCCTCCTGCGGACCCTGGTCCTGCACAATAACAGGATCGACAGCGTCCCCCAAGGCGCGGCCCCCTACCTCCGGCGCCTCGCCTACCTGGACCTGTCCAGCAACAGGCTGGCCACGCTGCCGCCAGACTTCCTGGACAGCTGGTCCCACTTGGTCCCGGCGCCCGGGAGTCAGGAATTCTCCCCAGGGAGAGTCATTCTTGGTAAGCCTAGCCAGGGACCACATGAGGCGGGGCATCAGGGCCTGGGGCCTCTCTTGGCTCGGGCTGGAGGTGCTTGTCCTGCAGTACTCAGGGGCCAGCCAGCAGGGCCACTCCCGGCAGTGCTCGGTGGCAGGGAGGGCAAGTGGGGCTCAAACTCATGACCTTCGTGTTAGGCATCTACCACCTAAGACTCATCGCTTGCCACTGTCCTGACTTTTATTTGGGGGGTGGTGCGAGGCTTCGAACCCGGACCTCCTGCATGTGGGGCTGGTTCTTGAACACTAAGCCATGTCACTGGTGGATATTCAGAGTGAGCGGGCTTCATGGCAGCTATCGTTGTCCACCACGGGACAAACTTACTCAAGGCAGTTGTCTCGGTGTCTCTTGTCGGGCTTCGCAACTTTAACTATCTTGGAAGATTCCATGTCATCTCCAGCATGTGGTGATGATATTGGTTTGAGATTTTCTGGACCTCTCTGCCTTGAACTCTAGCACCACCTTTCATAGCTGCTGATTCCTGACTCTTGTAGTGGGAAACACTGTTTAAATTTCCTGAGATTACTGTCATTGGCGGCTGGAGCGATAGCACAGTGGTAGGGCGTTCACCTTACAAGCGGCCAACATGGCCGACCCGAGTTCGATTCCTCCACCCCTCTCGGAGAGCCCGGCATGCTACCGAGAGTATTCGATATGCCAAACACAGTAACAACAAAGTCTCCAATGGAGACGTTACTGGGCCCGCTCAAGCAAATCGACGATCAACGGGAGGGCCTTTTACTGTCATTGGCACAGGGTGCTTGGAACTGTGGTGATGCTGACAGCTGATGCTGACAGGCATTCGCCCCGGGGTTAGGTCTGACAGGTGGAGCTTCTCAGCCTCATATTCGCCTCATCCCTTTGTTGGATGGAGAAATGAGGCACAAACTAGACTGTTTGCCCAAATTCTCTCACCAGGCAACTATTGGGCTGGGTCACCATTTGTGATGTGATATTTGTGGCAAAACCAGAGTTATTGTCCAATGAGATTTTGTACTGATCTCTCTACATCATATATTTATTTTATTTTAAAAATTGTTATGGAGAAGCTTTTCAATGACTCCCTCTCTCTTCAACATGAGGGAAAACAGTCAATAAAGCCATCCTGTAATGTGGCTGTAAAAACCAATGTCTTGGCCCAGGGAGATTGGACAGTTGGTGTAGCACTGACCTTGCATGCAGCTAACCTGGGTTCAATTCTCAGCATATGAGCTGCCATACAGAGGCAGGAAAAAGCCCTGGGCACTGCCAGGTGTGTCACACCCTCCCCGCCCTAACTAAAGATAAATTCTCTCAAAAAACAAAACAGCGTAAATAAGTGTCCTGGCAAGTAAAGGTATGAATTAATGATGAAGCTCGGATAGATTTTGATGTGCAATACAATTTCAGGTAAGTTTCCATGGCCTGCTTCTTAAGAATGAGAAAATAGTTGCACAGGTCGGTTCCACAAGGCCCTCAGTGTGCTGGAGAAGCCTGCAGCATGAAGGAGACAGCGAGTGTCTGGGGATCTCTTCTACTGCCCCCAGGTATGCTTAGCCAGGAGCGTGGTTCTGTTCTTAGAACCGAATATGCAGGGCTGTAGCAGCCCACAGGTTCCCACAGAAATATGGCAGCGACACCAGTTCCACCAGGCAAACTCCCCCCACCCCAAGGGGCGCTTGGTCAGTGCCTCCTGAGAGCTTCCAGACAGCAGTCAGCTTTACAGTGATGCCTGAGGTACCTTGTTGATGATGCCTATTCAACACCATCTTTTTCATAGAAGTCAAACCTCAAATTCACAATCCATTTATTTTTGCTTTTATTTCTATTGTTAAAAAGTTTTTTTGAGGGGGGGTCCCACATGGGATGGTGCTCAGGGATCACTCCTGGCTGAGTTCGCAGGTCATATTGGGTGCCAGGGACCGAACCCAGGTTGACTGCATGCAAGACAAGTGCCTTACCCGAAGTACTATAGCTTCAGCTCCAAAATGTGTGTGTGTGTGTGTGTGTGTGTGTGTGTGTGTGTGTGTGTGTGTATGTTAGTGTTTTGGGGTTTTGGGTTTTTTTTTCTTTTTTGGTCACACCTGGAGATGCTCAGGGGTTGCTTCTGGATTTGCACTCAGGAATTACTCCTGGCGGTGCTTGGGGGACCATATGGGATGCTGGGAATCGAACCCAGGTCGGCCGCGTGCAAGGCAAATGCCCTACCCACTGTACTATAGCTCCAGCCCCAGATTTCCTTCTTATGTCTTTGACTTGCCTCCAAACAGTCTGAACATGACCTGAGGTGAAAGGTTGTGGTCATCCCCCCCAACAGCTGTCCAGTTGATCCAGCATCGTTTATTGAAAAATTTCCTTCTGCTCCTGGATTGGGAAGCATGGTCGCCTCCACAGAGCTATCTGGGGAACTTTCAGTATATTCAGAATAATATGCACAGAATTTTTTTGTACAAATTATTCTGTGTTCAAGGATCACATCTGGTTCAGGGATCACTCCTTGCAGGCTTGGAGGACCACATGGGATGCTGGGGATGAAACCCAGGTCGACTGCATCGAAGGCAAGTGCCCTATCCACTGTACAATCACTCTGACCCCTTGGACAGAAACTTATTGCTGACTTTACACACACATACACACACACACACAGACACACAGACACACATACACAAAGAGCCTAATTGACCCCAAGCATTGTGATGCACACAAAGACACATAAACAGTACTCTTTCAGGAAAGAGATAAGGCAAGTTTTATTTGGGCCGTTGAGTGCAGTTGCATAAAATAAATTAATGAGTTTGAGTGATCGTGACTGGCTGGTGTGCCACCTGGGAGGAATTCAGCGAGAACGACAGTTTAACTTTGGTGTTCTTGGACCTTTGTCCTCTCTGTGAAGGTGCTTAGTCCTCAGATCATGGCTCTTACTCAGATTTTTCAAAGTTGTACCTTTGACCGGTGCTGCGTCAAAGCTGGAAGAGACAAGGTTTTATTTTTGAGGGATTTGAAAATGTTTTCCTGGTTTATGTAACTTCTCCATGGAACCGGCTGGGTCACTTTGGTCTCATTATTAACACATTTATGTAACCGTCTCAAGCATGATTGAGACGGGTCAAATCTGTGCCCTTTCCCTCCCAAGTCTTGACATTTACTGCCTCTGGACATGCGTCCCGGTGCCCGTCACGGCTTCTCCGTCCTGTGCTGATGCAGAGAGGGGCTTGGTGCAGGGACAGGGGCTTCCACAGCTGAGTGTTTCACTGCCCGTATCACCTAGGGGGTCATGGTAGTGACCTCTCTGTGCTGCCTATCATCAGGTGTGAAAATACAGAGACTCACTCTAGCTCCCAGAGAGTGGCTGTCCATACTGTGGTAGCAGAGAAGGAAGAGCTTGGGTTGGGCCAGCAAGCGTCCACCTTTGATGGCGGGGCCCTGCATGGCCTTGGGCAGACTTCTCAAGCTCCTCCTGGTCACTTCTCAAGCTTCCCTGTGCAACCATAGGCCTTCAGTTCCTGCCAGTGCAGCCACAGGTCTGCAGTTCCTCCCAATGCAGCCACAGGCCTGCAGTTCCCCCCGGTGCAGCCACAGGTCTGCAGTTCCCTCCTGTGCAGCCACAGTCCTGCAGATCCCCCCCTCCCCCGCGCAGCCACATGTCTGCAGTCTTCCCCCTCCCTCTCCCCCCCCCCCCCCCCCCGGTGCAGCCACATGTCTGCAGTTCTTCCCAGAGCAGCCACAGGTCTGCAGTTCCTTCCAGAGCAGCCACAGTCCTGCAGTTCCCCCCCCGGTGCAACCACAGGCCTGTAGTTCTCTCTGGTGCAGCCACAGGTCTGCAGTTCTTCCCAGTGCAGCCACAGGTCTGTGGTTCCTCCCGGTGCAGCCACAGGCCTCCAGTTCCTCCCAGTGCAGCCACAGGTCTGCAGTTCCTCCCGGTGCAGCCACAGGTCTGCAGTCCTCACACCAGGCTCCAACATGTTCTGCCAAGTTCCTTCTTGAGCTGAGCTTCTGGAGTCTGGGTCAGGTCAAAGAGAGTGTGACAGGAAGTGGCGCTTTTCTGCCCTGGCCACCATCTCCCTTCGAGCTCTGAGAGGGCAGTGGCCTCAGCATCCGGCCAGAGACTTCTGTGGAAAGTTCCTTCCACAGATGAGTCGAACTCTCATCTCACTGAGCCTGTCTCCCCACAGAGATAGTCACTCAACAGCTGATCCTGGTGATGAAGGAGCACTTCAGCTCTCGCAGGCAAAGCATGGCAGATCACCGAGGCAGTGGACTTGTGCTATCACCCTGGTTCCCTCCTGAAGGAAGATTTGAACAATGAACCCCCTTGGCCAGCTCAGACACCCACTTGGACACGTCTCCCGGCTTCACACCCACACACCCACACACCCACACTCGGCCATGTCTCCTGGCCTTCCATCCTGTCTCATGACATCAGCTGCAGCTTACTCTATGCTTTTGCTATGTGGAACTTGTATTACCCTGATTACATCTTAAAAATAAGATGAATTGAGGGTATGGTGCCATTAGTAGGTCAATCTGTACCTGTGAGGCGAGGGCATCAGCATCCTCATGGCACCTCCAGACTTCCAGATACCCCAAAATTGCTGCTATGCCTTTGGCCAGACCCCAAACACTTGGGGCAAAGTTTACCAAGAAAGTAAATGGCCAAAAGTTAGGTATGTGGGAGACACACCCACAAACCACCTCTGGCTCAGCTATATAATTGAAGGCATGGCCTCTCTGGTTCCTGATCAAACTGCTTAACGGCCGTGATCCCAGAGACTCAGAAACATCTTGAAACCCAATGGTTTTTGGCATAAATATGTCCAGTCCCTGCAGTAGGTTACCGGCGCCAAGCCACACCAGGTGGGAATAGGTTTCGTGCCTTGGCCTGTTCCCCCTGGCGGCCTGGTGGCTGCCATCTTCCAGAGGCCACTGGACAGTCAGGTTTGGGCCCACAGTGACCAGATACATGGGGCCTCACGGGATGGGTGGAGCCGGACCTTTCCTTCCCACTCCAGTGAGATCCCAAGTCACCGCCCACAAACGGCCTCTCTGGCTCCTGATCAAGCCACTTAATGGTCATGATCCCAGAGACTCAGAAACGAATCTCGGAACCCAACGGCTTTTGACAGAATTGTGTCTTGTTTCTGCAGTAGGTTACCGGCGCTGGGCCACTACAGGTGGGAATAGGTTTCACACCTTGGCCTGTTCCTTCTGGCGGCCCAGTGGCCTCCATCCTCCATAGGCCACTGGACAATCAGGTATGGGCCTGCAGAGATGAGACATGTGGGGCCTCACGGGATGGGGGTGGATCTGGCCCTTTCCTCCCCACCCCAACGAAACCTTGAGTTTCGCCCACATAAGGCTTCTCTGGTTCCTGATCAAGCTGCTTAATGGCCATGATCCCAGAGACTTAGAAACAAATATCGGAACCCAGTGGCTTTTGGCAGAAATGTGTCTGGACCCACAGTAGGTTACTGTTGCTGGGCCACCCCGGGGAGGGGGAAGGGTGCTGTCCCTCCGCTTGCTCCCCCTAGGCAGCTTGGTGGCTGCCATCCTCCAGAGGCCATTGAACAATCAAGTTTGGGCCCTCAGTGACGAGACATGTGAGGCCTCACGGGATGGGGGTGGAGCCGGCCCTTTCCTCCCCGTCCCAACCAGACCCTGAGTCATCGCCCATGAACAGTCTCTGCGGGTCCTGATCAAGCTGCTTAACAGCCATGATCCCAGAGACTTAGGAACAAATCTCGGCACCCAGCAGGTTTTGGCAGACATCTCTCCAGATTTAAGTGTTAAAATTTCAGAATTTCAAAATTGCGTGGCCACTACTGCAGCCACGCGACATCATACGTTATTTATAACCAGCAATAGAAAACAAATTGTCTACTGTTGCCTTTTCAGAAGATCTGAGTGTTGGGGTAAAATCCCAAATAATAATATTGGGTCTGGTGTCAAAATATTGAATGTAATCGAAGTAAGGAGAGAGTAATGTGAAAATCATCTGCCCCGTAGGTAGGGGGAGGGTGTGAGATGGGGGTATACTGGGGGTTTTGGTGGTGGAGAATGGGCACTGGTGAAGGTACGGGTGTTTCATTGTATGACCGAGACTTAGACCCGAAAGCTTTGTAACTGCTCTCACAGTGATTCAATAAATAAAATTATAAAAAATGAAAAAAAAAGTAAGGTGGAGTTCATGCACAATTCAATCAGCTGATCAGTGGCTGAATAAATAGCAGTACTCGTACATGAAAAAAAATCAGACTAATTGATGACAATATTTCATACTGAGCAATGTTATTCTCTGTGTCCCATAGAACTTTTGGGGGGGTGTTGGTTGGTTGGCCCAGATGCAGCAGTGCTGGAGCTTACACCAGGTTCGGTGTTCAGGGGGCCACGCCTGGTCAGCTCCATGCAAGGCAAGCTCTTTTTCCAAGCCCTGTATGTATTTAGGATGCATCAGTCCTTTCACCGTCCTGAGAAACGCTCCCATCACTGTGAAGTACAAACTTCACGGTACTTTGATTCAAATACTGGCTCTCACACCGGCTTTATGATCTTGGTCAAAATATTTGCTTTTTCTGGGTCTCAGATTATTCCTCTTGAATACAGAGATACTGAAACTCTCTTCCTCGTTGGGCTTAAACAAGGCAAACGCTCAGAGTCCAGCACAGACAATGCCCAGGAATGTTTAGCTGTGTTAATAATGATCTGTGCTGACCAGGCCAGACACCAGGTCCTTGGCCTCCTGCCCACAGGCCCTTGTTTCAGGACTGAGCACAGACCTGCCTCCCCCGGAGAGGCTCAGCTCTGACCTGCCACCGCCTGTCTCCCTCCGTCTGCTTTAGGTCTGCAGGACAACCCCTGGCGATGTGACTGCCACATTTCCAGAATAATTGAGTTGTCCAAAGCCCCAGCACCTGCTCTGGTGCTGCTGGACCCCTTGATGATGTGCCGTGGGCCTGAGCGTCTGGCCGGGATCCCGTTCCAGCGTGCTGAGCTGGAGCGGTGTATGAAGCCATCTGTGAAGATCTCAGCCACACAGATCACCTCTGCACTGGGCAGCAATGTCCTGCTGCGGTGTGATGCTACCGGTCACCCCACCCCGCGGCTTACCTGGACCCGAGCGGACGGCTCGCCCGTCAATCACACAGGTACCTGGGGCGCGAAGGTGTCTCTGGCTTCGCTCTGAGAATCCCACACATGGCCTGTACCCATTACCTGGGGAGATAAGATGAGGAGCTTCCAAATGACTGGGCCTCCCCGTGATGCTGGCCATTTCGTTCCTCTTCCAAGGTTGCTGGACACGAGGAATTGAGAAGGTTCTTTATGTTGGTCAATGCTCCTTGCAGTGGCTCTCACTATGGAGAGAAAAACAGACCCTGCAATTTTCTTCTTCCAAAAGCCAGAGAGGGATGATGGTGAGGACAGGACTTCCTAGGTCCATCTACAACCCCCCAACATGGCCCAGTGGCTTCGGATTGTAGATAAGGCCTGTCCTCGTCACATTACTCTGGACATGTCGATGCTGTTACAGTTGCCTCAAAAAAGGCCTTTCCGGGTCTGGGTGACATCTCAGAGTGATGTCGGTGGGTCCCATGGTGGCTCATGTGAAGCGGGGACGAGAAAGATGGTCACTTTCTCCCCATCTGCTTCTGCCATCCAGGACCCAGGGTTATTGGGTTCTTGTCTCATCTCGCAGAAAGGAATTTCAGGAGCAGACAAGCAGTGAAGTAAATAGATTTTATTTGGAGGGTTTTTGAAGGTGTGGAGTGTGTGTGTGTGTGGGGAGAGAGAGAGAGAGAGAGAGAGAGAGAGAGAGAGAGAGAGAGAGAGAGAGTAACTCACTCAAAAGAGAACAGAACATGAGCTTCTCCAAGGGCGGAGAGAGCCCCTACACACATCCCAGCATCAGACAGGAAAGCACGAAAGTCCACATATCAAGAGGGGAGATGTGAGTGACACATGTGCTCTAGCACCACATGTGCTTGGCCATGTGGGTGAAAGAAGCACCTGGGCTCGGGCAGCATATACGTGCCCTTCCTTTGTTCAAGGTGGCCTTTATTGAGTATCTTCTTGGGATGTCTTGGTCTGAATTGTTCTGAAGTTTTCTCTGAGCTGAATCACTAAAGCTACTCAAATAAGGGAGAGGTCGGAGGGAATTCAAGGAATTTCCTTCTCGGGGAGGGGTCCAATCTCCTCACGATCCATTGCTGCTCAAGGTCTTATCCATATCCACAGGGCAGATCAGCCTTAGAATTTCCCCCCCAGAAATTTTGTTGACCTGAGTTTCATTGCTGAGGGCCTTTGCCTGTCCACCTGCCTACCTCAAGTAGGCTGAGGACACGCTCTGCGTGCTGGATGCCTGGGGTCAGTGCCCAGCAGCGGGCGGGCCCTGAGCATTGCTAGGGCAAACTCCCCAGCACAAACCCAGAAACAGCTCTGAGCACTGCAGGGGGACCCCCGAGAGTACTTTCATCCAAATCTATTATTTTTCAATGATTGTTTAAATAATCAAGTCAACAGAAACAGAAACCTCTCGGGGAAGCAAAACCTTTTTTTTTTTTTCTTTTTGGGTCATACCTGGCGATGCTCAGGGATTTCTCCTGGCTCAGCACTCAGGAATTACTCCTGGCAGTGCTCAGGGGACCATATGGGATTCTGGGGATCGAACCCAAGTTGATTGCATGCAAGGCAAATACCCTCCCCGCTGTGCTATTACTCTGCTCCCTCAGCCTGGCTCTTGGGGCATTTCTCTGCCTGGGAAGGGGTGGGGCCCGCCACCTGCAGCGCACTCCGTGCTCCCCCCCCCCCACCCCACACACACATGTCTTGTCCTTTTCCATCCTTTTTTCTCACAGACTTTCGTTTCTCTCGTAGCCATTCAGGAGTCCCCAACCGAAGGCGTCCGCTGGTCGGTCATCAGTGTGGTGGGCATCTCGCACGCGGATGCTGGAGATTACAACTGTCGGGCCAGGAACCTGGCTGGTACGGCGGATGCCGTGGTGGCTGTGATGGTGGTGGGCACCAGCACGGCCACGCCGTCTGCAGGAGGTGGCCTCCAGTCAGAGGCCCAGCCCGCCTGGCCGTCCACGTCCCCCTGGCCTCTGGCCTCTACGTCCTCCTCTGCCCCCTCGGCCCCCACTTCCCTTCCTCCCCCCTCTACATCCCCTCCTCGCCCCTCCATGGCCTTCTCCCTGCCACCCGCCTTCTCTGCCGTCCTTCCTTCCAGCACGGCATTGAGCCCAGGCTGGGAGAGGAAGGCGGCGTCAGGTCTAGGCGGCAGGACACGTACCCTGGTCAGTACCAGTGGAGTGGACGAGCTGGTGTCCTTGGATGGAGCCCCAGCCGTGGCCGTCGGTGCCGAGATAGAAAACCTCAGGGTGGTAGACCGGACCCGGGACAGCGCAACTCTGGCCTGGGACCCCAGGAGCGCATCGGGGGCCTCAGGGGTGGCCGTGCTGTACTCCAGGCTCGGCGAGGAGGACCTGCGGCCCCTGCACGCAGACACCCGTGGGAACCGGGTCACCATTGTGGGCTTAGAGGCCGGCCAGCGATACGTGGCCTGCATCTGTCCCCAAGGGGCACTGCCCCGGACACAGCAGTGCATCAGCTTCACCACGGAGGGCAGCGACCCCTCACACTCGGCCCTGGTCCTGGCCAGCGGGGCTGCCGGCGTGGCCGTCTTGCCCCTGATCTTCTTCCTGCTCTACAAAGTTTGCAGCCTGCGGTGCTCGCCCGACCCCCTTGGGGAGGACGATCTGGCCAGAGAGACATACGTCCAGTTTGAGAGCCCAGGGGAGCTGTGGGCTGGGCATGACTGGGATGAGTGGGAGAGGCCACTGATCTGTCCCCGCTCCCGCAGGGAGGCGCCCAGGGCTTGTTCAAGCACAGCCTCTAGGCCAGAGGGCCGCTGCTAAGGCCTCTGGGCCTTTCGGGGGCCTGCGAACGAACTGGCCACATTTCTCTCACCGAATTCAGGCCCCCAAGGGCTGGCTCTTGGGAATGACTCTTGAACTCGATTTCTGTTGGGGTAGACGGTGTTGGAAGGGAATATTCAGGGTTGTGATGGGGAAACGAATGATTTATTGTTTCAAGTCATGTTTGGAGTCTGAAAAATAAATCTCTTGGAAAGAGTTATAAGTGAAGCCTGGATTTTCAAATTATATACATGCATATGATATAAAGAAGAGATAGTGATCAAGAATGAATATAAATGGGTAGTAAATCTATTTTGAGTTATATGTTGTCACTGTCACTGTCACTGTCATTCCGTTGTTCATCGATTTCCTCGAGCAGGCACCAGTAATGTCTCCATTTGTCCTAGCCCTGAGATTTTAGCAAGTGCCACATTAGAGGCTCTTTCAGGGTCAGGAGAATGAGACCCATCATTGTTACTGGGTTTTGGCATATCAAATACGCCACAGGGAGCTTGCCAGACTCTGCAGTGTGGGCAGGATACTCTCGGTAGTCTGCTGGGTTCTCCGAGAGTGAGAACTAGACAATAAGAGGTCCCAGCTGCACGCTTCTGGGAGCTTGGTTTTATAGTCTCTGGATCTTGGCCGTTGATGGGATTACACAGTGCCAGGGCAGTTGGTGGGTGTAACCATCTACCAGCTGGAAGATGGGGGATCTGGGTGGAGGAGGCCCAGTTCTGATCTGAGCAGGATTGGAGATCTCAGCCCCGGGTCCCACTGAGATCATTTGATCACTTGACATCCTGTTACTCATTGATTTGCTTGAGCAGGCACCAGTAATGTCTCCATTCGTCCCTGTTGTGTGCTAGTGTAGCCCAATGGCATCTGTTCATTCTAGGAACATGAAGAGCCTCAAACTGATTGTTCAGAGTCTTGACAAATAAGTCTGACCATCTCATAGGTGGGCGGCCATGCGATTTTTGATGTCCCATGGAATCCAGTCGATAATGGCTCTAGTCCAGCAGTCGTCTCCAAATCTCATTACGATTTGAAAAATCATCTGATTTTCGACGCCTTGGCAAACGAGATAACATCCCTGGTTCTTGATCATCGACGGAGGTATGAACTCCAGATTCTTTCTCTTATTTGAGTGAAGCGTGATACTCCAAGCATAGCCCTTTTGATTCCTCTTTGGGAGACCTGAATAGCGTTCTCATTCCTGTTTTCGTAGGGCCCAGATCTCTGAGGCGTATGTTAATGCAGGAAGAGTGGTGAAATTGAAGAGATGTGCCCAGAGCCAGAGCTTCTTTGTCTTCTTAGCTATTTCTTCGAAGCTCTTGAAGGCATTCCAAGCCGATCTCTTCCTCCTGTGCAACTCAGGTTCCAGGTCGTTTGTCATATTGACTTCTCGACCTAGGTACACGTGACTGTTGCATTTGGAGATGTTCGTTCCATTGAGAGCGAATGGAATGTCAGGAGCGAAACTTTTTCTCATAAACATTGTCTTTGTGAGATTCAGCTGGAGTCCGATCTTTCCACACTTACAGTCGAAGTTGGCCAGCATTTGTGCCACTTGGCTAATGTTTGGTGTTATTAGAACGATGTCATCAGTGAAGTGGAGGTGGTGCAGTTGCCCGACTGTCTATCTTCACTCCCATTCCTTCCCATTCTAGTCATCGCATGACATTCTCGAGGGTGGCACTGAAGAGTTTGGGTGAAATGGTATTGCCCTGCCGAACCTCTCTCTTGATGTCAATGATCACTTCCCTGTAGAATGGTGAGATCCTGGTAGTGAATCCGTAATACAGCTCCCAGAGGATCCTGATTGATGTATTGAGTTTGAACGGCCTGTTTTGCTAGGGCTTCGATGACTGCTTCCGTCTTAACAGATTCAAAGGCCTTCTTTAAATCAATGAACGTTAAACAGAGCAGCATCTTGAACTCCCGAGAAAACTCAGTGAGTTTGGTTATTGTGTGGATATGGTCGATTGTACTGAATCCTTTGCAGAACGCCGTTTGCTCTCATGGTTGACCTTCATCTAGTGTTCTGATAATCCTATTCAGGATGACTCAAGTGAACAGCTTGCAGATGACAGACAATAGGCAGATCGGGTGATAGTTGCCAATGTCATGGATGTCTCCCTTCTTGTACAGTCCTGCTGGTTTTCCATTGGGACCAAACCTTGCATTCAGACAGGTAGTGTGTGAAGAGCCGAGCCAGTGTATTGATGAGTACTGATGGCAAATTCTTCAGGTGTTCAGGTCTGACCTTGTCTGGGCCTGGTGCTGTTTGCCACTTTACCGACAAAATGGCGTGTCAGATTTCGGAAGGGAAAACATTGGGAACGACATATTCATCCTGCGGAATTTGGAATGTGGCAGGTGGACGTGGCTATGGAAGAGATATAAGTAATATAACTTATATCCCGCTGAGATATGTTATATATCAACCAAATTAACCAAATTTTTAAGAAAAAATGGAAAAGGGGGCAGCTAAGAGATAATATAGCGAAGAGGGCACTTGTCTTGCACACAGCTGACCTATGTTCAGTCCCTGGCACCCCATATGCATATGGTCCCCTGAGCACCGCCAGGACTGATTCCTCAGTACAGAGCCAGGAGTAATCCCTGAGCACCATTGGGTGTGGGCCAAAAAAAAAATGGCAGAGGGATAGAAAAGAATGTTAAGACTTTTTTTTTTGTCATAAAGAACAAGGAAATAGTAAGTCTCCTGCCGAGCTACGATAAAGTATATCAGAGAAGCAGCAGAATCGTTCAACTTCTGTTTTTTTCTTGTTTCATTTCTTGTTTTTTTTTATCTGAACATAGAGAACAAACTATTAAAAGTGGGAATTTTCAGCCATTAGAGGTGAGGCATTAGCAATTTAAATCCAAGACGTTTAAAATGAGGCATGATGAATTAGGCATCTGGGTGGAGAGAAAGTTCCCACAGCTAGCAGAGATGCTCTCGTCACAAAAATTCCACCTTCATTTTTAAAGAAGGACCTGAGCGGACTCTGCAAATTACAGACACCTTGATTCTTGTTTGTAGATTTGAGAGGGTAAAAGGGTTTGCTTCCAAGCATGCAGGAATGGATGCTGTGATCAGTAGCAGCCAACAAATGTCAAATAAGAACAAACCTGAATAAACAGACACATTCCTCCAAATGAAGGTACCAGGGACCAAAGTTGCAGCTCAGTGGGCCGAGTCTTGCCTTGTGTGCATGACATCCTTGGTTCAATCCCTGGCACTGCAAGAAACAGGAAAAGGCCCCCGGTAGCTAGGTAAAAAGGCTCTGCTAGAAGCCAAGGAGCACCTGGTGACAGGTACCGCTCAGTAACACAGTGATGTGGCTGTTTCCTCTCAAAAATGTTTAGTAATGGCTTCATACGACAGAGAAGGATTTCTAGGACAGCTGTTTCTGCCAGGCTCTTTCTGTTTGTTTTCTTGTGAAGCCACATCCACCGGGGCTAAGGGGTTACTCCCAGCTCAGTGCTCAGGGGTCACTCTTGGCAGTGCGTGGGGATCCTAGGATGTGCCAGATTGAACCCAGAGCTCCTGCATTCCAAGTCTGTCCTGCAGCCACGAAGCCATCGTCCCAGGTTTGCTCTGTGATTTTATCGAGGATGAGGTGTTTGATGCCTGGCACTGCCATTTCTCATTTGTGCAGAGGACATGACAGGAAACAGGACACTTTCTAGCAGAGCTTCTCAAACTATCCCTGCGCTATTCCAAATGGGAGGCAAGTACATTTGTCTGGAAAATTCAGGGCGACCATCCAAAGCGTCTTGTTTCTGTAGGCTCTGTTGGGGGTGGGGAGTAGTCTGGTGAGGACCATCGGGTGTCCGGGGTCACACCTGGGGCTCCCGCATACAAAGTGTGAGCTCAGCCCCTTGAGGTCTGCCTCCCCATGCTGCGTCTTCAGGTGAGAGTCTGGCGTTTCTGTCCCTTTCAAGGGGGCTGGAGCGATAGCACAGTGGGTAGGGCATTTGCCTTGCATGCGGCTGACCCAGGTTCGATTCCCAGCATCCCATAGGGTCCCCTGAGCACTGCCAGGAGTAATTTCTGAGTGCAGAGCCAGGAGTAACCCCTGAGCATCGCTGGGTGTGACCCAAAAAGCGAAAAAAAAAATAAATCAGTGTGTATTCTCTGCCTATGAAGCTCTCAGAGAGAACCGAGCAGAACCGTCCTGTGCTCACTAGTACAGATCTGGTTTTGACAGAGATCCCTCCTGGTGGGGATTGGCGGACCCTACAGGGTGCGATGAATTGAACCTGGATCAGCCACATTGGAAGGCAAGTGCCCTCCCTGCTGTACTATCACTCTGGCTCGAGTACAGATTTTTTTGTGTTGTAAACGAAGAAACCAAACCTTGCTCGGTATGACTCAGTGGGAGAAACCAACCTAGCTTCCCTTGTGTGAGGCCCTGGGGTTGATCCCTGGCACTGAAAATATATATATTTAGAATAACATCTAATAAGGATAAATATAAAGTTTGTATTTTGAATGAATATGATGGGGCGACCAAATTAAAAATAATTCTGTGACTTCAGTTGTCACAGACTTCTTCTGTCCCTCAGGGGCACCTGGGGTGGACAGACACTGGCTCTGCATCCCAAGGGGGCATCTGGGCCCTGTTCCCAAGCCTCTTGGATGCCCTGGGGAGCCTCCATGAACTGGGAGGGTTTCCCTTGGATTGACTTTATATTAGGAAATCCCTGGAGGATTTCCCCAAGGGAAACCTTTGGTATTGGCCTCATAAAAGATTTTTGTTTCATGGATAATAATTGGGGTTTGGGGAACCATTTGTCTGTGGTGAGATTGGTATGGTTCTCTATGATGTGTCTGAACATGTGTATAGACACACACACACACACATAATGTAAGATAGACTTTGTAAAAAAGTTCTTTATCTATCCATGGTGGTGGAAAATGGCACTGGTGGAGGGATGGGTATCTGATCATTGTATAATCGAAACCCAAGCACAAAAAATTGTAAATC